GAATAAATGAATGAAAACTACGTGGAAAGAATAATACTAACAAGAGAAAGAAAAAAATCTTTGTAGTTCCTCTTTATGTTATTTCATTTATGAAAGATTAGATCGCTGCTGCGCAAAATTTTTCGAATTCAGCGGCATTTTCACTCATTCGTTGAGCAAACTGTTTAAAATAAACCTTCAATTCTTCACGAGTAGGACATTTATAAGGTTTTCTTTTCTGCTGAGTAGGATATTGGCGTTTCGACACTGGATTTTTACGATTAGTAGCGGATTCCGGTGACAGGCACGGTAAATCTGATTGTTTCTGTGCGTTATCTCCCGCACTGGATGTCGGCTCCCTATAGTCTGTTTGATGTATTCGAATTCCATAACTAAAGTCTTCGTCAACAGGATATTGATTTAATACAGTGCGCCATGAAAATCGTTCGACAGGTCGTTTGGTGATAGTAGATTCAAATATATTTCGAACTTTAATGGAAGAAGACTGTACTGATACTAATGCTCGATCGGTGACACCAAGTCCTTGGAGAATATACTCTGGCATTGGAAATACAGCGTCGTTGATATCGCCGCTGGGCGAAAATGGTGGTAGATTTTGCTTAGTAGTATGTGTCGATCTTTCCAACCAACGTCGAATCCATGGCAGTTCAATCAATTTGTAGTCTTTATCCTTAGAATCCACTTCTTTTGAGTCAGGACTATTGACGGTTGAATGTAATTGCTGCATCAATTTCGCCATATCCTCGTCATCAATACGGCCGATTCGCATCAGCGTTTGAATTCTTTCATTATACTTCGCTCGTCGTTGTTCTACAGTCATCATGCGTGAAATCCTCTCTGTATTCAACTGTGGGAAAGATGATCTATTCGATCTGATGGATTGTAACTAGACGAAAAAAAGAACATTTTTAGGTATATGCAGCATCGGATGGCGATCGTACTTACAATCTGCAATAATAAGTAATCAACTTGCGTATTAAAATCGTGTTCCGAACCAAATAGTTGAACAAACAGTTTGCCTTCAAAAACTTCTCGTTGCCAACCAAACAATGGATCATTTCGAACTTTTAATAAGAAAATTGGTTTTCCTGTTCCAAGAATATATCTTGCTTCTTTTTCACATGCTTGACTCTCATAGTAATTCTCGCTGATACAAAGTAGAATGCAGTCTGCTTTGTTTATTTGAGAAGATATGTCACGTTCTTGATCATCTTTCATCGATTTTGCCCATATAACCAATCCTTCTTCGCGAAGTCGTTTGATTAAACATTGACATTGTTTTGCGTCTTGTTGACAATAGCTGATCAAAACGTTGCATGTCTNAGAGAAAGAAAAAAATCTTTGTAGTTCCTCTTTATGTTATTTCATTTATGAAAGATTAGATCGCTGCTGCGCAAAATTTTTCGAATTCAGCGGCATTTTCACTCATTCGTTGAGCAAACTGCTTAAAATAAACCTTCAATTCTTCACGAGTAGGACATTTATAAGGTTTTCTTTTCTGCTGAGTAGGATATTGGCGTTTCGACACTGGATTTTTACGATTCGTAGCGGATTCCGGCGACAGGCACGGTAAATCTGATTGTTTCTGTGCGTTATCTCCCGCACTGGATGTCGGCTCCCTATAGTCTGTTTGATGTATTCGAATTCCGTAACTAAAGTCTTCGTCAACAGGATACTGATTTAATACAGTGCGCCATGAAAATCGTTCGACAGGCCGTTTGGTGATAGTGGATTCAAATATATTTCGAACTTTAATGGAAGAAGACTGTACTGATACTAATGCTCGATCGGTGACACCAAGTCCTTGGAGAATGTACTCTGGCATCGGAAATACAGCGTCGTTGATATCGCCGCTGGGCGAAAATGGTGGTAGATTTTGCTTAGTAGTATGTGTCGATCTTTCCAACCAACGTCGAATCCATGGTAGTTCAAGCAATTTGTAGTCTTTATCGTTAGAATCCGCTTCTTTTGAGTCAGGACTATTGACGGTTGAATGTAATTGCTGCATCAATTTCGCCATGTCCTCGTCATCAATACGGCCAATTCGCATCAGCGTTTGAATTCTTTCATTATACTTCGCCCGTCGTTGTTCTACAGTCATCATGCGTGAAATTCTCTCTGTATTCAACTGTAGGAAAGATGATCTATTCGATCTGATTGATTGTAACTAGACAAAAAAGAAAATTTTTAGGCATGCAACATCGGATGGCGATCTTACTTACAATCTGTAATAATAAGTAATCAACTTGCGTATTAAAATCATGTTCCGAACCAAATAGTTGAACAAACAGTTTGCCTTCAAAAACTTCTCGTTGCCAACCAAACAATGGATCATTCCGAATTTTTAATAAGAAAATTGGTTTCCCTGTTCCAAGAACATATCTTGCTTCTTTTTCACATGCTTGACTCTCATAGTAATTCTCGCTGATACAAAGTAGAATGCAGTCTGCTTTGTTTATTTGAGAAGATATGTCACGTTCTTGATCATCTTTCATCGATTTTGCCCATATAGCCAATCCTTCTTCGCGAAGTCGTTTAATCAAATATTGACATTGTTTCGCATCTCGTTGACAATAGCTGATCAAAATGTTGCATGTCTNATATCTTGCTTCTTTTTCACATGCTTGACTCTCATAGTAATTCTCGCTGATACAAAGTAGAATGCAGTCTGCTTTGTTTATTTGAGAAGATATGTCACGTTCTTGATCATCTTTCATCGATTTTGCCCATATAACCAATCCTTCTTCGCGAAGTCGTTTGATTAAACATTGACATTGTTTTGCGTCTTGTTGACAATAGCTGATCAAAACGTTGCATGTCTTGTCTCGTCCCGATTGCGGACGGTCTGCAGCTAATGGGCGTGAGAGTTTTTCAGTGACTAGACGAGATTGAAGATGCCACTTCATCTCGGCATCACGGACGTGATTCGTAAAACCCGTTAGTTCAAGCTCTCTTTCAGTTCGATCGAGTCCAACGATAACGCATATGCTTCTACAGTATTGATAGAACGAGTTAATCCTATGCTGATCCCATTGATGAAAGATACCATTGGAATTCTCCAATTTTACTAAAGTGAAGCAACGCTGTAAGTACAGATTTATTTGGTTTTGACATTTGGTCAGTCTGTCATGATCAGCTGCGAATAATGTTATCTTGATTACTATAATAACAACGATCTTGTATGATTCATACGTTCAGTTGAGTTCACCTTACCTGATAATGGCCACTCCATCTGTGCGTACGCACCCTCGGTATCTCCCAGCAGAGTTAAAAATTGATTGTATAGCGATTGTTGTTCAGGAAGTAGGATAAAGATGATTTTGAGCTGCAAGTTTTTCGCTCGCAATTGCTTTTTAACCGACGAAATCATTTCTTTTGCAAGAAGTCGTTCATTTGGACATAAACTTGTCACCGAAAATGCAACCGACCTCGTACCTTGTCCTTCAGTTGCATATTCGATAGATTTGATTATAAAGATTTGTGTCGATCGTCGTAAGTCTTGATCGTCATTTGTTTCTGTTGGTGGCTTCCAATTCGAGAAAAGGATTCGTTTGCACTTCAGTTTCCCTCCGTCGGTTTCGGTAAAAGTCAAGCCCATTGCGTCAGAGTAAGTACGTTCAGTATTGAAAGTACCTGCTCGTTCCACCACACCTTCTTTCAAACCATTCGTTGTCATTGGAATCACAATCATATCGACCTTCTGTAAAGCGATATCTCCTAGACGGACTTCAATCGATCCGTTTTCACTATCGATTCTCTTAAAAACATCCGGCAAAGAAAATAAACCATCATCTAGTGTTGACTGTGATTCATCCAACATTGGCGCCCTTGGTATTTGATACGATTGACATCGTGTTTTAACCTCAATCTTAATACAACAATTATTCCGATGAGTAATGGATCTCAAATGCTTCTCTGCTAGTTCTGCAATCTCTTTATGCAAAGGAACGCTTTTAAATGTGAGTGTTTGCGATTGGGATAGCAGTTGACTGATACGCGATTCAATTGCACCTTTCAAATGCGGTGGGGCCGTAAACTCGTGCAATCTCCAGCGTAACTTTACGCCAGCATCTTTATACTTTTCTTGAAGCTTATACATTTCTGAGGAATGGGTCTTCAGAACATATTCAATCTGGAAATAAACATGAAAAGAGCAAAATATATCGAACAAAAGTTCACATACCTCAGACGTATCGAGTGAAGTGATCGGAAAAGTAGTTAAATTCGATTTTTCATCAATTTTCAAGAATTCACTTTTTACTCGGTTCACCGCTTCATAATCACCAAAAATAACAATCTTTTTTTGCATTGCCGTCATATCTGAAGCGTCCAGACTCACAGAAACAGCAACCTTTTCGCGCCTTGTGACATCGCTTACCAGTCTCTGAGATTCTTCTGCGATTGATCTGGAATTTTCAGAATAAAACGGTAGAAATAAGATTTCCAATAAGATTTTGTTTTCAATTAATTTCACCATTGATTTGTTGCTAGGAGTATCTACCAATTGCTTGGATAAATAATAAATTTTCAATGAATATTTCGGCTCTTCGATACAAACAGTGAAGATATCTTCGAGCTTTTCATCCACAATGCCCTCNACCAGTCTCTGAGATTCTTCTGCGATTGATCTGGAATTTTCAGAATAAAACGGTAGAAATAAGATTTCCAATAAGATTTTGTTTTCAATTAATTTCACCATTGATTTGTTGCTAGGAGTATCTACCAATTGCTTGGATAAATAATAAATTTTCAATGAATATTTCGGCTCTTCGATACAAACAGTGAAGATATCTTCGAGCTTTTCATCCACAATGCCCTCAATGCATTGAAGATGTTTTTCTTTGTTGAAAGGATCTTCTAACCATTTCTTAACTTCAATATCAACATCATATTTAGGATACAAACCGAGCGTTGTCGCTTACTTTTCTCATTCGTGAACGTTTGTGATGGAATTGTCTGGAAAAGATTTTGCACAGCGTTGGATAATTTCTGTTGGATTTCTTCTTTATTCTCCTGTGCTTTCGGAACATAGATTCTGTAACTGCTTGAAGCTTTCGCCGATCGTTCGGAAAATATTGTAATTGATACTGAGAGTAATTGTTCCAAATGTTTTTTTACACACTTACGAAAATGATAGTTTTGGAAGAATTTTATTTGAATAGGATTATCAATGGTGTAACTGATTGCGTTTGATTTAGTCGATTCTTTTGGCATCGTAGATGATGTTAACGATCTCTGTTTTCAAAGTGTTTTGCAAACATACGAAAGAGAAAAAAAGAAAAACGTGGCAACAACTCTTCGTTTCTCTGCTTCCTAGGATGTAAAACAGTCAAAAAGGAAAAAAAAGTAATATTTGTGCAGCAGTTACTTTTTTCGGTGAAAAACTTGGACTTTTTCCATGTAAACTTGTGGCCTGACAAACAAATCAAACATTCGATACCTAATCTTGCCAATTTGTATTTCTAGATAAAAAAGATCGTCGCATGGCCACGTTGCCCTTAGAAACTGATTCAGGTATAACAAAACTCCATGTCTTTTCGGCAGAGAAGTATGGAAATCGTATAAAGATTTTTCATAATGATACTTTTCGAATTCAACTGCAACGATATTTATCGACAACGCACAACACTAAGAGTTCCATTGATCTAACAGACGTACAAAATGTTAATGTAGAACTGATTGGAGCCAAACAGAACGTCAAAGAAGCACGCGAAATATTGAAAAATCTTTTCGAGTCCATGCAAGAACAAATTTTCAATCGAGATAAAACTGATCAACGAGGTAAAGTTTGATTAAAATCTTCTCGCCCTTCGGTGAGTGTGATTATGACTATTTCAGTTATATATTGGGCTCAGAACATTGTTTCTGATTCAATTACCTCAGTCATACAAGAAATAATGTCCAAAGAAGGACTTTTTACTCTTTGCGATAAAACCGCGATGTTCCATGGCTACTTGCGAACAATCTATTTTACTCGAGCACCTTTTGCGACTACCGTTGAGAAGATTAGTGAATTACTAGCACGTGAGATTGCTTATATTGCAGATGTTGGCATGCCAAAAGAGCAAACGAAAAATTTCATTAAAGCTATCGATGAATTTATTGCAATGAAACAACATTCCGAGTTCACATTTATCCAATGTCGGTATCCATTGAAAGCTGATATTAAATTAGGTTTATTCGGACGAAAAAATTTATTGAAAAAGATCAGAAAACAACTGCAATTGCTTTTCAGTAAATACAGGATTCAGACGCATCGATTGAAGATCAATTCAATTCAAGTGAAGCTCTTTTTTCCTCAGTAAAAGACGACGTCTATATTCCTTTTTAGCAAGAATATTTATTGGACCATTGCCGAGAACAAATTCAAGATATTGAAAATGAATACACTGATGATAACGTGAAAATTCGAATAAGATCGAAAGAATTCAATGCACCACAGTACTTAATCGATACGATCAAACAGAAGTTGAGTAATTTCATCAGCTATTCAGCCATTTGTCAATTTCGGAAGTTGGGCAAGACATTTTCATTGACTGCTAATGAACGTACACAAATTGATCAAATTGCTCGCAGAAATTATTGTCAAATCGAAGCAATCGATGTTCGAACCGACTGGATTGTTTGTACTATTCCGAAAGCATCACCTACGAAATCAATAAACACGTCAAATATGACTATTCAACGCTCCAATGAACTGTCATCAATGTTAACCATGAAAAAGGTTTCAGTATCAGAGAACTCGATTGAAATTTATTTAATTGAACACACTGCTTCTGTGCCGGTAAGATACATTTGCTGGAATACTAATTATCAAACGTTTAAATCATAGAGAGATGTGACGATTATTTCATCGCATGCTGCTGCCACTGAAGAAGGAGTTCAATTCAAGGATGATCATGAATATTTCGAGATAAGGTCAGGTAGGAAGCTTCTTTTTCACCTTTGGTCTCCAGTTTCCCCAATCGACAATGACGACGAAACTAATAAGAAGTTAAAGAAATCTATCCGAAGATTTATTTCCTCAACTTTACAAGCTGTTGTGAACTGNACCAGTCTCTGAGATTCTTCTGCGATTGATCTGGAATTTTCAGAATAAAACGGTAGAAATAAGATTTCCAATAAGATTTTGTTTTCAATTAATTTCACCATTGATTTGTTGCTAGGAGTATGTACCAATTGCTTGGATAAATAATAAATTTTCAATGAATATTTCGGCTCTTCGATACAAACAGTGAAGACATCTTCGAGCTTTTCGTCCACAATGCCCTCAATGCATTGAAGGTGTTTTTCTTTGTTCGAAGGATCTTCTAGCCATCTCTTAACTTCAATATAAACATCATATTTAGGATACAATCCGAGTATCGTCGTCTACCTTTTTCATTCGTGAATGTTTGTGATGGAATTGTCTGGAAAAGATTTTGCACAGCGTTGGATAATTTCTGTTGGATTTCTGCTTTATTCTCCTGTGCTTTCGGAACATAGATTCTGTAACTGCTTGAAAGTTTCGCCGATCGTTCGGAAAAGATTGTAATCGACACTGAGAGTAGTTGTTCCAAATGTTTTTCTACACACTTACGAAAGTGATAGTTTTGGAAGAATTTTATTTGAATAGGATTATCAATGGTGTAACTGATTGCGTTTGATTTAGTCGATTCTTTTGGCATCGTAGACGATGTTAACAGTCTCTGTTTTCAAAGTGTTCTGCAAACATACGAAAGAAAAAAAAGAAAAACGTGGCAACAATTCTTCGTTTCTCTGCTTCCTAGGATGTAAAACAGTCAAAAAGAAAAAAATTGCAATATTTGTGCAACATTTACTTTTTTCGGTAAAAAACTTGAACTTTTTCCATATAAACTTGTGGCCTGTCAAACAAATCAAACATTCGATACGTAATCTTGCCAGTTTGTATTTCTAGATAAAAAAAACTCGTTGCATGGCCACGTTGCCCTTAGGAACTGATTCAGGTATAACAAAACTCCATGTCTTTTCGGCAGAGAAGTATGGAAATCGTATAAAGATTTTTCATAATGATACTTTTCGAATTCAACTGCAACGATATTTATCGACAACGTACAACACTAAGAGTTCCATTGATCTAACAGATGTACAAAATGTTAATGTAGAACTGATTGGAACCAAACAAAACGTCAAAGAAGCACGCGAAATATTGAAAAATCTTTTGGAGTCCATGCAAGAACAAATTTTCAATCGAGATAAAACTGATCAACGAGGTAAAGTTTGATTAAAATCTTCTTCCTTCGGTGAGTGTGATTATGACTATTTCAGTGATATATTGGGCTCAGAACATTGTTTCTGATTCAATTAGCTCAGTCATACAAGAAATAATGTCCAAAGAAGAACTTTTTACTCTTTGCGATAAAACCGCGATGTTCCATGGCTACTTGAGAACAATCTATTTTACTCGAGCACCTTTTGCGACTACCGTTGAGAAGATCAGTGAATTACTAGCACGTGAGATTGCTTATATTGCAGATGTGGGCATGCCAAAAGAACAAACGAAAAATTTCATTAAAGCTATCGATGAATTTATTGCAATGAAACAACATTCCGAGTTCACATTTATCCAATGTCGCTATCCATTGAAAGCTGAGATTAAATTAGGTTTATTCGGACAAAAAAATTTATTGAAAAACATCAGAAAACAATTGCAATTGCTTTTCAGTAAATACAGGATTCAGACGCATCGACTGAAGATCAATCCGCTTCAAGTGAAGATCTCTTTTTCCTAAATAAAAGACGACGTCTATATTCCTTTTTAGCAAGAATATTTATTGGATCATTGCCGAGAACAAATTCAAGATATTGAGAATGAATACTCTGATGATAACGTGAAAATTCGAATAAGATCGAAAGAATTCAATGCACCCCAGTACTTAATCGATACGATCAAACAGAAGTTGAATAATTTCATCACCTATTCAGCCATTTGTCAATTTCGGAAGTTGGGCAAGACATTTTCATTGACTAGTAATGAACGTACACAAATTGATCAAATCGCTCGCAGAAATTATTGTCAAATCGAAGCAATCGATGTTCAAACCGACTGGATTGTTTGTACTATTCCGAAAGCATCACCTACGAAATCAACAAATACGTCAAATATGATTATTCAACGCTCCAATGAACTGTCATCAATGTTAACCATGAAAAAGGTTTCAGTATCAGAGAACTCGATTGAAATTTATTTAACTGAACACACTGCTTCTGTGCCGGTAAGATACATTTGCTGGAATACTAATCATCGAACGTTTAAATCGTAGAGAGATGTGACGATTATTTCATCGCATGCTGCTGCCACTGAAGAAGGAGTTCAATTCAAGGATGATCATGAATATTTCGAGATAAGGTCAGGTAGGAAGCTTCTTTTTCACCTTTGGTCTCCAGTTTCCCCAATCGATAATGACGACGAAACTAATAAGAAGTTAAAGAAATCTATCCGAAGATTTATTTCCTCAACTTTACAAGCTGTTGTGAACTGNTAGAGAGATGTGACGATTATTTCATCGCATGCTGCTGCCACTGAAGAAGGAGTTCAATTCAAGGATGATCATGAATATTTCGAGATAAGGTCAGGTAGGAAGCTTCTTTTTCACCTTTGGTCTCCAGTTTCCCCAATCGATAATGACGACGAAACTAATAAGAAGTTAAAGAAATCTATCCGAAGATTTATTTCCTCAACTTTACAAGCTGTTGTGAACTGGTGTTCAGACGCTGAAACACTTGTCTTTACCACGAATGAGTGGGAGAAAATCGAAACCGGACAACAAAATCATTTTGTTGAGATGTTCATCGATCAACTCGTACGAGAACTTCAAGCACAAAACAGAAAATGGAGAATTCTATTGCTATTCAATCAAAACGATCTTTACAGCATATTCCATCGAGTCCTGCACAAACTACAAACTGATCAGGATGGCGATGCTCAACTCTCTTGCCCGGTTTCGTGTAAGTTCATGTTTACAACAGTTCATAATGTTCTTATCTCCCTGTTTCACTTGATAGTCATTCAGATTAAGCTGAATACAACATCTGATCGTGATCTACTTAAGTGTGAACATGAAATCAACGATTATGTTTGGAAGAACATTGTCACTAATAGAACTGTTACCGTATCTCAATGGAATCAACCAATGTTCAATGCTTTTTGTAGCTATTGTTTAACAAAATCGGTATTACCAGAAATAAGCGATGATTTACAGTTAAATCTGACCGGTTCAATATTGGACGTAGAAAAGGCGATTACTAAATATCAGTTGATGAATGATATTTCCAAAGAGTTACCATTGACTATGCATAATGACACATCGTCTGTTGGCTACAATATTTACTTCAGTTATTCTCGATCGGATCAATCGTTTTGTAAACAGTTAGTTGCATTTTTATCCAACGAAGGGTATTCAATTAGTAGAAAGTCCTCGAAAAAACCGTTGTCTGCATCAGAGATCGAGAAATCCGATGTTTTTCTAATCGGTTTCACTGAAGAATACTCCAAAAACTCACAATGCATGGATGAGTTCAATCATGCGAAAGCTCTGGGAAAAACTTTGGTTCCATTTGTGATCAGACAGAGTATCTCCGATAGTGATTGGCTTTGTTCAATTGCAACTGCAACTTTATTCTACGACCTATTCGATCGGGAAATAGATTTGGAGTTTACCGATGATTTTGATCTAGAATACGATAAACTATTAATCAACCTGGTAAGTCGATCGCTTGATGTATGCAGCGAAAACGATCTTACTTGTATTCTAGTTACGTTACACGAAACCAGGTAGTGTCCGTCGGCCTTACGTTCTTCCTAGCATTGCCAAAAAGGAAGAAGATCAAGAGAAAGAGTGCCAGGAAGTGATCTTTGGTAATAAATCCAGCGCATTGCAGAAGTTGACACCAAATGAAATCCAACACTTGCAAGCAAATTATCAAAAGGAGTTAAAGGAAAAGATTGCGATGAACAGAATTCCTGCTGATGAAATTGATCCATTAGTTGCCAGTTTAATGGAAATTGTTGACGATCTTCAATCAGTGCTAAGAGGTGACGATCCATATATCAACGAAGTTCAAGATCATCAACGTACATATTCGTCACCACATCGATCTTGGGAGTTCGGTAAATTTCTCAGCATATCCTTCGTTTCATCCATGCATTTTATGTTTTAGATAAAAATTGCCAAGGTGTCATCTATGAATTTATGTGTTGTGCCAAACGTTGGTTAGCACGAGCGCCGAACGTGTCGAAAAAACAATTCGCACCATTTACACCTACGAGAGATTTGAACGATGCAGTATTTTGTGTTTATCAGTCGCCGGACAGTGAAAAGTATCAACGAACGTATGAAACATTGGATCATTCACCGTCAGAGAAGAAATCAATCGGGATATCAATTGCTGATCCCGGTTCCTCGTTCAATGATGAACAGATGCACGATTATTTTGCGAAACTAGTGAAAAAGTATCGACCCGGTGGCGATGTTGAAACGGAAATAAAGGAGAATGAGATTGCGTGGCGATGGAAGAAACCAACCGAAACAGACGACAAGCTTTATATTGGTAATGAATTGAAAACACCGGAGGAAATACGGCAAATCGAAGAACGAGACAATCCACGCCGTGTTTGGAAAAAGACTCGAGGTGCAAAAGAATTCATTCAACAAAAAATACGAAATATTCTCGAACTTCAAAAACTATGCGAACAATCGAAATAGTTTGTTTTTACTTTTTATTTTCTAGATAAACACATCTCCTTCTTTCCATGGACGTTATCTTACAGCAACATTCCAGCTTGGTCCGTCGTCTTCGTCAAGGCGATCCAAATGTTACCGTTCATGAGATAGAAGCATATCTTGATCGAATTCTCGACTTTCTAAAAACAGTTCCATACAGACCGACTCAGACAGATGGATTGAGCTTATTAACCGTCGTGTGTGATGATCTGGCCAGTCAGAAGACGCTACATTTGTTTAATCATCCGATCATAATTAATCATTCGATATTTGTTTACATTGGTCGAACATTGGAAATGTTACTAACAAAATGTAATCATTTACAATCATTATCGTTGAAAAAACACGATGAGGATGCGTTGTATTCGATCAGTTATTTGATTGCACAATTATGTTTACACCGAAATGAACATATTCCATTATTTTACGGACGATTTTTGGACCGAATCTTTCCTGTAACTGAAAAACCAAATGGCAGAGACGATACGTTTCAANTTTACATTGGTCGAACATTGGAAATGTTACTAACAAAATGTAATCATTTACAATCATTATCGTTGAAAAAACACGATGAGGATGCGTTGTATTCGATCAGTTATTTGATTGCACAATTATGTTTACACCGAAATGAACATATTCCATTATTTTACGGACGATTTTTGGACCGAATCTTTCCTGTAACTGAAAAACCAAATGGCAGAGACGATACGTTTCAATTTTCGCCACGTGAAGGCGAAACGTTCTTAACCGACAAACCAAACTTGAAAACTGCGAGATTGCATCCCAGTGCACCAAAAGCACGGCCAGTCACACCGATTATGATCAATTTCGAAATCATGCCAGAACCAAAACAGCGTCAGCCATCTAAACCGGTCACACTTCGAAAAGACCCATTGGTTAAACCTCAGCCGAAAACATCAGAACTTGAAAGAGATCTACCGGTGAAGACGTATCAAAGCATCTTCTTGACGAAGTCGTTCTTCGAGAAACTTCGATGCGGAATTGAAGATCTTTCACAAAATGAATATTCGCCATATCATATCAAATATAAAGTCATCGATCGCCTAGTTCGTCTATGTTCAAAAATGAACCTTGTTGATTTCATCTACGAATCGATTATTAAATGTCTATGTTCAAAGTTCTATTCGCAAACGTTCACGACAATCGAATCAACACAGATGTGTCTGACTCCCAAACAATTATTTTTCGTCTACAGTTGTTCTCGATTCATCATCCGCCACGAACTCAACCAACCCGATCGATTACCGAAATTGCTCTGCCCATCAATGATCGCAGCAACCAAACTAATCATCGATCATGCTCTTCCAGGTAACACCTTGCAAACTCGTATCTTGTTTGTCTGAATCTATCGTCTATTAGATCACGATGACAGAGGTCTCGCTCGGCAAACGTTGAGTTTTCATCTTGAATTACTCAATCACTTGTCCTCAACGACTGTAGGCCGACGACATTTTCTGCAAAGTTCGATTTCCAATCAAATGATTCGCATTTTAAACACAGAACAATTGCTGACTCTTGCATGCACAACTGAAGTGTTCTTTGATGCAAATGTGCGTGTTATCGCACACACTTTGCTACTATTATGCAATTTGGCTTATGAAAAAACTATATTCACCCTTCTAAAAGGTATGAATTTGAAGTATACGAAAGTATTAGATGAAGCGAAAGATTCCGCCATTCAATTTGCATATAATGCGTTAGCATCGATTCTAAGTGAAGATACTATTGATGAAGCGAATGAACCTCAGAAGTTAAAACAGGATTACTTGAAATCCCTGATAGACAATCTTCCAGAAGCCAAACGTATAACAATTATAGATTATGGACGAACATATGAAGGTAATTGAGGGCGATTTGTGAAGCAAATGATTCGACTCTTTTTTTCTCATTCCGTTTTAGGGGAGGGTTTACAGGTACAATACAGTTTCCTTACCGAAGAAATTTTGAGTAAGTTAATTGAAGATATTGATACTATCTCGAACTGGAGGAGGTACCGTTTCGATGAGAACGATTATAAACGTGTATCAAAAAGCTTAAGAATATGCACGAAACAGAATACACAAGAAGTTGAGTCGCTCATAAAACCTGTGATCGAATGTTTAAATTCATCAGCTTATATGGAAGTTTTCGAAAAAATTGAATTCTCCCGAAGCAAAGTAGCATCGGGTTTAGTGCGTACGAATCGTTCTCTCGCCGCCAAACATTTGTTCTTTATGCGTGAATGTCCTGAGTTTCTCATTCAACATCATTATTCCGAAGATGAAAGTGAAATGAAATCATTGATGGACAAAATGATGTCTAACACTCGACAAATCTTTCAAGATCATTTGCATGTCGTGACTGTGACAGCAACCGAACGAGTTCTTGGTCATACGATGAATACTGATGATGATGATGATGAAGAAGCAAGAATAGAAGCATTGGGTTATCATATCAAATTATTAAATCATTTTGCTATGCAAAGATCTCTTCGGAAAGAATGTTCCGATCAACCGATTATTCAGAACATAATCACGGTTTTACAAGATGATGGTTTACTTAATCAGCTGGAACGTCTTAGCAAGAAAAGAATTGAATTCATCGGACAATCATTGACATTATTGAATAACTTGATACTTGAGGAACAGGCATTGAAGTTAATGAAAAGTCAATCTTTCGCCAAAACATGTTCTCAGTTTCGTTCGATTAATGATAAAACAGTTCAATTTACTTCCCATATACTGTTGATCTCATTAAACAAAACATCATTCAACGATCTGAGAGAAATCGATTTTTTATCGAAAACATATACCGAATATCTTTGTAAGTCGGTTAAAGTACCAAAATTATGTTACCATTGTGTTAAATTAAGTTGTTTAGTAAGGAATCTCAAAAGTATGTAGAAAACTAAATATAGAATTCGGATTAAAAACCAATATTCGCTTATATTGTTTAGTTATCGTCGAAGGAAATGATGTATTCCGTGATTCTCTTGTCGAACAGAAAAATGGTATTTCAGCCATCGCTAACTGTGTCTCTGCCTATCAAGATAGTAGTATTGAATCGAAACCGGTCAAGGCTTCCTCGATCGTTCAAAGGATGAAACCGGACGCAGAAGTTTTGGAAAAAATTCAACAGTTAGCAATACTTATTATTTGGCGGTTTACATATTACGGACCAACAGTTATCAAAACATTGAAATCAAACGATGCTTTTATCGATCAAATTCTGAAAGTCAGCAAACAACCGTTGCGAGGACCAGCCAAAGGTAATAAAAAATCATTAGCAGATTCAGCGAAAGAAACTGCTGAACAAANTCAGAACTTAAAACAGGATTACTTGAAATCCCTGATAGACAATCTTCCAGAAGCCAAACGTATAACAATTATAGATTATGGACGAACATATGAAGGTAATTGAGGGCGGTTTGTGAAGCAAATGATTCGACTCTTTCTTTTTCATTCCGTTTTAGGGGAGGGCTTACAGGTACAATACAGTTTCCTTACCAAAGAAATTTTGAGTAAGTTAATTGGAGATATTGATACTATCTCATGGAGAGGGTACCGTTTCGATGAGAACGATTATAAACGTGTATCAAAAAGCTTAAGAATATGCACGAAACAGAACACACAAGAAGTCGAATCGCTTATAAAGCCTGTGATCAAATGTTTAAATTCATCAAATTATATGGAAGTTTTTGAGAACGTTGAATTGTCAGGAGGAAAATTAGCATCGGGTTCAATACATACGAATCGTTCTCTTGCTGCTAGACATTTGTTCTTTATGCGAGAATGTCCCGAATTTCTCATTCAACATCATTATCCCGAAGAAAGTGAAAGTGAAATGAAATCATTAATGGACAATATGATGTCAAACACTCGACGAATCTTCCAAGATCATTTGCATGTCGTGACTGTGAAAGCAACCGAACGAGTTGCCGGCCATGCAATGGACACTGATGCCAATGAAGAAGCTAGAATAGAAGCATTGAGTTATCATATCAAGTTGTTAAATCATTTTGCTATGCAAAGATATCTTCGAAAAGAATTTTCCGATCAACCGATTATTCAAAATGTAATCACGGTTTTACAAGATGATGGTTTACTTGATCAGCTAGAGCGTCTTAACAAGAAACGGATTGAGTTCATTGGACAATCATTGACATTATTGAATAACTTGATACTTGAGGAAAAGGTGTTGAAATTAATGAAAAGTCAATCTTTTGCCGACACATGTTCACAATTTCGTTCGGTTAATGACAAAACAATTCAATTTACGTCGCACATACTTTTGGTCTCATTAAACAAAACATCATTCACCGATGTGAGAGAAATCGATTTGTTATCAAAAACATACACCGAGTATCTTTATAAGTCGGTTAAAGTACCAAAATTATGTTACCATTGTGTTAAATTAAGTTGTTTAGTAAGAAATCTCAAAAGTATGTAGAAAACTAAATACAGAATTCAGATTAAAAAACAGTATTCGCTTATATTGTTTAGTTATCGTCGAAGGAAATGATGCATTCCGTGACTCTCTTGTCGAACAAAAAAATGGTATTTCAGCCATCGCTAATTGTGTCTCTGCCTATCAAGATAGTAGTATTGAATCGAAATCGGTCAAGGTTTCCACGATCGTTCAAAGAATGAAACCGGACGCAGAAGTTTTGGAAAAAATTCAACAGTTAGCAATACTTATTATTTGGCGGTTTACATATTACGGACCAACAGTTATCAAAACATTGAAATCAAACGATGCTTTTATCGATCAAATTCTGAAAGTCAGCAAACAACCGTTGCGAGGACCAGCGAAAGGCAACAAAAAGTCATTAGCAGATTCAGCAAAAGAAACTGCTGAACAAATGTTATGGCGATTTGGTAGTGAAAAGTTGATTCTTCATGAAAAGAAGAAAAAACAAGAAGAAATAACGTCCGATCGACCGGATGAACCGTCAACTGCAGATCAATGGCGTGAATCTGTTCCTTTCGATCTGCTGATGAGTTATAGTACGAATGTCAATGATAAGATTATGAGTTTGAAAATTGCAGATCGTTTAACAAAGAGAAACTATCGAGTTTATACGGAAAAACAAGGTAAACATCGATTAGAATTAATGGAAATTGCAGCAGCAAAAAAGGTGCCAATTCTTGCTTGTTTATCATCGAAATTTCGAGATTCGAAATTCTGTATGGCTGAAATCGATAATGCGAGTAAAGTCAAGTGTCCTGTGATTCCAATTATTGTGGAAGAAAACTATACAGTCAAAGGCTGGTTGAATCATGTATTGAACAATCGAAAACCGATTGAGTTTAATAACACAGATTTTACTCAATCGTTTATGTTTCTAATCGGAGAAATTGATGAAATATTACATAGACAAGAGAGAGAATAAGCAAATCTTCTTTTCTTTTTTTTTTTGTAGATAGAAATTTTCATATGGCTACCTCAAAGTCATCAACAACAAGCGATTTTTACTATGCGTGCCGAAATGGATTAATCGATGTTGTTCGACAACAACTACCAAATATGAGTTTAGAGGAGATTGATAGGGTTCAAGCCAATGGCTCTACGGCTCTTCATGCAGCGTCTTACTTCGGTCATACAGAAATTGTGAAGCTATTGTTAGAAAAAGGCGCAAGTCGGTCGGTATCAAATCTCCATAAATGTTTGCCTTATGATGAAGCATCACTGGATGAAATCAAAACATTATTTAAACGACCATCCAATCGTTTTTCTGACGATGAATCGGGTCATATTGATTGGATGAAATGTGATGCAGCCGCTGAACAACTAGCCAGAGACTATCGATATCGCCATACTGGCTTAGGATGGACAGCAAAGAATATTGAACATCGTTTGAAACACATCAAAGACGAAATGTCACATACAGAAGTTGATCGTATTCGAGTTTTTCTCAATGAAGCTCAACGTGATCCAAAATGTCTTCTTCGTGCCTATACAGTCGAATCCGCTTTCTATGCGAAGTTGAATAAAGATCTCGCGTCGAGACACTTCGATCAAGGAACGAATTTTGGATTAACGTACTTCGTGGATTTTTTCTACAATCATCCCGAATTTCAATCTCTGTCATATACAGGCCCTACCTATCGAGGTATGACCGTAACTCAAGATGACATGAAAGAGTACACTACCGGAAACAAAATAATGAACAAGGCATTTCTATCGACGACGAAAAATCGCGCAATAGCAGAACAGTTCGCAAGAAATGAAGCGCACAATCGGAAGAATAAAAGTGGTGATCTGGTTAAATTAGCGGTTTTGTGCTCATTTGAAATTGTTAATCATCGGACAGGATTGAGTGTCGAAAGCATTTCAGAATTTGCGTATGAACAAGAAGTTCTGGTTGGCCCGTACACCGCATTTTTAATTGTTGATGTACGTCAAGTTTCTGATAACTATGCCGAAATCGATCTACGAGAATGTGACATAGTGGAACACGATGAAAATGGTGGTGATGATGAAGATTTTGACTAAGTATCAAGTTGTTGAAGCATCATTTGTATCATTATCTTAAGCATACAATAAAAAAACACTGATACTCTCGTTTTGAACTTTGTTCTATGTTACCTTGAAGAACTATTCGAAAAGAGATGGGACATTTTCTGAGAGTATGACTACAAGTGTGAGTGATTAATTACTTCAACCATCATTCCGAGTTATGATGACACAAGTAATGTGGTACAATAGTCGCTGACTCTCTATCGAAAGGATATTGTCAGATTCCTATTATTCTCTAAAAGAAATAAATAAGAATTATTTCATTTGAATAATACAATCTTTTACCCATACTCATTTGACTACCAAAAGAAACTATTATAGATATCACCTTTTATTCTAGGATTTGCAGTGAAAAGAGCACCCATCATATGTTCAGAATATCATTTGTATAGTCGACATCTCCGTAGTTAATCAGATGCAATTGCGCTGGCGGACATGTGCCTTTTACAGCATATTCCCGCTAAAGTCCTATTGGAAAACCTGACGTATCGCAACATACAAGGCAATACTCATATTAAGCTCATATCACTTCTTCTGATTTCTTGAACAACAACTATCATAACATAAGGTATACTAAATCTTTTTGTGTAGCCTCGTGAAAGTATCATCGTCGCACACATCAGTCTTATGGTATCATTTCTGCAAGACGGTTTAACATCAAACCCTTCGAGCAATCTGAGTAAAATCCTCCATTCGATATTACTCAACAGGAAACATGCGTCTGTACTTGTTACCTGATTATAAATACTAAACAATTCCAAAAGAATACCTTTTGAAGGGATTATAGACATTTTTCTTTATGTGAAAAAATATCATAGGAGTTTGGAAAAACTGCTAAAAACTTGGGGCTTTTCATAGAAGGAATCTAAATTTTTTTCTATCGATAGTGTTTTCTCGAGCATATTGGTGTTTGGAAGTGAAGGAAACTCCATAGATTGACCCATCTATATTTTTTTAAACTATCTTTGTATTTGCAAGCCTCATACTTTGATATATTATTGAAAAGCAAAAACCGTCGACAGAAAAGAGAAGAAAAATTTTGGTTGTAGAATCAGTTTTGATACTGTCTCGAACTAACGTTTATTGAAGTACATGATGTCTTTCGTTTGTAACTATTCTTGGATCTTCAATACGACGTCGACAAATTTTATGTTTAAATAAACGTAGAAATTCTTGTCGAAATATTGAAGCTGACCAGATATAAATGAAAAATGTAAGTGCTAATTCCAATTGAAGAAAAACATAACTTGTATGAAAAACACTCAGTTCAACCAAAAGACGAAGTGGTGATTTTTGTGTATTCATTGTAAATGCTTGATAAAGAAAATAACATGGATTCAATGTACTGAGAATGACGAAAATGATAGCTTCATTGAAGGCAATCTTAAAGAGCTGAAGATCTTTTTTTGCCATAATAGTTGTCGGAATATGTTGTCCACCATTCGCTCCATTCATTGGATTAGTACGGTTTTTTATATGCCGAATATTTCTGAGTGTAAGTAAACTGAAAATAATTATGAACAACGGAGGAAGTATACCACTGTCGAATGCTATGTAGATACTGAAAAATATATTATAAGCTCCCTTTCGAGGTAAACATTCACCATGCTGTATTTCATAGAAGATAAGTACATGAACATATATTAATAACCAGAAAATTATATTGATAAATATTACACGATGAGCAATTTTTTTTGAACTCCATTGACGACGAAGTGCATCATGAGAACTAGCGAAATAACGATCAATCGACGCTAAGATTATGAAATAGCGAGGAATAGCGACAAAAACATACAAAAGATAATAACGAATTTTACAAAACCAAGGCACATAATTGACTGTATTAACATTGTAACCATATTGAAGCATACGTGTCATAAGACCAAAGTTAAAATCTATAATTTGAGTAGCACTAGAAGCAAGATAATAGAGAGCGCACGAATTCTTGCGTAATGCTGGTTGATACAATGTAACAAAGCTTAGTACTGCTCCAATATCTCCTATAAATATAACAGCACCCATAGCGTATTGAGAAATGTTGACCATCATATTACTAACAAATGCCGTCCAATAAATTAGGTTACTATCAAATGTTGTATTCATTCTACACAAAACGCAATAGATTAACAAACTAATATTTAACGGAATGAATATATGTACGGGACTGGCTATGTTGTGGTATTAAAGATTTCAACTTAAAAACGACTACTGACAAGAAATGGGGCAGACTAATCTATCATGTCTCAATTTCTGAAAGCTATTTTTGAATTTTTCTCCTCGATCTATATATATGCTTGAAAACAGAGAGCTGTGTTGCCTTCGAACTTCTGATTTTATCTATATAAATAAGAAAAGACTACATACTGTCTAGTAGATTTCTATACGTCTCATGTAGTACATTCTATGTCAGGTCACTACAGTCTGATCGCAACACTACAGCAATCGAGAAAAAGCTCGTATACATTATTTATAATAATTCATGAGTGATATATCAGGAATAAAAATATTTTTCAAAAGCAAAATGAAAAATGTCATCGCGTTACGCTAAACTATTATAATAAACAGGTTTTTAGATATACAAATATATTGATGAGACAGCTCATGAAAAATTAACATTAGATGTGTATTCTAAGCGAAAAAATATTGAGTTTTCTTTTACATTCGCCTAATATAATAACACTGATTAAACTTTGATTGTTTTGTGAAAACATGTGTCTACTATTTATATATGTAGTGTAACAAAAAACATTCCTGATTGTTGAAAAGAAGTTGAGATAAAGACAAATGATTGATTAATGATGAGGAGAACTATACGCAATGATAGTAAAAGTAAGAAATGAATACGGGAAGTTATCTATTATATCCAACTTACATGTAAATAAAAGAGTTAACATATTCTAGGATCCAGACTCTTTAAAAGACTTTGTTTAAGAATAAACTTCTATTTCGTTCTATCTATCAACTTAAGATTTATGATGAACTATGACGTCTAGAAGCAACTGCGCGTTCTCTAGAATATCTCAAAAGCATACTCAAGGAGTGAACAGGCGAGAAAGTACGCGACAAAAAAGGAAGAGAGCGGAAGAAACAAGAACTACGATAATAAGAGATTACGTATTGTCGACATAGATTAAAAGGAACGTTGTAAAAAAAAGAACGTCTCATTTCTCGATACATCATGCTGTTCTAATAAATAAATTGAGTCTTCCGGTGGACTAAGCCACGATTTTTCATCACAAATTAATGAGTTCATCATTATTTTTTAATTATTTGATACAATTTGCAATAGAGTTTAAGAAAACGAAATATTTTCATACACTTTCAACTATATTCTATAGAATAAGCCAAATGGCTGTTAACTTCGAAACTATACCTTTCTAGTGCGGACACGTTTCTTGTGTAAGACAAATAAAAATTCACTCTAGTTTCATTCCCAGAGTAGATATAAACTGATCTTTAGATAGTTTGAAAAGTTTTAGATGCAAACTTGTTTTTGCAAATATTTTTCTTTTTTGACTTTGCTATAAAATAGTCACCATTAATATATCTCCCTGTCATATCTTGAGGATGTTATGCTTTAAGTAATGACATTCGTATAGAGCAAAGTTTCAATTATTTAAAGAAGAGAAAGAAAAACATTTGTCACGAGTATGCGATAAAATAATGTATTTACTCACATTTTCTTTGGTATTATGGATGAGTCATGCTCGTCGAGGGTGAACGGAGTGAGTGTGATTACGCTAAGAGCTTGTGGAGTTGGTAGGAATTCAGTTTCAGATTACATTAACATCGTGGTCAGAGAAGATGCCTGAATCGAAGAAACTGATTCCACAATGTGAAATGTTGAGGAATAGGATGTACTCGTAAAAATCGCCTCACTTTCCCGTCAAAAACCAAAACAAAACACGATAATTTTGGAAAATACCAGATAGATTCGTTTCTGTACTGCTTAGCACGATTCCAATGCCAGTTTCAAATAGTGATCGACGATTTATGTCAATTCTAATCGTAAAATTTTCGCTTCCACCCATAATCTTACTCTAAACAATGATAATGAGTCTAAAAAAGACATGTATCAATTAGATTGCTTTCTTTGAAAAAAGAATGCATAATAAATTAAGTATTGTCCTCAAAAACAATTTATTTCAATCATTTTTTAATTGCCATATTGAATGAACGAGTGCATGTAGCATTTTTTAGAATTTTCACCGAATTTTGTCAATGACTTTTCTACCATTTTTCGCAGGAAAATTTCGAATTTCGAGAAGGTTTATTTATAAGCATATTCAAGATTTTCAGCTATTTCATATCTGAGATCTTTTCCTTTTTTGCATTGCTAGAAAGGTGAATCTGCTTCTCACCAAAATGAATAGTTACTCAAATTTGTTTTCTATACTTCTCTTAAATTTATCATATCTCAAGAAAACAGATAAGATTTCAATCCTGCCGTCTATTCGTTCTCTCGTCATCATCGTATCGTTGACTATTGTTTGCCATTCATATAAAAAGGCGACAGCAGACAACATTTGCTTACGTGTCGCTAGCATTATATCATATAAATTGTAATGGTGCACATGAATCTGGGTATGGAAAAGAACGAAATTCACATTTCATTCGAACTTATGCGAAGAAAATGTATTTACGTAGTTAACTGTCTACACTTTTATTCGCATTCAAGCCCTCACAGACATTTGCAACTTACTATTCAAACGACGTAGTATCCAAAAATAGGCAATGTTTTTTTAATTAGTTGGAAAAATCAGAAGATCAGTTGATAATAGATGAACAACACAGCGTTCGCTAGATAGATATTATATTGCTGAGATGGCCATACTTCGGGATAACGAGTTATATGAATTGTTTACTTCTATTATAGGTAAGAAAATAAATACAAAAAAGAAAAATTCACGTGGAATTCTTAAGTGGCGACGAATTCTTGCGACAGCAGCAGAGTAAATACAAGTGTTGGGTTTTTTTCTTCTGTAATAATAGTAAACGAGACACACTCATACTTTGTCTTCACCAGTAAGGGAATGAGCATTTATTGTTTTGGAAATTGATGTTAAAAAAAACAGATTAAATTATTCCGATTAGAAACTTATTTTTATACCACGATGGGTTGTAAATTTGTGTGAAAAGAGGCAACACAGCGATAATTCAATCATGTACAAGGAACTATTGGTCATAAGATCGAAATAAGTATTTATATTTCTCATATAACTTTCATTTTTTACAGATATTTATGATAGTTTGTCTTTTTTCTTCGAGCAGCGTGTACTTTTTATTTTTTAAGCAAAATTACCCACTGGAAATTTTGCTTAAAACTTCATTAATACTTAGCCTTTTGCTTCACTAAAAAGAACCTTACAGTCGTACTGTTTACATTTACTTACAATCAAATCATAATCCTAAAACCTTTCCAACACAAAATCTATGAGTTACACATTTTAATCCGAAAAAAGATGCACGAATAATATTTCTTAGAATAACTCTCGACGAAAATAATACTGGTGATCAAAATCATATATACAAATGTTATGTTTATTTTTATGTGTGCTTTTTGTTTTTCTTCAAAGTTCTTCACATATGTATTTTAGATATTTTGAATAAGATTAACATTTGAAGTCGTAGTATTTACGCGCCTGGTTAATACAATAAATATGTTGGCGAGTTTCTATTTGTACAGCCTCGGCACTTCTGATGAACGTTTGTCAAGTTATGTGGCAGAGACTAAACATCTCCTTTTTAATGACAAAACTGGACAGGAATCCTTTGATTTGACTTACAGATGGTTCACAGACTACGATAAATATATTTCACTTAATGGGAAAAAAACATTTTCTGCGGATGTCAAGTTTATAATCCAAAATGCTGCAGAAAGACTGAAAGCGTCTCAAAGTTCGTGTCATGTCTGTCAAAATGTCATTACTTACTTCTACTTACTTCGTCGAATTATTGAATATATGGAACAGCTACATGGACCATTTGATCAAGTAAACAAGTTTCGAAAGCTTCTACTGGACCATTTGGGGCGCGAATTCAAAGATTCTAACGGAGAAAATCCGAGTTTTTCTTTAAAGAACAAAGACATAATACAGCAATTAAATGTAATGGAACACATTGCATTCATCAGTATTGACGGCCAAGAAGCTTTACCGAAATTGTTTGCAATGTGTAAGTTAACCTTTCAATCATTTGAATCTGCCGATAAACCAAATTACTTAAATTGGAAAAAACTACTGACGATGATAATGGAATGGAAATTATCATTGAAAGATTTTGTGTCGAAATATATTACATATCAAAGTGTATTTGCAGCATATCCTCTCGATGCGTCAGCGTTTGTATATCTTATGCAGATGCTTCCATCGAAGGATCTGATGTCGTTTGAAAAATCTCGCGACATGCTCAATAAATTAGTTATAGATTATGGCGTATTCTTCGAAGAATATCATTTTCTTTTCGAAGAAAATGTGAAATCAAGATTTTATAATAATGCCTATATTACGTCTTTGTTACCGGTCCTCCGTCAACTCGATATTACTTTGTTGAAATATTTACGAACTTATATGTCAAATACAAGTTTTCCTATGATATGGAGTATGGTTTTGTTTTTTAGTAAAAATCATGGTCTAGACGATACACTGGAAAATGCTCTAAAGATAAATTTACAAATACAGATTAGAAAAATATTTATCACGGTCACGGAATTTAAAAACTTGTTTAAAGACACGAAAGAATCTGCTCAACTGATAAAGACTCAAAATCGAATGCGACTTTCCCGAATATTACAAGGAATATCTCATGCGTATTTGTACAAATATTTGTACCTTGAACACCAATCTCATCTACTTTTCGAATGGGATGCAAAGGAATTTCTAAGCGTTTTAACTCAATTGTCGTGGACACTTGATTCTAAAAACGAATCCTGCTTATTCGTTTTGAAACATTTGCTATTTCGTGTAAATGATGTTACGAACAACAAACATGAAAAACTGAAACGTCTCTTCCAAAGAATCAATAATCTAAATGAAAGGCTATGTGCAACTGCCAGACCCGAAAAAATTATTAAAGACGATTGGCTCATCGATTATACTTATGATAATCCGTATGATTGGCTACAGTTAACTCAACATGATTATCAAAGTCTCTGTGAAAGTCATCAAAATAATAAATGGTTGCTTTATATTTGGTCAAAACTCGTATCTTTATCCATGTCTAATTTAACAGCTAATGATTGTGAATATTGCATTCTTGAACAATTGAACAAATGGATGGTGACAATTCAACATGAAAAATATCAAGATACTGATCCATTAACAGTTACATTCGTTTATGGCGTGTTCGAATCTCTTATTTACAAGCAAATTAAATCATTAACATCACTTCCAAATATCCAAACAATAATTTCGTATATTATGGATGCTCGAAATGCTAATTCACGTTGGATAACTTCCAAAAGTATGGTGGAAGAGTTTGTCGAAACGGTCGAACAATTAATTCGAAATGTTCTACTCCTCGCAGGTGAATAAATGTTTTTTTTTCTCCTCAGATTCTTAGAAATAACTGATACCGATAAGCAATTTTGTAGGTTCACTCTTGAAAACACTTCGAATGATGAACATTATAATTAAAATTTTCGATTGAGAGTCACCCAGGTCGAACAATCCCATACTCGGATCCCATCGGATCCAATATAGGATTTTATCAGATCCTACAGGAATTCCACGGATCCGATCGGATTCCATGTCGGATCCGAAACATGGATTTTCTAAGGGTCATCGTAGAACATAGCTAAAAAGATCGCTCATAAAATTTGCAACAACCGACGGGATTTTTCTAGTCGGATTCCAATGCAATTCCGTTTCCAGGAATCCGATCGGATCTGTTGACCTGGGCAGATTATTTTTAAGAAAGTCTTCATAAAAACCTCGCTTAAGATTCGAATAAATTTATATGAATTTTAGGTGCTAATACAACATATCGTCAACTATCAAAACCATCTATTATATATTGTTTTATTCAATACGTCGATTTTAAGACTATATTAAGTAGAGCTGAGCCTTTAAATTATAAGTTTCCATTAACAGCGCCACATATTAACATGATTATGGATATACAGAATCCAAGTGATATTAGCATATCCACGATTGAATCTGAAGAAGACTTTGTTCGTTTTATAAAGCAAACAAATGTGTGGCTCGATTGGTTTGAAAAATTCGTTGATATTTTTTTATACATTGTAGAATGGATGAAAAGCTATAAAATGGAAAAAGCTGATGAATTATATCGTGAAATGTACTCTATGAGAAGTGACTCAACATTAACTCTATTTAGAACCAGTTCACTTATTCGAGAACTTTTGAAAATTTTCGAATCTTTAACTTATCTACCACGTTTATGTGTTTTATTTAATTGTACTCAATCGTTTGAAATGATTATAACAGGAATCCTAAGTGCTCCAAATCAAAGTGAATCATTTATGGATGAAATAAAACGATTTCGTTCAGATTTTAAGATACAAGCCAACACTGCAGATGAAAAACTTCTTTATATCGACGAGCGACGTCATGTTCATTGGTCTGTTGCATGTGAGCAAACTCTTCACAATGTCACTGTAGAATTTCAATTAGATGGTTCTATCAACGAAATCTTTCAATTTTATTCAGCGCCAGTTCTTTCTCCGTATGAAGGCATCTTGCGAGGAGAATTTAAGACACAACGAAATGGACAATTGAGAATAAAAGCCACTAATAGCAACCAAAAGGTCCAACATACGTTACGATATCAAATCAAAAGTAGTCCTCTGACAACGTGTCATCTATTTCATGGTATATTTGATAATCATTTTCGAAAATATTTCCAATCATCAGCTACAACAATTAGAAAAAAAGATTTAATCCAATTAATCGACGAAGTATTTTCATTCATCGATCGTTTATTAGACGGCACTATAAGTTTAGCTGAAATGAATGAACTTCGAACAGTTTTTCATGATAAAAACATTAACGTTCGATCAGAAGTACAAAAATTAAGTGAAAATCTATTAGCCGCCACTCAGTCATTGAATTCAAACACTACCACTACTTCAAAAACATTGAGTAATGAAAAAACTGAACTAGTTTGTGAATGGGTTCAAACTTATCAATATTACACTCATCTCAATATAATCACCGACTGTGTAGAAAAATTTCATATAATTTCTACTGAAAATAACGATGAATCGATGCATCATCTGCAAAATTTAACTATGGATAATAGTCGTTTGTTAAGAGAAATATCTAATACATATAGAGATATTTATGGTTCGTTTAAAAAATTATCGAATGAACATTTACAATTGATTAAAACTGTAGTAGCATGTCCAAATGTTGTGACAATGGTGAAAAAATCAAATTTTTATTCCGCTGATGGATTACGTCGATTTCAGGAATTAAGAGATAATTTAACCACACAATTTCAATTTCAAGAGAGAAATAATATGATTCTTAACAGTTGGATTTTCACTGTTACTTTATGTGAACCTTTTGTTCAGAACGCACGTAATTTAGAAGAATTTATTGATAATTTAGCTCGTTTGAAATCAATCGATGAGAACTCATATGAACATATCAAAGGTAAGAGAAATATAATGCTAACGTGTAGTTTGTCATTTTTTTATTGTATCATTTTTCTTCTAGTTGTCAATCAGAATATTGAAACTATCAATTTATGGTTATCAGCAGACGATTTAACAATGTTAGACAACGCTTTAATCAAGATGGAACACTTATACACAACAGGCATCATTAATATTCACCTTCAACGTTTGGTTAATAAAGAATCTCATTATGATATTGATTATTTTATTGATAAGACATCTGAACAAACATCCAAAACGAATGAGAATGACGAAAATCATCAACTGAAACAACAAGAATCAGTTAAACTTACTTTATCTATGGCAGATATTCATGATCACAGACGTCAATTAACATTTGGTATATCTGATTTAGCAGACAATATGGTTTATCAAACAATTCTATTAGAAGAACAATTGAAGTTATTACAAATGGTGGAAAGAGTTTTTTCAATACATCTTAAACTGGAGATCTCAGGTCATCCAGATTTTCAATGTTTAGAACGACATTACGAAATCTATGATTTATACGGTATGATATAATATAACACCACGAAAAATATTCACACTAAAATCTTGTTTTAGGTCATATCAAACAAATCTTAAGCAGTAAGAAAGATCAATCGGATTTACAATTTCAAGAACAACTTACGGATCTAATTGTCAAGCGAACGAAACATTTTGAAACGGTTTATAAACGATTAGTTGGTGATTATGAAAGTTGGACGGAAGATTTAGAAAAATATCGATATGAGAATAAATTATTAACATTATTTTCAAATCGGCAAATAATGATTATGATTATTCTTTTGACTCGATCAATAACGAANGCGGTTTTGTGCTCATTTGAAATTGTTAATCATCGGACAGGATTGAGTGTCGAAAGCATTTCAGAATTTGCGTATGAACAAGAAGTTCTGGTTGGCCCGTACACCGCATTTTTAATTGTTGCTGTACGTCGAGTTTCTGCTAACTATGCCGAAATCGATCTACGAGAATGTGACATAGTGGAACACGATCAAAATGGTGGTGGTGATGATGAAGATTTTGACTAAGATCAGGTTGTTGAAGCATCATTTGTATCATTATCTTAAGCATACAATAAAAAAAACACTGATACTCTCATTTTGAACTTTGCTCTATGTTATCTTGAAGAACTATTCGAAAAGAGATGGGACATTATCTGAGAGTATGACTACAACTGTGAGTGATTAATTACTTCAACAATCACTCCAAGTTATAATGACACAAGTAATGTGGTATAGTAGCCGCTGATTCTCGGTCAAAAGGATATTGTCAGATTTCTATTATTCTCTAAAAAGAAATAAATAGGAATTATTTCATTTGAATGATACAATCTCTTACTCATACTCATTTGACTACCAAAAGAAACTATTGTAGATATCAGCTTCGATTCTAGGATTTGCCGTGAAAAGAGCACCCATCACATGTTCAGAATATTATTTGTATAGTCGACATCTCCGTAGTCAATCAGATGCAATTGCGCTGGCGGACATGTTTTTTTTTACAGCATATTCCCGCTAAAGTCCTATTGGAAAACCTGACGTGTCGCAACATACAAGGCAATACTCATATTAAGCTCATATCACTTCTTCTGATTTCTTGAACAACAACTATGATAACATAAGGTATACTAAATCTTTTTGCATACATCAGTCTTATGTTATCATTTCTGCAAGACGGTTTAACATCAAACCCTTCGGGTAATTTGAGTAAAATCCTCCATTCGACATTACTCAACAGAAAATATGCTTCTGTACTTGTTACCTAATTATAAATACCAAACAATTCCGAAAGAATAGCTTTTGAAGGGATCGTAGGCATTGAATAAATATCTCAGGAGTTTGAAAAACTGTTAAAAACTTGGGGCTTTCCATAGAAGGAATCTAAATTTTTTCTATCAGTAGTGTTTTCTAGAGCATGCTGGTATTCTGAAGTGATATGAAGCTATATTTTTAAAACTATCTTTGTATTTGCAAGCCTCATACTTTGATATATTATTGAAAAGCAAACACTGTCGAAAGAAAAGAAAAACTTTGGTTGTAGAATGGATTTTCATACTATTTCGAAATAATGTTTATTGAGGTAAATGATTTCGTTCGTTTGCAACTGTTCTCGGATTTTCACTGCGACATCGACAAAATTTACGTTTAATTAAACGTAGAAATTCTTGTCGAAATATTGAAGCTGACCAGATATAAATGAAAAATGTAAGTGCTAATTCCAATTGAAGAAAAACATAACTTGTATGAAAAACACTCAGTTCAACCAAAAGACGAAGTGGTGATTTTTGTGTATTCGTTGTAAATGCTTGATAAAGAAAATAACATGGATTCAATGTGCTGAGAAGGACGAACATGATAGCTTCATTGAAGGCAATCTTTAAGAGCTGTAGATCTTTTTTCGCCATAATAGTAGTTTGAATATGTTGTCCGCCATTCGCTCTATTCATTGGATTAGTACGATTTTTTATATGTCGAATATTTCTGAGCGTAAGTAAACTGAAAATCATTATGAACAATGGAGGAAGTATACCACTATCAAATGCTATGTAGATACCGAAAAATATATTATAAGCTCCCTTTCGAGGTAAACATTCATCATTCTGTATTTCATAGAAGATAAGTACATGAGTGTATATTAATAACCAGAAAATTATATTGATAAATATTACTCGATGAGCAATTTTTTGTGAACTCCATTGACGACGAAGTGCATCATGAGAACTAGCGAAATAACGATCAATCGACGCGAAGATTATGAAATAGCGAGGAATAGCGACAAAAACATACAGAAGATAATAACGGATTTTACAAAACCAAGACACATAATTGACTGTATTAACATTGTAACCATATTGAAGCATACGTGTCATAAGACCAAAGTTAAAATCTATAATTTGAGTAGTACTAGAAGCAAGATAATAGAGAGCGCATGGATTCTTGCGTAACGCTGGTTGATACAATGTAACAAAGCTTAGTACTGCTCCAATATCTCCGATAAGTATAACAGCACCCATAGCGTATTGAGAAATTTTGACCATGATATCACTAACAAATGCCGTCCAATAAATTTGATTACTATCAAATGTTGTATTCATTCTACACAAGACGCAATAGATTAACAAACTAATATTTAACGGAATGAATATATGTACGACTGGCTCTGTTGTGATATTAAAGATTTCAACTCGAACTATATGCTTGAAAATAGAGAACTTTGTTGTCCTCGAAATTCTGATTTTATTTATACAAATAAGAAAAGACTACGTGCTGTCTAGTAGAGTCCTATACATCTGACGTAGTATTCTATATCAGGTCACTAAAGTCTGACGGCAACACGACAGTAATCGAGGAAAATTTCTTATACATTATTTACAATAATTCATGAGTGATATATCAGGAATAAAAATATTTTTCAAAAGAAAAATGAAAAATATCATCGTGCTACGCTAAACGATTATAATAAACAGGTTTTTAGATATACAAATATATTGATGGGACAGCTCATGAAAAATTAACGTTAGATGTATCTTTTGAGAGAAAACATATTGAGTCGTCTTTTACACTATCGCCTAATATAACAACAGTGATTAAACTTTGATTGTTTTGTGAAAACATGTGTCTACTATTTATATATGTAGTGTAACAAAAAACATTCCTGATTGTTTAAAAGAAGTTGAGATAAAGACAAATGATTTATTAATGATGAGGAGAACTATACGCAATGGTAGTAAAAGTAAGAAATGAATACGGGAAGTTATCCATTAGATCCAACTTGCCTGTAAATAAAAGAATTAACATATTCTAGATCCAGACTCTTTAAAAGACTTTGTTTAAGAATAAACTTCTATTTCGTTCTATCTATCAACTTAAGATTTATGATGAACTATGACGTCTATAAGCAACTGCGTGTTCTCTAGAATATCTCAAAAGCATGCTCAAGGAGTGAACAGGCGAGAAAGTACACGACAAAAAAGGAAGAAAGTGAAAGAAACAAGAACTACGATAATAAGAGATTACGTATTGTCGACATAGATTAAAAGGAACGTTGTAAAAGGAAAAAAATGCCTCATTTCTCGATACATCATGCTGTTCTAATAAATTATAATTGAGTCTTCCGGTGGACTAAGCCACGATTTTTCATCACAAATTAATGAGTTCATCATTATTTTTTAATTATTTGATACAATTTGCAGTAGAGTTTAAGAAAACGAAATATTTTCATACACTTTCAACTATATTCTATAGAATAAGTCAAATGACTGCTAACTTCGAAGCTATATCTTTCTAGTGAGGTCGCGTTTCTTGTGTAAGACAAATAAAAATTCACTCTAGTTTCATTCCTAGAGTAGATATAAACTGATCTTTAGATAGTTTGAAAAGTTTTAGAAGCAAACTTGTTTTTGCAAATATTTTTCTTTTTTGACTCTGCTATATGAAATAGTCACCATTTATGTATCTCCCTGTTATATCTTGAGGATGTTATGCTTTAAGTAATGGCATTTGTATAGAACAAAGTTTCAATTATTTAAAGAAGAGAAAGAAAAACATTTGTCACGGGTATGCGATAAAATAATGTATTTACTCACATTTTCTCTGGTATTATGGATGAGTTACGCTCGTCGAGGGTGAACGGAGTGAGTATGATTACGCTAAGAGCTCGTGGAGTTGGTAGGAATTCAGTTTCAGATTATATTAACATCGTGGTCAGAGAAGATGCCTGAACCGAAGGAACTGATTCCGCAATGTGAAATGTTGAGGAATAGGATGTACTCGCAAAAATCGCCTCACTTTCCCGTCAAAAACCAAAAAAAAAAACACGATAATTTTGGAAAATACCAGACAGGTTCGTTTCTGTACTGCTTAGCACGATTCCAATGCCAGTTTCAAGTAGTGATCGACGATTTATGTTAATTCTAATCGTAAAAGGTTTTGCTTCCACCCATAATCTTACTCTAAACAATGATAATGAGTTTAAAAAAGTCATGTATCAATTAGATTGCTTTCTTTGAAAAAGAGAATGCATAATAAATTAAGTATTGTCCTCGAAAACAATTTATTTCAACCATTTTTTAATTGACATATTGAATGAACGAGTGCATGTAGCATTTTAAAAAAATTTCAACGATTTTGTCAATGATTTTTCCACTATTTTTCGCAGGAAAATTTCGAATTTTGATAAGAATTGTGTGTAAGCATATTCAACATTTTCAACTATTTCATGTCTGAGATCTTTTCCTTTTTTGCATTGCTAGAAAGGTGAATCTGCTTCTCACCAAAATGAATAGTTACTCAAATTTGTTTTCTATATTTCTCTTAAATTTATCATATCTCAAGAAAATCGATAAGATTTCAATCCTGCCGTCTGTTCGTTCTCTCGTCATTATCTTATCATTGACTATTGTTTGTCATTCATAGAAAAAGGCGACAGCAGAAAACATTTGCTTACGTGTCGTTTACATTATATCATATAAATTGTAATGGCTCACATGAATCTGGGTATGGAAAAGAACGAAATTCACATTTTATTGGAACTTATGCGAAGTAAATGTATTTACGTAGTTGACTGTCTACACTTTTATCGGCATTCAAGCCCTCACAGACATTTGCAACTTACTATTCAAACGACGTAGTATCCACAAATTGTCAATGTTTTTTTAATTAGTTGGAAAAATCAGAAGATCAGTTGACAATAGATGAACAGCACGCAGCGTTCGCTAGATAGATATTATATTGCTGAGATGGCCACACTTCGGGATAACGAGTTATATGAATTGTTTACTTCTATTATAGGTAAGAAAATAAATACAAAAAAGAAAAATTCACGTGGAATTCTTGAGTAGCGACGAATTCTTGCCTCAACAGCAGAGTAAATACAAGTGTTGGGTTTTTTCTTCTGTAATAAAAGTAAACGAGACACACTCATACTTTGTCTTCACCAGTAAGGGAATGAGCATTTATTGTTTTGGAACTTGATGTTAAAAAAAACAGATTAACTTATTCCGATTAGAAACTTATTTTTATACCACAATGGGTAGTAAATTGTGTGAAAAGAGGCAACACAGCAATAATTCAATCATGTACAAAGAACTATTGGTCACAAGATCGAAATAAGTATTTATATATCTCATATAACTTTCATTTTTTTACAGATATTTATGATAGTTTGTCTTTTTTCTGAGAAGCGTGTACTTTTTTTTAAGCAAAATTACCCACTATAAATTTTACTTAAAACTTCAGTAATACTTAGCCTTTTGCTTCACTAAAAAGAACCTTATAGTCGTACTGTTTACATTTACTTACAATCAAATCATAATCCTAAAACCTTTACAACACAAAATCTATGAGTTGCACATTTTAATCCGAAAAAAGATGCACGAATAATATTTCTTAGAATAACTCTCGACGAAAATAACAACTGGTGATTAAAATCATATATACAAATGTTATGTTTATTTTTATGTGTGCTTTTTGTTTTTCTTCAAAGTTCTTCACATATGTATTTTAGATATTTTGAATAAGATTAACATTTGAAGTCGTACTATTTACGCGTCTGGTTAATACAAATAATATGATGGCGAGTTTCTATTTGTACAACCGCAGTAGTTCTGATGAACGTTTGTCAAGTTATGTGGCAGAGACTAAAAATCTCATTTTTAATGACAAAACTGGACAGGAATCCTTTGATTTGACTTACAGATGGTTCACAGACTACGATAAATATATTTCATATAATGGGAAAAAAACATTTTCTGCGGATGTCAAGTTTATAATCCAAAATGCTGTAGAAAGACTGAAAGCGTCTCAAAGTTCGTATCATGTCTGTCAAAATGTCATTACTTACTTCTACATACTTCGTCGAACTAGTGAATATATGGAACAGCTACATGGACCATTTGAGCAAATAGACAAGTTTCGACAACTTCTATTAAAACATTTGGGGCGCGAATTCAAAGATTCTAACGGAGGAAATCCTAGTTTTGATTTGAAGGACAGAGACATAATACAGCAATTAAATATAATGGAGCACATTGCATTCATCAGTATTGACGGCCAAGAAGCTTTAGCGAAATTGTTTGCAATGTGTAAGTTAACCTTTCAATCATTTGAATCTGCCGATAAACCAAATTACTTAAATTGGAAAAAACTACTGACGATGATAATGGAATGGAAATTATCATTGAAGGATTTTGTGTCGAAATATATTACATATCAAAGTGTATTTGCAGCATATCCCCTCGATGCGTCAGCGTTTGTATATCTTATGCAGATGCTTCCATCGAAAGATAATCAACCGATGCCATTTGAAACATCTCGCGACATGCTCAATAAATTAGTTATAGATTATGGCGTATTCTTCGAAGAATATCATTTTCTTTTCGAAGAAAATGTGAAGTCAAGATTTTATAATAATGCCTATATTACGTCTTTGCTACCAGTCCTTCGTCAATTCGATATTACTTTGTTGAAATATCTACGAACTTATATGTCAAATACAAGTTTTCCTACGATATGGAGTATGGTTTTGTATTTTAGTCAGAATCATGCTCTAGAGGGTACACTGGAAAATGCTCTAACGATGAATTTACAATTACAGATTAGAAAAATATCTATTACGATCACGGAATTTAAAAACTTGTTTAAAGACACGAAAGAATCTGCTCAACTGATAAAGGGTCGAAATCGAATGCGACTTTCCCGAATATTACAAAGAATATCTCATGTGTATTTGTACAAATATTTGTACCTTGAACACCAATCTCATCTACTTTTCGAATGGGATGCAAAGGAATTTCTAAGCGTTTTAACTCAATTGTCGTGGGCACTTGACTATAAAGACGAATCCTGCTTATTCGTTTTGAAACATTTGCTATTTCGCGTAAATGATTTTACGAATAACAAACATGAAAAACTGAAACATCTCTTCCAAAGAATCAGTAATCTAAATGAAGGGCTATGTGCAACTGCCAGACCCGAAAAAATTATCAAAGACGATTGGCTCATCGATTATACTTATGATACTCTGTGTGATTGGCTACAGCTAACTCAACGTGATTATCAAAGTCTCTGTGAAAGTCATCAAAATAATAAATGGTTGCTTTATATTTGGTCAAAACTCGTATCTTTATCCATGTCTAATTTAATAGCTAATGATTGTGAATATTTCATTCTTGAGCAATTGAACAAATGGATGGTGACAATTCAACATGAAAAATATCAAGATACTGACCCATTAACAGTTACATTCGTTTATAGCGTGTTCGAATCTCTTATTTACAAGCAAATTAAATCATTAATATTACTTCCAAATATCCAAACGATAATTTCGTATATTATGGATGCTGGAAACGCTAATTCACGTTGGATAACTTCCAAAAATATGGTGGAAGAGTTTGTCGAAACGGTCAAACAATTAATTCGAAATGTTCTACTCCTCGAAGGTGAATAAATGTTTTTTTTCCTCAGATTCTTAGAAATAATTGATGCCGATAAGCAATTTTGTAGGTTCACTCTTGAAAACACTTCGAATGATGAACATTATAACTAAAATTTTCGATTGAGAGTCAGATTATTTTTAAGAAAGTCTTCATAAAAACCTCGTTTAAGATTCGAATAAATTTATATGAATTTTAGGTGCTAATACAACATATCGCCAACTATCGAAACCATCTATTATATATTGTTTTATTCAATACGTCGATTTTAAAACTATATTAAGTAGAGCTGAGCCTTTAAACTATAAGTTTCCATTAACAGCGCCGCATATTAACATGATTATGGATAAACACAACCCAAGTGATATTGACGTATCTACAATTGAATCTGAAGAAGACTTTGTTCGTTTTATAAAGCAAACAAATGTGTGGCTCGATTGGTTTGAAAAATTCGTTGATATTTTTTTATACATTGTAGAATGGATGAAAAGCTATAAAATGGAAAAAGCTGATGAATTATATCGTGAAATGTACTCTATGAGAAGTGGCTCAGCATTAACTCTATTTAGAACCAGTTCACTTATTCGAGAACTTTTGAAAATTTTCGAACCTTTAACTTGTCTACCACGTTTATGTGATTTATTTAATTGTACTCAATCGTTTGAAATAATTATAACAGGAATCCTAAGTACTCCAAATCAAAGCGAATCATTCATGGATGAAATAAAACGATTTCGTTCAGATTTTAAGATACAAGCCAACACTGCAGATGAAAAACTTCTTTATATCGACGAGCGACGTCATGTTCATTGGTCTGTTGCATGTGAGCAAACTCTTCACAATGTCACTGTAGAATTTCAGTTAGATGGTTATATCAACGAAATCTTTCAATTTTATTCAGCGCCAGTTCTTTCTCCGTATGAAGGCATCTTGCGAGGAGAATTTAAGACACAACGAAATGGACAATTGAGAATAAAAGCCACTAATAAAAACCAAAAGACCCAACATACGTTACGATATCAAATCAAAAGTAGTCCTCTGTCAACGTGTCATCTATTTCATGGTATATTTGATAATCATTTTCGAAAATATTTCAAATCATTAACTACAACGATTAGAAAAAATGATTTAATCCAATTAATCGGCGAAGTATTTTCATTCATCGATCGTTTATTAGACGGCACTATAAGTTTAGCTGAAATGAATGAACTTCGAACAGTTTTTCATGATAAAAACATTAACGTTCGATCAGAAATACAAAAATTAAGTGAAAATCTATTAGCCGCCACTCAGTCATTGAACTCAAACACTACCACTACTTCGAAAACATTGAGTAATGAAAAAACTGAACTAGTTTGTGAATGGGTTCAAACTTATCAATATTACACTCATCTCAACATAATCACCGACTGTGTAGAAAAATTTCATATAATTTCTACTGAAAATAATGATCAATCAATGCATCATCTGCAAAATTTAACTATGGATAATAGTCGTTTGTTAAGAGAAATATCTAATACATATAGAGATATTTATGGTTGCTTTAAAAAATTATCGAATGAACATTTACAATTGATTAAAACTGTAGTAGCATGTCCAAATGTTGTGACAATGATAAAAAAATCAAATTTTTATTCCGCTGATGGATTACGTCGATTTCAGGAATTAAGAGATAATTTAACCACACAATTTCAATTTCAAGAGAGAAATAATATGATTCTTAACAGTTGGATTTTTACTGTTACTCTATGTGAACCTTTTGTTCAGAATGCACGTAATTTAGAAGAATTTATTGATAATTTAGCTCGTTTGAAATCAATCGATGAGAACTCATATGAACATATAAAAAGTGAGAGAAATATAATGCTAACATGTAATTTGTCATTTTTGATCGTATCATTTTTCTTCTAGTTGTCAATCAGAATATTGAAACTATCAATTTATGGTTATCAGCAGAAGATTTAACAATGTTAGACAATGCTTTAATCAAGATGGAACACTTATACACAACAGGCATCATTAATATTCGCCTTCAACGTTTGGTTAATAAAGAATCTCATTATGACATTGATTATTTTATTGATAAGACATCTGAACAAACATCCAAAACGAATGAAAATCATCAATTGAAACAACAAGAATCAGTTAAACTTACTTTATCTATGACAGATATTCATGATCACCGACGTCAATTAACATTTGGTATATCTGATTTAGCAGACAATATGGTTTATCAAACAATTCTATTAGAAGAACAATTGAAGCTATTACAAATGGTGGAAAGAGTTTATTCAATACATCTTAAACTGGAGATCTCAGGCCATCCAGATTTTCAATGTTTAGAACGACAATACGAAATCTATGATTTATACGGTATGACATCATAATATAACACCATGAAAAACCTTCATACTAAAATCTTGTTTTAGGTCATATCAAACAAATTTTAAGTAGTAAGAAAGATCAATCGGATTTACAATTTCAAGAACAACTTACGGATCTAATTGTCAAGCGAACGAAACATTTTGAAACGGTTTATAAACGATTAGTTGGTGATTATGAAAGTTGGACGGAAGATTTAGAAAAATATCGATATGAGAATAAATTATTAACATTATTTTCAAATCGGCAAATAATGATTATGATTATTCTTTTGACTCGATCAATAACGAATCATTCAGTTCAAAAAACATTTCTTGAAAAAGTAATTCTTTCTAAAAATCGTCAAATCAATCAGGAGATTCAATCAAAACTAGTAATTCGATGTTTGGCACATTATTTACAATCATTACGAATGAAAAATTGTAATTTAACTGAACAAAGAATAATTGATGAATATCAACATTATAGTATAGATCCAGGCGCCAAAACTGATATAAGTTTAAAGACATTATCGGCATTTCTAAATAAACTATGCAATAATGGAAATGAATTGCTTGCTGATAATTTTAATCATACAGAGAATCAACAATATATTGTTACATTGAATTCGGCTACACAACAACAAAATAGCAATGAATTTGATCAAGATACATATTGTATTTTACTCAATATTTTTCATGATTGTTTACCGGCTTCTTACCAAATTCTTTGGTGTTCATCGGCTTCTGAATATGACATTCGATTATTCTTTTTACGAGTCCAATTATTTCATACTCTCACATTTGTTGTAATGGATACTGACAAAATGCATCATCGTCTACGTACAATTCTTTGGCAAGAACAAGATTTATTGATCAGTCAAGATAAACCGCATGCACCTATTTATTATTTTACACGAGAATTGATTATCAACAGAAAAGGTCTAAGACCCTTTTATATAACACCACGACATCGGGATTCATCGGAAACACATTTACAATTGATTAGATTAACGGAGACCAACAAACAAGTTATACCAAATATCGATATTATATGTGGTACCGCTGGCATTGGTAAGATATTATTAAGATAATTCTGATTTTCGTAAATGACTCTGAAACTACCATTTCTATATCTAGTAAATTTATATCATATGTGTTCTTATCTTCTAGGTAAAACTCATTACATTCGAAGTACATACCATGACAATGATCTGTCATTCATCAGTATTAATGAAAAACTTAACTTGACACCGTTGATTGGTTCGTTTCTTTCATTAGAATCTAATAATTTCAATAGCACGCCGTTAATTTACTTAAATATTTCTATTCATGCACCATTCGATCAATTGAATCGCGTTCTTTTCCTTTTACTCATCTGCGGATCATTGAATGATATTTCCACGGGTTTAACATTTTCATTATCTATGCAACATCCATGGAAATTTATTATCGAAGTTCCGTTTACGAATACATGCCAAATGACACCTCGTAAACATTTTCAACAAATATTACCTGTACTTTCCGTTGTATCACCGAAGAACTTTACTGAAGTGACGAACGAAAGTCATCCGTTATATGTTGGACAAGAAGAAGAATTAGTTGCACGGTTTCTTAAAGCTTACGATAATCAAACAATTGATCGTTTATCAGAACCAATCTCCGATGATGAGGATGCGAAACCTGAAGATGATCCAGCTGTTGATTTTGATCCATTAACAGATGATGATGAATCACGTCAATATATTCAAGGTTGTCTAGAGCGATATATGTATGATCTTCCACGCAATAAAATTTTCGAATTGTCATTTATAAAGTTTTTATATCGGCGTGTTCGATTCTTCACTGGTCCTTATTATCGTTATAATTCATCAGTACCCGGTCTTGGTTCCATCGCAATGTCACAAATGATCGAAGAAGCGAAATATTTAACGCAAGTTGACTTTTCTTCTGATGATTATCATCGAACTTATCTTGCTTATGATCCTGGTTTTGCCCTACATCTGCTACATAACGATTGGAATACTGTTCCATATTCGTTAAAGCGTCTTTTTCACAACATCGATCCAAATATTGCGATAATCAAGCAAGGAAAGAATCACTATATAGAATGTTTAGCATGGTTAATTGGTGTGCAGTACGATATTTTTAAATCAATTATGCATGAAATGAAATTTATCATGACAGAAAATTTTGCATACAAATTATTTCATATTCACGAAAGAAAATTAACCAGATTACCGATGATTATCGAAGGTGAAACAGGTGTTGGTAAAACTTTTCTTCTCAACTTTTATTCTCTTTTATTAAATGCGCGTTTTTCTCATGGCGAACTTCATAACGATATAACACCAAGAATTCGAGAACGAACCAGTCTTTGGTTACGGAAAGACATCATCATAGAGATTTTAGAACAGAATACAAATTTCTTAAATGCTGTTTTTCCTGTCCTTGCGTCGAAATTAAATCTCTCGGATGCAAGTCAAAATGAGCTTCTAATACATATCGAAGATGACGAACCAGACCGAGATGCTGTTCTAGCGGAAATCAAAGAAGAATTGCAAATTTTTGAGTATGATTATAGTCAACTAAAGATTATTTGGAAGACTCTAGTAATCACTGCTGATAATATCGATAAAGATCTGAGTAAACAGTTGGTTATGGCTTTGTATGAATTTGTAACATCACAATTGACGAATTTACCATTGATCGAAGCAAGTTATCCATTGAGAAATTTATTAAAGACAAACAAAGTACCGACAGTAGACAAATCAATTGAAATCTTTGATGAATTCGTAGTGCATACACAAATCAAACCAGTTTTCTATCGGCTCCTTTTACATCCAGGCATCCGCGAAGAGACATTAATGGAATATTTGTCTCCAATTCGTGAGCTGGCTGTTCGTGTGCCAAACATCGAATTAGTCGTGTTTTTCGATGAAGTGAATACATCATCATGCCTTAGCTTATTCAAAGAGATGTTTATGGATGGCACATTACACGGGAAAATCCTACCGAAGAACATCTTTTTCACTGCAGCCATTAATCCATCCATAATATCAGACGATATAGAATCTTTTCATTTGCATCGCTCTGATTACCTTGTTTATCGATTACCTGAATCATTGGAAAATCTCAAAGTTATCTACGGCATTCTCAATCGGAATACACTAGAAGATTATGTCAAACAGAAAATAAGCACGTTCACTATAAGTTCAGTAGATAATCTACATCAGCTATCATCTCTTGAAAAATATGCACAAGATATGTTGCTGCGATCGATTCTTAATGCGCAAGATTTTTGTGAAAAACGTCTTGGTACGTACGACTTATTTTCTGTTCAGATGAAAAATGTGTATATTTTAGGACACAATTCGGTATCTCAAAGAGAAATTCAACGATGTTTTAATTTAATTGATTTCTTCTGGACTTTGAAGTACGACAAGAATAATGGTGAACCGAATGCTTTACGAGCAATAGCCTTGTCATTAGCATTGATTTATTATTTTCGTCTTCCGACTAAAGAAGACAATGTACATAGAAACGACACTAAAACACCCTCACGTGAAGAGCTTGGAGAACTGCTCGATAGAACCTTACCTGACTTTTGTCGGATAGTTCAGAATGAACTCGAAAAATTTGTTAATACCGAAAATTTCTCCATTCCAGCAGGTGTCGCCGTCAATCAAGCTGTAAGTTAATGATCACTATTTTACTATTTAACATGTCCTATCTATTTTAGATTCGTGAACACATTTTTGCTATTGTTGTAAGTGTTGTCACACGAACACCTTTGTGCATCATTGGTGCTCCTGGTAAGTATCATAATGATTCAAAACAGGCATATGAAAGATGAATCTATAGGTCAATCGAAAACTCTTTCATTTCAAATTGTTTTACAAAACTTACAAGGTCCTCAATTATCAGCAACATCGTTCTGTCAACGTTTACCAGCATTAGATCCATTCTTTTCTCTCGGATCAAAATATACTCGGTCAGAAGACATTGCATATGTCTTCGATCGGGNTTACACGAGAATTGATTATCAACAGAAAAGGTCTAAGACCCTTTTATATAACACCACGACATCGGGATTCATCGGAAACACATTTACAATTGATTAGATTAACGGAGACCAACAAACAAGTCATACCACATATCGATATTATATGTGGTACCGCTGGCATTGGTAAGATATTATTAAGATAATTCTGATTTTCATAAATGACTCTGAAACTACCATTTCTATATCCAATAAATTTACATCATATTTGTTCTTATCTTCTAGGTAAAACTCATTACATTCGAAGTACATACCATGAAAATGATCTGTCATTCATCAGTATTAATGAAAAACTTAACTTGACACCGTTGATTGGTTCGTTTCTTTCATTAGAATCTAATAATCTCAATAGTACGCCGTTAATTTACTTAAATATTTCTATTCATGCACCATTCGATCAATTGAATCGCGTTCTTTTCCTTTTACTCATCTGCGGATCATTGAATGATATTTCCACGGGTTTGACATTTTCATTATCTATGCAACATCCATGGAAATTTATTATCGAAGTTCCGTTTACGAATACATGCCGAATGACACCTCGTAAACATTTTCAACAAATATTACCAGTACTTTCCATTGTATCACCGAAGAACTTTACTGAAGTGACGAATGAAAGTCATCCGTTATATGTTGGACAAGAAGAAGAATTAGTTGCACGATTTCTTAAAGCTTACGACGATCAAACAATTGATCGTTTATCAGAACCAATCTCCGATAATGAGGATGAGGATGCTAAACCTGAAGATGATCCAGCTGTTGATTTTGATCCATTAACAGATGGTGATGAATCACGTCAATATATTCATGATTGTCTAGAGCAACATATATATGATCTTCCACGCAATAAAATTTTTGAATTGTCGTTTATAAAGTTTTTATATCGGCGTGTTCGATTCTTCACTGGTCCTTATTACCGTTATAATTCATCAGTACCCGGTCTTGGTTCCATCGCAATGTCACAGATGATTGAAGAAGCGAAATATTTAACACAAGTTGATTTTTCTTCTGATGATTATCATCGAACTTATCTTGCCTATGATCCTGGTTTTGCCCTACATTTGCTACATAACGATTGGAACACTGTTCCATATTCGTTAAGACGTCTTTTTCGCAACATCGATCCAAATATTGAGATAGTCAAGCAAGGAAAGAATCATTATATAGAATGTTTAGCATGGTTAATTGGTGTGCAGTACGATGTTTTTAAATCAATTATGCATGAAATGAAATTTATCATGACAGAAAATTTTGCATATAAATTATTTCATATTCACGAAAGAAAATTAACCAGACTGCCGATGATTATTGAAGGTGAAACAGGTGTTGGTAAAACTTTTCTTCTCAAGTTTTATTCTCTTTTATTAAATGCGCGTTTTTCTCATGGTGAACTTCATAACGATACAACGCCAAGAATTCGAGAACGAACCAGTCTTTGGTTACGGAAAGATATCATCATAGAGATTCTAGAACAGAATACAAATTTCTTAACTGCTGTTTCCTCTGTCCTTGCGTCGAAATTAGGTATCTCGGATGCAAGTCAAAATGAGCTTCTAATACATATCGAAGATGATGAACCAGATCGAGATGCTGTTCTGGCGGAAATCAAAGAAGAATTGCAAATTTTTGAGTATGATTATAGCCAATTAAAGATTATTTGGAAGACTCTAGTAACCACTGCTGATAATATCGATAGAAATCTGAGTAAACAGTTGGTTATGGCTTTGTATGAATTTGTAACATCACAATTGACAAATTTACCATTGATCGAAGCAAGTTATCCATTAAGAAATTTATTAAAGACAGACAAAGTACCGACAGTAAACAAATCAATTGAAATCTTTGATGAATTCATAGTTCATACACAAATCAAACCAGTTTTCTATCGGCTCCTTTTACATCCAGGCATAAGCGAAGAGACATTAATCGAGTTTTTGTCTCCAATTCGTGAACTGGCTGTTCGTGTGCCAAGCATTGAATTAGTTGTGTTTTTCGATGAAGTGAATACATCATCATGCCTTAGCTTATTCAAAGAGATGTTTATGGATGGCACATTACACGGGAAAATCCTACCGAAGAACATCTTTTTCACTGCGGCCATTAATCCATCCATAATATCAGACGATGTGGAATCTTTTCGTGTGCATCGCTCTGATTACCTTGTTTATCGATTACCTGAATCATTGGAAAATCTTAAAGTTATCTACGGCATTCTCAATCGGAATACATTAGAAGATTATGTCAAACAGAAAATAGGCACGTTCACTATAGGTTCAGTAGATAATCTGCATCAGCTATCATATCTTGAAAAATATGCACAAGATATGTTGCTGCGATCGATTCTTAATGCGCAAGATTTTTGTGAAAAGCGTCTTGGTACGTACGACTTATTCTCTGTTCAGATGAAAAATGTTTGTATTTTAGGACACAATTCGGTATCTCAAAGAGAAATTCAACGATGTTTTAACTTAATTGATTTCTTCTGGACTTTGAAGTATGACAAGAATAATGGTGAACCTGATGCTTTACGAGCAATAACCTTATCATTAGCATTGATTTATTATTTTCGTCTTCCGACTAAAGAAGACAATGTACATAGAAACGACACCAAAACACCCTCACGTGAAGAGCTTGGAGAACTTCTCGATAGAACCTTACCTGACTTTTGTCGCATAGTTCAGAATGAACTTGAAAAATTCGTCAATACTGAAAATTTCTCCATTCCAGCGGGTGTCGCTGTCAATCAAGCTGTAAGTTAATGATCACTATTTTACTATTTAACACGTCCTATCTATTTTAGATTCGTGAACACATTTTTGCTATTGTTGTAAGTGTTGTCACACGAACACCTTTGTGCATCATTGGTGCTCCTGGTAAGTATCATAATGATTCAAAACATGAGACATATGAACGATGAATATATAGGTCAATCGAAAACTCTTTCATTTCAAATTGTTTTACAAAACTTGCAAGGCCCTCAATTATCAGCAACATCGTTCTGTCAACGTTTGCCCGCATTAGATCCATTCTTTTCTCTCGGATCAAAATATACTCGGTCAGAAGACATTGCATATGTCTTCGATCGGGCTATTGAACGTGAAGAACAATATCGAAAGTTTCGAATTGATAGACGTTGTGTAAAAGATGTTTACTCCTGTCCTTTTTTTCACTGTAAATCTTTTTTTTTAATCTAGATGGTTTTTCTCGACGAAGCTTCATTGCCTGATGAAAAGAAAATGATATTAAAAGTATTACATTCATATTTAGATGGGTGTCAAGTGTCATTTGTTGCAATAGCAAATAAATCTTTTGATGCGGCAAATGCAAATCGTATGATATGTATTTATCGATCTTTACCATCACAAATAGAACAACAAGTCCTAGCTTATGGTTGTCTTGGCTTGCCGTTCTGTAAGAAAACATCAGAGAATCGCACTCAACTCGATAATATCATTATGGGATTATGTGATGGTTATCGACAAATCATTCTTAGAGACGAAATTCCAAAAATATTTCATGATCGAGATTTCATTTATATGTTAAGAGAATTACGATTTGAATTGCCCGCAGTCATATCATCAAATGATGACGAAATCAAATTAAATCGAATTGAACCCAATTCTTTGGTGCATGCATTAGAAGATAATTTCAATGGCATCAATGAAATGGAATTCAAATCATTAATCGAAATCTTCTTTAAAGAAATACAAAAGCAAGTATTAAGTTTTCGTTTACCAACAGATAGACACGGTAAAAAAGTTTATCGTGATGTACCAACTATTCTTCATGAATCCATGAAACTTGATTCGAAACGTCGTCGTCTCTATGGACGTTATAAATTAATTATCGACGAATCCGAAGATGAGAGTGCTATACATCTTCTATTACAAGCTCGTATTCTTGATTTAGATCCAAATCGCACAACTGTATTTCGAATGTCGGATTTTATTGATGATACTGATAATGAATTAAGTCACGTTGAACTTCTTTCGAATATTAAATTATGTATGGAAACTGGTAAGACTATTTTAATGGTGAATACGAATCGAATTCATGATTCATTGTATGATGTTTTCAATCAAAATTTCTCAATTATGGCAACAGATGATGCGAGAAAAATCTTTTCGAAAGTTTCCATCGGAGCAAAAACGATCGATGTTGTTGTTCATGAAAATTTTCAATGCATAGTTCATGTGAAACGAAGTGAATTAAAAGATATTCCTCCTCCATTTCTCAGTCGTTTTCAGAAATACTCATTAAGTGTCAAAGATTTTTATCGCATTCGACTGTATAAATTATCAAAAAATGATCAAGATGTATTGAAATATGTCGCCAATAAAACACAATCCTTTATCGATCATTTCGGACGACAATATTTTTATGGTTTAAATGATACCACGTTATATTCGTGTCTTTTGTCATTGATCGACATGAAAAATGATGCTGAATATTCATTATATCCTATATCTCATCATCAAACACAATTAACTGTGCAACTGAATTCATTCATTGAAATAAACCATTCAAATCTCGAAAAGTCGTTATTTCGTATTGTTATTATGAAGTTAATTCAACTTGTTTCACCTGAAGCAATGATTTTGAAATTACGAACATTCGAAGAAAGTTTTTCACAATGGTTATCGAATGTTTATTTTCATCAACAAGAACATTTTAATATAGAAAACTTTTTGCAACGTTTAATTTCACATTCATCTGAAACAATGCTAAACAATGATCGATATGAACGAAAAGTATCCCACATTACAAAAGTTATGATATTTACGCGAACATCATCGTATATGCTGAGTATGGATCAACGACCAAAGCAGAATTTGACGACTGGTACAAACTTTTGTAATGATCAAGATAAAATATTGCATAATTACAGCAAATTTGTAGATATTCTCAATTTAGTAAGTTCATATCTCTATATCTTTTTATTGAATCAGACAAATACAGATATAGTCAACCATATTACCTAGGTCATAGTATCGTTTCAGTTCCGTACTTGACTTGTTTCTATGTGAGTGTGTGTAATTCTAAAGATGATCACTTTCTTTTAGAGTATTATTGAAAATTCTGCTCAATTACAAAGTAAATTTGATGAATTTCGCCATGATCATCAGAAAAATGTCCTCATTATAACAATTAATACTAATTTCGATCAACAACGTTTACATATTCCGTACATTCGGCAATTAATCGATAGTACTGAATATACTTGCAATTCAAAAGCTACTCAAGAGCGCAAACATTTTCTCATGTTAATCCATTCACCAGCACACGATTTATATCATCATTCATGTTTTCCATCGATCTTTTTACATAATTGGGACTTTTACTTCTTTGACACATGTGCCACTGGTAGTGCATTTTATCTACAAAACCTATTACACTTATTGTCACCGTCGTCATCCGGATTAAATAAGGAACTAGAGAAACGACAAGACACAGCATTTTGCGATTTAAATGTTCTGTTTGAAGATTGTTTATGGGCGTTCTCTTCCCGAATTCAAATTATAACACCTATCCTACCACAAAACATGTTTTCGAATTCATGGGCTCAGGAATTTTATCAACATGAAACGCAAACCATTCAGAAGGTTAAATGTTTGAGAGCACTTCTGGGAGAATCATCAGAATTACAGAGGTTTATAGTGAACATTTATCATCAATATTTATCAAAAACGAAAAACTCTTCGGCAAAAATTCATGATTTTATTTATCAAATCTCAAAAGATATTTTATGTGGTAAGCGATTTGAAAGTCTTGTTGAATCAATTCAAATGCAAACGAAATACGCATTTATGAACTTCGTCATGAATGTTTTCAAAGTTATTGTTGATAATTATGGCTTAGAAACTATGCAACATTTGTCAACTGATAAACAAACTTATGGTTCTTTATTACATTTAATTGACTTTCATTCTTTCGCTACTGAAAATGACAATGATGATATGTTTACTTCTCAAACTGCACAAGGCCCTATTCATTTTACCGCAAATTATTCATGTATACCTCAAACTCCACTCTTTCATTTATTTCATGAACGTATTTCGTCACATGCTAATGCCATCAAATCTACGTATATTCGTCGTGATCATATGGTAAAATCCACAGGTAATAACATCTTTTGTTGCGACATACCTCGTAAGCATTTCCGCTTTAGAGCAACGGCAAGAATCAGAAGATGATGTTTGTGATAGTTCCTTCAAGGTTACTACCAATTCAAATTTTTCAGTCGAGAATAACAACACTCCTTTGACATTTGAACGTTTTCGTTCTGAACTTATAACTTCAATTAAAAATGATAAAATATTAAGTGATGCCGTCAATAGTTCTACTGTTCATTCGTACTGCCAAGATCTTGTCAGCACATCGTGTTCGATGATCGAACACAATTTTCATTACGATCGTGTTCAACAACAACAAACTGCCGAATTTATCTCAAAATGGTTATCATTTATCGATCATAATGATCGACAATCCCACGAATATGACACTCAAAAAGACATCTGGCTTCTAGGGCATATTTACACAACATTTGAATACGAAAAAAGTGATCTACTTTCAATGTACACTGCTTGTCGAACCATGCATCATTTAGAATTGACACAATCCTCANAAAAGATATTCCTCCTCCATTTCTCAGTCGTTTTCAGAAATATTCATTAAGTGTCAAAGATTTTTATCGCATTCGATTGTATAAATTATCAAAAAATGATCAAGATGTATTGAAATATATCGCCAATAAAACACAATCCTTTATTGATCATTTCGGACGACAATATTTTTATGGTTTAAATGATAACACATTATATTCGTGTCTTTTGTCATTGATTGACATGAAAAATGATGCTGAATATTCATTATATCCTATATCTCATCATCAAACACAATTAACTGTGCAACTGAATTCATTCATTGAAATAAACCATTCAAATCTCGAAAAGTCGTTATTTCGTATTGTTATTATGAAGTTAATTCAACTTGTTTCACCTGAAGCAATGATTTTGAAATTACGAACATTCGAAGAAAATTTTGCACAATGGTTATCGAATGTTTATTTTCATCAACAAGAACATTTTAATATAGAAAACTTTTTGCAACGTTTAATTTCACATTCATCTCAAACAATGGTAAATAATGATCGATATGAACGAAAAGTATCCTTCATTACAAAAGTTATGATATTTACGCGAACATCATCATATATGTTGAGTATGGATCAACGACCAAAGCAGAATTTGACGATTGGTACAAACTTTTGTAATGATCAAGATAAAATATTACATAATTATAGCAAAATTATAGATATTCTCAATTTAGTAAGTTCATATTTCTATATCTTTTTATGAAATCAGACAAATACAGATATAGTCAGTCATATTACCTGTCATAGCATCGTTTCAGTTCCGTACTTGACTTGTTTTTATGTGAGTGTGTGTAATTCTAAAGATGATCACTTTCTTTTAGAGTATTATTGAAAATTCTGCTCAATTACAAAATAAATTTGATGAATTTCGCAATAATCATCAGAAAAATGTCCTCATTATAACAATTAATACTAATTTCGATCAACAACGTCTACATATTCCGTACATTCGACAATTAATCGATAGTACTGAATATACTTGCAATTCAAAAGCTACTCAAGAGCGCAAACATTTTCTCATGTTAATTCATTCACCAGCACACGATTTATATCATCATTCATGTTTTCCATCGATCTTTTTACATAATTGGGACTTTTATTTCTTCGACACGTGTGCTACTGGTAGTGCATTTTATCTACAAAACCTATTACACTTATTGTCACCATCATCCGAATTAAATAAGGAACTCGAGAAACGACAAGACACAGCATTTTGCGATTTAAATGTTCTGTTCGAAGATTGTCTATGGGCGTTCTCTTCCCGAATTCAAATTATAACACCTATTCTACCAAAAAACATGTTTTCGAATGCCTGGGCTCACGAATTTTATCAACATGAAACGCAAACCATTCAAAAGGTTAAATGTTTGAGAGCACTTCTGGGAGAATCATCAGAATTACAGAGATTCATAGTGAACATTTATCATCAACATTTATCAAAAACGAAAAATTCTTCGACAAAAATTCATGATTTTATTTATCAAATCTCGAAAGATATTTTATGTGGTAAGCGATTTGAAAGTCTTGTTGAATCAATTCAAATGCAAACGAAATACGCATTTATGAACTTCGTCATGAATGTTTTCAAAGTTATTGTTAATGATTATGGTTTAGAAACTATGCAACATTTGTCAGCTGATAAACAAACTTATGGTTCTTTATTACATTTAATTGACTTTCATTCTTTCGCTACTGAAAATGATAATGATGATATGTTTACTTCTCAAACTACACAAGGTCCTATTCATTTTACCACAAATTATTCCTGTATACCTCAAACTCCACTCTTTCATTTATTTCATGAACGTATTTCGTCACATGCTAATGCCATCAAATCTACATATATTCGTCGTGATCATATGTTAAAATGCACAGGTAATAACATATTTTGTTGTGACATATCTCATAAGCATTTCCGCTTTAGAACAACGACAAGAATCAGAAGATGATGTTTGTGATAGTTCCTTCAAGGTTACTACCAATTCGAATTTTACAATCAAGAATAACAACACTCCTTTGACATTTGAACGTTTTCGTTCTGAACTTATAACTTCAATTAAAAATGATAAAATATTAAGTGAGGCCGTCAATAGTTCTACTGTTCATTCATACTGTCAAGATCTTGTCAGTACATCGTGTTCGATGATCGAACACAATTTTCATTACGATCGTGTTCAACAACAACAAACTGCCGAATTTATCTCAAAATGGTTATCATTTATCGATCATAGTGATCGACAATCCAACGAATATGACACCCCAAAAGATATCTGGCTTCTAGGACATATTTACACAACATTTGAATACGAAAAAAGTGATCTACTTTCAATGTACACTGCTTGTCGAATCATGCATCATTTAGAATTGACACAATCCTCATTTACTAATGTATTTGCTGAACGATCTGGCGACCGTTCTGTTCTTCGAGAAGCTTTTTTTCGTTCTATTTTCGATCAATTATGGTCAAGTCTTTGTCAATCATCTTCCAATACAGAGAATCATTATCACAAATGGATTTTTACATATACATTTATATCCAAATATTATCCATCAGAAAAAGTTCTAGAAGGTATACCACTAATCGACATCAAATGTCAGATTCAATTGATGAATTTGGCTTATTTGATATTTTTAAATGAAAAAATTCCTAAACCACAAAAGTTAGTAACAAATTTATTGGATAAATTACAAATCAATACAAGATCGGATTGTTTAGTTTTATTACCGAAAATTCTTGAAATAATCCACGAAGAAAATCTTGATAATTCAACATGGATGATCGATGTACAACAATGGATTCTAGTCATTTGTAAATCATCAACAGAATCGAAAGAAGAAATACTTCGAACTTTACTTTCTTATTTGAATCAATCGACAACTTCTCTTTCATTATCAACAAAACAATTTCTATTCGATCAATTAATTGAATTATTCCTCAAGATAAACAAAGACAGTGAATCGAACACGGATTTATGGGATCGTTTTAGTTTACTATCAATTCTTATCGAATGTGTTTCAAACGTTGATCATTATCAAATTTTTTTCCATCCATCAATGAAAATCAATGATCAAAAAATGATTCTATTTGATCTCTACTTTTTTCATCTTCGTGCTCTATTAAAACATCAAAATCTTACATTTGCATTTTTAAACAAAGGTATGCTTCTTGGATTATCAAATATCCAAACAAAAGAGAAGAAAAATCTAGCTGAAAATTTATTTAAACAATTGAAAAATTATTTTCTTTCAATTATCATGGCACTTTTACTCATCGATATCGAATCCAATCAAAATGATGAAAACGACATTCTAAAAGCATTTTCATCTTTGACAGATGATCTGTTTTCTATTAATCCTACAATGGAATATCTTCCCGATTATCTTAAACTCTTTCTTTCCACCATTATATCAAAGAAATCTTGGGATTATTTATTCAATTTATTAAGATCGGAAAAACTACGAATGATTAACAAAGATTGGACAACAGTTCTTTATCGATTACTTCATTTAAATGAAACGAATGATCAAAGTTTAAATTTACATTTATCACATCAAATTCAGTTTACTTTTTCAACAAATTCAAATAAATCGTCGAGTTTTCCTGATCTCCATCAACCATATGAAACATTACGAACACTGATGAAAACATCAATAGAAAATAATACCGGCGAAGATGTATGGCAAGAAGTCATTCATTGGATGCAAAATCAAGTAGATTGTGAATCACTAGAGATGAGTGTTAATCAATTAAAATCCATGTTATTCTTAAGTATTTACTATGATTATTATTGTACTAATCAATTAGAATTAGTTCAGCCATTAGTTGATGTACTTCAAGAGTTATCATTCTTTTCTGAGGAAGAATTCAGTGTATTTCGTGCTTTAGTAAATCCTGAACAATACATCATAGGTTACAATTCGCCTGATAATACTAACTCAATAAATAAACTTTTTCAAATCAATTGTCAAACAAGTTTTGAATTGTCTTTACGTCATTTATTAGTAAATTTAATGGCAATGATCCTATTAGGCGGTGATGAATCATTTCTTTGGACATTTGTATTTGATCCATTGTCTTTAGAACATACGTACGGTCAGTTTTATTTCATATGATAAATCTTGAAAATTTAGTTCTATTGTTGATATGAAAAGGTTTTGGGTCGACATACCAATCACCAATCGAACAACATGGTGTGCATTACGATTGTGGATGTGTTATCACTGAAGATGGTGTTCTTGAACGATCATTCGATTCAACTGATAACAGTGGATTAAGCGTTCCAGCTGTATATGTGGCTTATTTTTCTACATTTGGTGCATTGGTATGTTGAATTTTCTACATATTTTTAATCATGTTCTTTTTCTTCAAAGGCTTGGCATCTATTAACATGTGACAGAGGAGCTGACAATTTGTATGGTCCAATTTTGTCACCAAGGGCAATCGAAACAACTGCTCATGATCATAGAGAAAATGATCGAGAAACGCTCACTAAAGTCTGTGATTTTGTCTATGCTAGATTATCGTCGACGTTTGATTTTCTATCCGTTCGATTAAATCATGACGGTGCTTGTCTTTTATTAACTCGTTGTTTCGAACAGATGGCTTCTTTAACTGATACAGAACAGGAATGGATTCAGCCCGTTTATACAACATTCAATGAAAAGCAAAATGCTGAACAAGAATTTGAGCGACATGTTTTCTATTATGTATTCGATAGATTAATTAACTATAAAGCTGATATCAATCATAGAATTCTTCAATCACAAATTCAAATCAATCTTCAAGAATATTGCGATCAAATGCCATTCACCATTGAATTTCAACATTTTCAAACACTACTTAATCATTCCAAAACAGAAGCTTCATCAAATTTTCAACTTCTTCGATTGATTTTGGATTCATTCAATATTTTAAAAGTAACAAAACTAATCATTCCACTTACACGGTTTTACCTTCTTTTACATCACACGTACACACAATTAATTAAACAAGATGAATTATTTACAATTTCTCTGAACGAATTATTCGAGCGTGCTGAAAGATGCTCTTATCAATACGATAGTTCACGTAATCAAAGCGAAAAAGAAAATCATCGAGAAATCATTAAAGAAGGTATTGATGCAGTCAACAGTTATCATCAATTTTCTGATGGACTTATTCAACCAGGTGCTTGTAATCATACGGAAAAATTTTCAACAATAACCTTTGATTCACCAGTCAATGTTTTACTCACAACGAGCAATTCAGACGAAGGAAACATTATTATGCGAATACTCACGTAAGAACATTCTTAGAATGATCGACATGGTGTCAAGAAATAAAAACTGATGTTTTTTCTTCTTCATTCTAGTGTTTTAATTCGACGTCACAATCGTATTTTGAGAGTATTATCAAATGAAATGTGTACAAATAACCATTACGATCACAGTACTTTGAAATATTTAGTAAATGACATAACGTCAAAGAAGATTTCCATTCTACAACTAATTAATCATAATACTGGGATTATATCATTAGATGAACAAGATTGTCAATGGACTCAAAGATTATGTCAGTCATGCATAATTAGCAATGATGAGTATGCTTTTATTAATAACAAATCTTCATATACGTTCGATTTTGAATACATTCAATCACAAATTATTCGAATCTATTTACTTTATTGTGAAATAAATTATGATCATATCACTCAAATTTATCAATGTTATATCGAACAAATGTCAACAAAAACAGAGAACGAAGATTTAGACCTACATGAGAAATATATGTTATTATTTAATAATGAACAGATTGAGTCTGAATGGAATTATTTGAAAACTATACCTTTAGATAATCTTTATAATTCCTTTACATTATTAAAACAAATTGCCTCATCATTAAAAACATTCTCAAATGATCTTGATCAACCAAGTACTCTTTACAGTTTTCTTGGTTCAACCGATGAAGGTCGTGATATACTTGAACGAATAAAACAACATGGAATTCGTGATTTTTCTCTATGCCATTTAAATCATATGATTAAACTTTATGCACAATCAATAAACGGATTTGAGCATTTATTTGCGGATGTATCACCTTTGTTACGAATGTCCATTGAACCTCAACTAGATGCCGAATTAACTCAACAATTTGATGAGCATATTCTGCAATTAAATTATGATAATAATATAGAGAACTTTCAAGAAATGAATAAAATAATAACCGAATTCCTTAATGATTTAAAGGATTCAAAAGATTTAATGTTACAACAATCTTCACAATGTTTTAAAACAACTTGTCAAATTCTCGAGATACATAATCCGATTTTACAATGGATACCAGAGGGAATTCGTTGTGAAAACTATGTCGCAATCAATATTCATCTCATTCGAATACGATCGACTCTTCAGGAATCAAAAGTTAATGTCGAAGAAAAAACAATCAGATTATGGCAAGAACAAACCGAATGTGAAGATAAGGATTCTGAAACACATTCACACTCGGCTGACCCAGATGAATATTCGGAATCTGAAGAAGCAGATTATCATAGCATGTCATCTTCACCATCAGTAACAAGACAGAACTCAATTGGTGAAACTAATCCAACGTATTCGCGTTCGCCATCACAACAACTGGAAACACCTGAAATTGAACCTTTAATTTATGACTCATTATTCCAACTTAACTTGAGATCCGTATCATATTTATCATTAAAATTTATGCAAAGTTTACATCAATATCGAACAGAACGTATCACAGAAGCTGTAAGTGCAAGTAGTGCACTAAGATTCATAGTTACTCTTCCTGATGAAAAATCGATCGCACCATTCATGTGTAAAGCAGAGAAATCTCAAGCACGTTTAAAGAAAATCTTTGATGATAATCATTACGATCATAACGAGTTCGCTTTGATTGATAAAAATCAAATATTCGTCGACATAAATGAAGATAATTTTCTTCCATCACAAAAATCACCAATTGAATATCGTATCGTGAAACAAGAAGATCTAGTTTGTGTGAAATTCCATTTTCATTCATTAAACATCGAATATGTCACAACGATTACAAATCAACTCGAAACGATAATCAAACATTTTATTAATAATCATATTCAACCAAATGACAAATATCTTTGTTTCTATGATCAATATGGAGCTTTGATTGAGAATGTTTGTATCGAAAATGTTTTTGATAAGAGTGAAAAATGTGTGAACATCGTAGTAAAAGAAAAGACAGTTGATGATAACAGTATATGCGAAATAAATCTGACAAGTAAAGAAAGTAAGAAATCATATAGTTATTTTCTGATGATTGTAGAATATTTTAGATATACATCAATCAACGATTTACTTCGATTTGGAATCAACATGGTTCAATATTGAACAATGGTTAAAAGATTTTTGTCAAAGAAATCATCTCTCTGTTAATGATTATGCTTTTATGATGGCAAAAGAACGAATACTATGTGAAAAAACTGAATCAATTGGTTCAATTATAGATGCAACGCAATCAAATCTAGTCGATGTTATTAATCAACAAGTGATCACTTCCGTAACTGTTTCATATGAAAATAAGAGTGAAAGTTTCCATGTTCTGGCATCGATGAAAATCATCCAATTATTCAAAGATAAAAATTTCCAAGAAAATTTTAATATAATCGATCATGCACTGAAGAATTTTATGGTAAATTTAGAAAAAGAAAACGAAAGTTTGACTCTTACGGAAGAACAAATGCAACAATCTATCGAAACGTATCGTTCAGCATCGAACGATTCACTTCATCTTCGATTGTTTATACCAACAAGTATCATGATAAAATACAATGAAGAGATTCTTTCATTAGTTTTGCAGACGCGAAATATAACAATTCGAGAAATATTGAAAAAACTTGATGAATCAATGATTCTTCATCGATGTTTAGTTTTAAAAGAAACAAAAAGAGTGCTAGATGGAAATGAAGTTCTTTCAGATTTATGTGGAATTGAATTTCTTTTAGTTGAGGAAAACGAAATACGTCACGTTTGCATTCAATTGGCAGAAATCAACATTAGACAACGTTTTATCAAACATGCGACAATAGCCGATCTATGCAAAGAACAAAAAATCATCCTTGATACTCAACATGTTATCTACTCAAACGAAATTATTTTATTACCAGAAACACCGTTAACTTGCTTTCAATCAAAAACACCAATATGCTTTTCCATTACGGAAAAAAATTTACCCATTCGTGTTACAGTGAGGGACGATCAACAACAAAACTCAATCACATTTTTTTGTGATTCTTCAATGAGTATCGAATATCTTCGTTCTCTTTCTTGTCACTTCTTGTGTGTAATCAAAGATAATGCTAAATTAGCGTTAACTGATGGAACAATAACCGATGATGATCTGTCGTTAATGGACATTGTTGAAAACCTGACAGAAATAGAGTTTCAACTCAGTACTCCACTATGCTTGTCTTGTTCAATTACATGTTCAAATCATACGATAGTATTGCCTTGTCAATTAAATCAAACAATCTCATCACTGGTCAGTGATTTGTTCAATCAACTTTCGATTCCATTTGATCAAATGCAAACATATACATTATTTGCTTTGGGTACAGTGGAAAATGAAATCGATGTCGAATTATCCATTGAAGATATAAAAGATTTATTTCCTTCGTCAACTTCAACGATTAAGATCGAACTGAGAAAATGACACACTAAGAAGATTGAGCTTTCTATATTTTAATCATGATTATGGATTCTTCGTTTTTTCAATTACAAGTGAATAATAAATAAATAAATCATACCAAAAGAAATGTTACTGTGAAGCTAGCACGAACAAATAGTGTGTTAGCTAAAAACGTTTTTACTAAATAAGTTCCGTCCATGAAAACTTCACCATTCGTTGCAGAATTAAATTCAGCATCGAACAGAACGTATTCCTGAAGACGGGAATTCATTTGAACATAAGGTTTTATATGATTTTTCGTATTCTGGTGTTAGCTTCACACTGATTCCGTTTCCATTAGAGTTCAACGAACTCTATCGTCACTCTTATCCATACTCTTGCCTTTTTACATATCTGTTTGCTAACCCCATCTCACCTGTTGAAGATTGGAGTACAGCATTGGCAGTTGACAGAGTAGATGAGTCATTGTTCAAGTATATTTTAGCTTGCCATTTGCATCATAGTCAATCACAACTTGAAATTACTTAGTGTACACCATGGCAGCCAGCAACGATGATGCACAAGTGAACATCGATGATCTGATTGAACGACTTCTTCAAGGTTCGTTCATTTTCAATTTTCTCCTTTTTCGAAAAATATTCACAGTCGAATACCATTTCTCTCATTCAAGCACGTAAGGTTCCTGCGACGGATAATTTTGTTCAGATGTCGCTGGAAGAAATGAATTTCTTATGCGAGAAATCCGAAGAAATCTTTCTCAATCAACCCGTACTTCTCGACCTGCAAGCTCCGATCACTATATGTGGTATACGATAAAAGTTGAAAATCTAACTCTTGAAATTGCTACATATGCACTAGGCAGCATACACGGTCAATATACTGATTTACTTCATCATTTTGATCAAGGCGGTTTTCCACCTCAAACAAATTACCTTNAATCATCTCACCATCCAGAGAATCACTATCAAAGATGGATTTATACATATACATTTATATCCAAATATTATCCATCAGAAAAAGTTCTACGAAGTATGCAACTAATCGATATTAAATGTCAGATTCAATTAATGAATTTGGCTTATTTGATATTTTTAAATGAAAAAATTCCTAAACCACAAAAGTTAGTAACAAATTTATTGGAAAAACTACAAATCAATACAAGATCGGATTGCTTAGTTTTATTACCAAAGATTCTTGAAATAATCCACGAAGAAAATCTTGATAATTCAACATGGATGATCGATGTACAACAATGGATCATAGTCATTTGTAAATCATCAACAGAATCGATTGAAGAAATACTTCGAACTTTACTTTCTTATTTGAATCAATCGACAACTTCTCTTTCATTATCAACAAAACAATTTCTATTCGATCAATTAATTGAATTATTCCTGAAGCTAAACAAAGACAATGAACCGAACACGGATTTATGGGATCGTTTTGGTTTACTATCAATTCTTATTGAATGTGTTTCGAACGTTGACCATTATGAAATTTTATTCCATCCATCGATGAAAACCAATGATCAAAAAATTATTCTATTTGATCTTTACTTTTTTCATCTTCGTGCTCTATTAAAACATCAAAATATTATACTTGCATTTTTAAACAAAGGTATGCTTCTTAGATTATCAAATATCCAAACAAAAGAGAAGAAAAATCTAGCTGAAAGTTTATTTAAACAGTTGAAAAATTATTTTCTTTCAATTATCATGGCACTTTTACTCATCGATATCGAATCCAATGAAAATGATGAAAACGACATTCTAAAAGCATTTTCATGTTTAATAGATGATCTGTTTTCTATTAATCCTACAATGGAATGTCTTCCCGATTATCTTAAACTCTTTCTTTCAACCATTATATCAAAGAAATCTTGGGATTATTTATTCAATTTATTAAGATCGGAAAAACTACGAATGATAAACAAAGATTGGACAACAGTTCTTTATCGATTACTTCATTTAAATGAAACGAATGATCAAAGTACGAATTTACATTTATCACATCAAATTCAGTTTACTTTTTCAACAAATGCAAATAAATCTTCGAGTTTTCCTGATCTCCATCAACCATATGAAACATTACGAATACTGATGAAAACATCAATAGAAAATAATACCGGCGAAGATGTATGGCAAGAAGTCATTCATTGGATGCAAAATCAAGTAGATTGTGAATCACCAGAGATGAGTGTTAATCAATTAAAATCCATGTTATTCTTAAATATTTACTATGATTATTATTGTACTAATCAATTAGAATCAGTTCGGGCATTCGTTGATGTGCTTCAAGAGTTATCATTCTTTTCTGAGGAAGAATTCACTGTATTTCGTGCTTTAGTAAATCCTGAACAATATATCATAGGCTATCATTCGCCTGATAATGCTAACTCAATAAATAAACTTTTTCAAATCAATTGTCAAACAAGTTTTGAATTATCTTTACGTCATTTATTAGTAAATTTAATGGCAATGATCCTATTAGGCGATGAGAAGTCATTTCTTTGGACATTTGCATTCGATCCATTGTCTTTAGAACATACGTACGGTAAGTTTTATTTCACATGATAAATCTTGAAAATTTAGTTCTATTGTTGATATAAAAAGGTTTTGGGTCGACATACCAATCACCAATCGAATCAGATGGTGTGCATTACGATTGTGGATGTGTCATTACTGAAGATGGTGTTCTTGAACGATCATTCGATTCAGCTGATAACAGTGGATTAAGCGTTCCAGCTGTATATGTGGCTTATTTTTCTACATTTGGTGCATTGGTATGTTGAATTTTCTACGGATTTTTAATCATGTTCTTTTCTTCAAAGGCTTGGCATCTATTAACATGTGACAGAGGAGCTGCAACTTTGTATGGTCCAATTTTGTCACCAAGGGCAATCGAAACAACTGCTGATGATCATAGAGAAAATGATCGAGATACGCTCACTAAAGTCTGTGATTTTGTCTATGCTAGATTGTCGTCGACGTTTGATTTTCTATCCGTTCGATTAAATCATGATGATGCTTGTCTTTTATTAACTCGTTCTTTCGAACAGATGGCTTCTTTAACTGATACAAAACAAGAATGGATTCAGCCCGTTTATAGAACATTCGATGAAAAGCAAAATGCTGAACAAGAATTTGAGCGACATGTTTTCTATTATGTATTCGATAGATTAATTAACTATAAAGCTGATATCAATCATAGAATTCTTCAATCACAAATTCAAATCAATCTTCAAGATTATTGCGATCAAATGCCATTCACCATCGAATTTCAACATTTTCAAACACTACTTAACCATTCCAAAATAGAAGTTTCATCAAATTTTCAANATGCTGAACAAGAATTTGAGCGACATGTTTTCTATTATGTATTCGATAGATTAATTAACTATAAAGCTGATATCAATCATAGAATTCTTCAATCACAAATTCAAATCAATCTTCAAGATTATTGCGATCAAATGCCATTCACCATCGAATTTCAACATTTTCAAACACTACTTAACCATTCCAAAATAGAAGTTTCATCAAATTTTCAACTTCTTCGATTGATTTTGGATTCATTCAATATTTTAAAAGTAACAAAACTAATCATTCCACTTACACGGTTTTACCTTCTTTTACATCACACATACACACAATTAATTAAACAAGATGAATTATTTACAATTTCTCTGAACGAATTACTTGAGCGTGCTGAAAGATGTTCTTGTCAATACGGTAGTTCATATAATCAAAGCGAAAAAGAAAATCATCGACAAATCATTCAAGAAGGTATTGATGCGGTCAATAGTTATCATCAATTTTCTAATGGACTTATTCAACCAGGTGCTTGTAATCAAATGGAAAAATTTTCAACAATAACCTTTGATTCGCCAGTCAATGTTTTACTCACAACGAGCAATTCAGACGAAGGAAACATTATTATCAGAATACTCACGTAAGAACATTCGCAGGGTGATCGACATGGTCAAGAAATAAAAACTGATTTTTTTCTTCTTCATTCTAGTGTTTTAATTCGACGTCACGATCGTATTTTGAGAGTATTATCAAATGAAATGTGTACAAATAACCATTACGATCACAGTACTTTGAAATGTTTAGTAAATGACATAACGTCAAAGAAGATTTCCATTCTACAACTAATTAATCATAATACTGGCATTATATCATTAGATGAACAAGATTGTCAATGGACTCAAAGATTATGTCAATCATGCATAATTAGCAATGATGAGTATGCTTTTATTAATAACAAATCTTCATTTACGTTTGATTTTGAATACATTCAATCACAAATTATTCGAATCTATTTACTTTATTGTGAAATAAACTATGATCATATCACTCAAATTTATCAATGTTACATCGAACAAATGTCAACAAAAACAGAGAACGAAGATTTAGACCTGCATGAGAAATATATGCTATTATTTAATAATGAACAGATTGAGTCTGAATGGAATTATTTGAAAACTATACCTTTAGATAAACTTTATAATTCCTTTACATTATTAAAACAAATTGCCTCATCATTAAAAACGTCTTCAAACGATCTTGATCAACCAAGTACTCTTTACAGTTTTCTTGGTTCAACCGATGAAGGCCGTGATTTACTTGAACGAATAAAGCAACATGGAATTCGCGATTTTTCTTTATGCTATTTAAATCATATGATTAAACTTTATGCACAATCAATAAACGGATTTGAGCATTTATTTGCAGATGTATCACCTTTGTTACGAATGTCCATTGAACCTCAACTAGATGCCGAATTAACTCAACAATTTGATGAGCATATTCTACAATTAAATTATGATAATAGTATAGAGAAATTTCAAGAAATGAATCAAATAATAACCGAATTCCTCAATGATTTAAAGGATTCAAAAGATTTAATGTTACAACAATCTTCACAATGCTTTAAAACAACGTGTCAAATTCTTGAGATACATAATCCGATTTTACAATGGATACCAGAGGGAATTCGTTGTGAAAATTATGTGGCAATAAATATTCATCTCATTCGAATACGATCGATTCTTCAGGAATCAAAAGTTAATGTCGAAGAAAAAACAATCAGATTATGGCAAGAACAAACAGAATGTGAAGATAACGATTCTGAAACACATTCACACTTGGCTGACCCAGACGAATATTCGGAATCCGAAGAACTAGATTATCACAGCATGTCATCTTCACCATCAGTAACAAGACAGAACTCAGTTGGTGAAACTAATCCAACGTATTCGCGTTCGCCATCACAACAACTGGAAACATCTGAAATTGAACCTTTAATTTATGACTCATTATTCCAACTTAGCTTGAGATCAGTATCATATTTATCATTGAAATTTATGCAAAGTTTACATCAGTATCGAACAGAACGTATCACGGAAGCTGTAAGTGCAAGTAGTGCACCAAGATTCATAGTTACACTTCCTGGTGAAAAATTGATCGCACCATTCATGTGTAAAGCAGAGAAATCTCAAGCACGTCTAAAGAAAATCTTTGATGATAATCACTACGATCATAATGAGTTCGCTTTAATTGATATCAATCAAATATTCGTCGACATAAATGAAGATAATTTTCTTCCACTACAAAAATCACCAATTGAATATCGTATCGTTAAACGAGAAGATCTAGTTTGTGTGAAATTCCATTTTCACTCATTAAACATCGAATATGTCACAACAATTACAAATCAACTCGAAACGATAATCAAACATTTTATTAATAATCATATTCAATCAAATGACAATTATCTTTGTTTCTACGATCAATATGGAGCTTTAATTGAGAATGTTTGTATCGAAAATGTATTTGATAAGAGTGAAAAATGTGTGAACATCGTAGTAAAAGAAAAGACAGTTGATGATAACAGTATATGCGAAATAAATCTGACAAGCAAAGAAAGTAAGAAATCATATAATTATTTTCTGATTATTGTAGAATATTTTAGATGTACATCAATCAACGATTTTCTTCGATTTGGAAGCAACATGGTTCAATATTGAGCAATGGTTGAAAGTTTTTTGTCAAAGAAATCATCTCTCTGTTAATGATTATGCTTTTATGATGGCAAAAGAACGAATACTATGCGAGAAAACTGAATCCATTGGTTCAATTATAGATGCAACGCAATCGAGTCTAGTCGATGTTATTAATCAACAACTGATCACTTCCGTAACTATTTCATACGAAAATAAGAGTGAAAGTTTCCATGTTCTGGCATCGATGAAAATCATCCAATTATTCAAAGATAAAAATTTCCAAGAAAATTTTAATATAATCGATCACGCACTGACGAATTTCATGGTGAATTTAGAAAAAGAAAACGAAAGTTTGACTCTTACGGAAGAACAAATGCAACAATCTATCGAAACGTATCGCTCAGCATCGAACGATTCACTTCATTTTCGATTGTTTATACCAACAAGTATCATTATAAAATACAATGAAGAGATCATTCCATTAGTTTTGCAGACGCGAAATATAACAATTCGAGAAATATTGAAAAAACTGGATGAATCAATGATTCGTCATCGATGTTTAGTTTTAAAAGAAACACAAAGAGTGTTAGAAGGAAATGAAATTCTTTCAGATTTATGTGGAATTGAATTTCTTTTAGTTGAGGAAAACGAAATACGTCACGTTTGCATTCAATTTGCAGAAATCAATATTAAACAATGTTTTATTAAACATGCGACAATTGCCGATTTATGTAAAGAACAAAAACTTATTCTTGATACTCAACATGTTATCTATTCAAACAAAATTATTTTATTACCAGAAACACCGTTAACTTGTTTTCAATCAAAAACACCAATATGCTTTTCCATTACTGAAAACAATTTACCCATTCGTGTTACAGTGAAAGACGATCAACAACCGCAAAAGTCAATCACATTTTTTTGTGATTCTTCAATAACTATCGAAGATCTTCGTTCTCTTTCTTGTCACTTCTTGTGTGTAATCGAAGATGGTGCTAAATTAGCGTTAACTGATGGGACAATACTCGGCGATGATCTGTCTTTAATGGACATTGTTGAAAACCTGACGGAAATAGAGTTTCAACTCGGTACTCCGCTCTGCTTGTCTTGTTCAATTACATGTTCAAATCATACAATAGTATTGCCTTGTCAATTAAATCAAACAATCTCATCATTGGTCAGCGATTTATTCGATCAACTTTCGATTCTATCTGATCAAATGGAAACGTATACATTATTTGCTTTGGGTACAGTGGAAACTGGAATCGATGTCGAATTATCGATTGAAGATATAAAAGATTTATTTCCTCCGTCAACTTCAACAATTAAGATCGAACTGAGAAAATGATACACTGAGAAGACAGCGCTTTCTATATTTTAATCATGATTGGATTCTTCGTTTTTTCAATTACAAGTGAATAATAAATAAATAAATCATATCAAAAGAAATAAAGTCCCGTCCATGAAAACTTCACCATTCGTTGCAGAATTAAATTCAGCATCGAATAGAACGTATTCCTGAAGACGGGAATTCATTTGAACATAAGGTTTTATATGATTTTTCGTATTCTGCTGTTAGCTTCACACTAAGTCCGTTTCCATTAGAGTTCAACGAACTCTCTCGTCACTCTTACCCATACTCTTGCCTTTGTACATATCTGTTTGCTAACCCCATCTCACCTGTTGAAAATTGGAGTACAGCATTGGCAGTTGACAGAGTAGATGAGTCATTGATCAAGTATATTTTAGCTTGCCATTTGCATCATAGTCAATCACAACTTGAAATTACCTAGTGTACACCATGGCAGCCAGCAACGATGATGCACAAGTGAACATCGATGATCTGATTGAACGACTTCTTCAAGGTTCGTTCATTTTCAACTTTCTTCTTTTTTGCAAAAGGTTCACGATCGAATACTATCTTTCTCATTGAAGCACGTAAAGTGCCTGCGACGAACAATTTGGTTCAGATGTCGTTAGAAGAAATGAATTTCTTATGCGAGAAATCCGAAGAAATCTTTCTCAATCAACCCGTACTTCTCGACCTGCAAGCTCCGATCACTATATGTGGTATACGATAAAAGTTGAAAATCTAACTCTTGAAATTGCTACATATGCACTAGGCAGCATACACGGTCAATATACTGATTTACTTCATCATTTTGATCAAGGCGGTTTTCCACCTCAAACAAATTACCTTNGAAGAAATGAATTTCTTATGCGAGAAATCCGAAGAAATCTTTCTCAATCAACCCGTACTTCTCGACCTGCAAGCTCCGATCACTATATGTGGTATACGATAAAAGTTGAAAATCTAACTCTTGAAATTGCTACATATGCACTAGGCAGCATACACGGTCAATATACTGATTTACTTCATCATTTTGATCAAGGCGGTTTTCCACCTCAAACAAATTACCTTTTTCTTGGTAATTACGTCAATCATGGCAAACAATCCTTAGAAACAATATGCTTACTGCTCGCTTATAAGGTTTGTGCATCTGTGGAACGGATATGATTGTACATATTGCTTTTAAATCTAATAGATCAAATATCCGAATAACATATATTTGCTACGAGGAAATCATGAATGCGCTTCAATTAGTCGTATCTACGGTTTCTATGATGAATGTAAGTACCATCGCAGAAAAGAAAACATTCATCTCTATCGCAATTCTTCATAGGTAAACGGAGATATAATATCAAATTATGGAAAGCATTCATTAGAGTATATTCAACACATTTTCCAACGTTTGCTAAGAGACATTTTGTATGTTTTCAGTGTTTCAACTGTCTACCGATAGTCGCGATCATCAATGAGAAGATCTTCTGTTGTCATGGAGGTTTATCACCTCACCTTGTTAATTTAGAACAGATCCGACGTATACAACGACCGACGGATGTTCCTGATACAGGTAATCAATACTTCGAATTTTGACTCGTAAAATCCCAATTGATCAGGTTTGCTTTGTGATTTGCTATGGTCCGATCCGAGTAATGACGTAGAAAGTTGGGATGACGTTCCAGCGGGTGTCTCATTTGAATTTGGCGCTGCTATAGTAAAGAAAGTAGGCAATAGAACTGTTTTGTTTCGATGAATCAAAATAATAATTGTAGTTTTTGGAAAAACATAATCTGGATTTGATATGTCGGGCACACCAAGTCGTTGAAGATGGCTATGAGTTTTTTGCTGATCGTCAATTAGTGACGATCTTTTCCGCTCCGAATTATCAGAATGAATTTGATAATGCCGGTGCTATGATGACTGTTGATCAAAACTTGACGTGTTCATTTAAGGTATGATAGGTTCTAATAGTATTCATCGATTGGAAGTTATTTTCTCTTCTATAGATACTTCCATCGCACTCGAAAAGTGGTGTGAAGCAAGATGATAAAAATCTCGGTTTGAACCATTCAACATCCATTGAAAATACGACCTTAATCGATACTGATGGAAAACGTGTCAAATGGGCTGGAATTGATGACCCTATGCCGACGAAGGACTCAACGTAACATGTACTTCATCACAGCTTTGAACATATTGGATTACGATTATGTAGCTACCATTATCAATTGTATTGTATGAAAACTGTGACAATAACAGCTATTCTCTCCTATCCTATATTTCAGCATTTCTCTAAGATCTTTTATTATTTCATAAAGTCGATAAAAACTATGATCGCAATCAGCTAAATTGATGTGAAATTATGACAATTGATCATTCTTCAGGGGAAAATCTGAAGCATAGTCTTCATAATCAGCTCGAAGAACAGCTTGTCTGAAACAGAATCATTTTTGATTTTGCTTAAATCAAACAGTATATGTTTCTATTGACGACGCTATAGTTATTATGCCAAAGATGATCAATAATCGGATTCTACAATGTACAAGCAGTGTAGCTCAGTGGAAGAGCGCTGGATTCATAACTCAGAGGTCGATAGATCAAAACTATCCACTGCTATCGTTTTTTTTCTTCTTTCGCTATTGACTAACATTGCATCAGAACATCAGAATGTATCGACGACGTGCTTTCGCAATAACATACTGTTGATCAGTGCACCTAACTGATTGTACATGAAATATTGTCAAAAGCTCGTGTGATCAACTCTTTTTTCCAANCTTACTGCTCGCTTATAAAGTTTGTGCATCTGTGGAACGGATATGATTGTACATATTGCTTTTAAATCTAATAGATCAAATATCCGAATAACATATATTTGCTACGAGGAAATCATGAATGCGCTTCAATTACTCGTATCTACGGTTTCTATGATGAATGTAAGTACCATCGCAGAAAAGAAAACATTCATCTCTATCGCAATTGTTCATAGGTAAACGGAGATATAATATCAAATTATGGAAAGCATTCATTAGAGTATATTCAACACATTTTCCAACGTTGGCTAAGAGACATTTTGTATGTTTTCAGTGTTTCAACTGTCTACCGATAGTCGCGATCATCAACGAGAAGATCTTCTGTTGTCATGGAGGTCTATCACCTGACCTTGTTAATTTAGAGCAGATCCGACGTATACAACGACCGACGGATGTTCCTGATACAGGTAATCAATACTTCGAATTTTGACTCGTAAAATTCCAATTGATCAGGTCTGCTTTGTGATCTGCTATGGTCCAGTCCGAGTAATTACGTAGAATATTGGGATGACATTCCAAAGGGTGTCTCATTTGAATTTAGCGCTGCTGTAGTAAAGAAAGTAGACAATTGAACTGTTTTGTTTCGATGAATCAAAATAATAATTGTAGTTTTTGGAAAAACATAATCTGGATTTGATATGTCGGGCACACGAAGTCGTTGAAGATGGCTATCTGTTTTTTGCTGATCGCCAATTAGTGACGATCTTTTCCGCTCCGGATTATAAGAATGAATTTGATAATGCCGGTGCTATGATGACTGTTGATCAAAACTTGACGTGTTCATTTAAAGTATGATAGGTTCTAATAGTATGTATCGATTGGAAGTTCTTTTCTCTTCTATAGATACTTCCATCACACTCGAAGAGTGCTGAGAAAGACGCTGATAAAAATCTCGGTTTGAACCATCCAACATCAATTGACAATACGACCTTAGTCGATACTGATGGAAAACGTGTCAAATGGGCTGGAATTGATGGCCCTATGCCGATGAAGGACTCAACGTAACATGTACTTCATCACAGCTTTGAACATATTGGATTACGATTATGTAGCTACCATTATCAATTGTATTGTATGAAAACTGTGACAATAACAGTTATTCCTTCCTATTCTGTATTTCAACATTTCTCTAAGATCTTTTATTATTTCATAAAGTCGATAAAAACTATGATCGCAATCAGCTAAATCGATGTGAAATTATGACAAGTGATCGTTCTTCAGGGGAAAATCGGAAGCATAGTCTTCATAATCAGCTCGAAGAACAGCTTGTCTGAAACAGAATTATTTTTGACTTTGCTTAAATCAAACAGTATATATTTCTATTGAGGACGATATAGTAATTATGCCAAAGATGATCAATAATCGAATTCTACGATGTACAAGCAGTGTAGCTCAGTGGAAGAGCACTGGATTCATAACTCAGAGGTCGATAGATCAAAACTATCCACTGCTATCGTTTTTTTTCTTCTTTCGCTGTTGACTAACATTGCATCAGAATGTATCGACGACGTGCTTTCGCAATAACATACTGTTGATCAGTACACTTAACTAATTGTAAATAAAATATTATCAAAAGCTCGTGTGATCAACTCTTTTTTCCAACACGCAATATGTGATAAGATTACATAGTATAAAAATAGATACGCGTCATTAAGATAATGATTCATTTTCTTCGATAAGTAAAGTACGCTGTTTGATTCGATATTTATTCTGTCGACCGACAAGAGATAACTACTCATATTGTTTGCCTTTAAACATATTTCAAAACTTCTTACACACGAAAGAACAATATAATCCATATGTGTAAGTGTCTTGTTTCGCCTGTTCTTCATGGAATAATCATACTTATTATTTCTGACGTTGGCATCGTATTCACCTCCCTCAGCGTTATTGGGTATTCCAACGTGCCCTCAGAAGAAAAATATTATAGAGCCACAACATGTAAGATTGAACGTATTCTCGGTTGTTCAAAAACTGTATGCCACGAATGGACGAAAAGCATGCCGTTAAATGATTGCTTTGGTCTCCAGTTGAACGTTAGCTATGTCGTCGCGAGTGAGCATAACAAAACGATACATGCGTCTCTCATTGGGAAAGCTGTGTACAATTCATGCGACATTGTAGCGCGTGCAAGGAATCACTATCTAACAAGAGTAATATTCCAATTACTGATTCCTTGCAATTTCAGTTTGTTTATATTTCTAGGTGAACTCGTCAGATCTTTGTTACTACAATATAAACAATCATAATGAAGTGAAATGGGACAAGTTCAACGTTACTCCCTATTTAGTCATGTTTATTTCCGGTGTTCCTTTAATATTCATTGCGATATTATATTTAATTATAGTCACCAGGAAATGCCCCGTTGTAGAGTCCGGCCAAGAGCTCAGCCCTGAACGAGAGCAGATGCTTAATAGCTTTTTTATGTCCTTCTGAACTTCCTCGAACTTTTTATAGCTTTTGATAGTAGCGTGATCATATTGTCAAATTGATTGAAAAATGTAGTAGATACACCATCTATCCATATTCTGTGCAAGCAGCAACGTACTCATTATTCATATTTTCAAAATGCATCACAAAGCAATTGAGATACATAGCCATTAAAGTATACCTATCAACTATTTATTTAAAATAGAGATGATTCTAATATTTCATTCTTGATGGGTGTCTATCTGGACTTAAATCTGTACTTCTTGCCGATGACTTAATTGAAGATATACGCGGCTTTTCAAAAACCGTATGCATGCTTCGATAACGATTTAAATACGATCTATACAAATCAGCTCCCATTGTATTGTGCGTTACCTATTTTAGAAATAAATAGTAATGCGTGTAAAATCGGGCACATGAATGACAACAGCATATACATACATGACTACATAGTCGAGAACGATTGTTTGCATCCTAACAATGAATCGAAATATTCTTTAACTGGCTGTACTCGCATTGATTATTCATTCAGTAGCAGATAGAGAACGGAATCATACTTCTACATTTATAGGTGTTAAATATGATGCTCAAAGACAAAAACTGAATGTGACGATGTCCGAAACAGTTTCACTCTACTCTATTCCAATCTATTTAAATATATATATATGCGTGATGCACCCATCCAGAATGTTAATTCGATTGATCGCTGTCTCGCATTTGGAGCATCTTTTGACTTCATAGCTGATCTTCATTCAAACGGCAACACTATGGATATGGAGGATGCGATGGTCTGTGCTGTCAACACGCAGTGTTGTGAAGATATACTAGATTACCTGTTAAAATCAATCAAGAAAAATGTCAATGGTTCGTTCGCACTTCATCAACATGAATCTACGAAATGAACTATCCTTTTGCAACTGGCCAATCGGTATCCAACCGTGGACTGTTCATCTTTTTCGTCGACAGATCGCTTTGTACATCTGAATCTGAGATTACGATGGCTTGTCTTCATGCTGAAGACAATCTCTCAAATACTTCAATAAAATCTCTACAATATCAATGAGAGAGAGAGAAAGATTCTTAACGACCTTACCGTACCACACTATCTGATAAAAATGTAATAAATTATCGAGATCTAATGTGAGATACAGCAATCATCAAAATAATGGCATACGTATTCAACAAGAACCCATAAGTGCATAAATACAGATTTTTTGTCTATACTACTATTCATTTATACGCCAAGAAAATGCGATTAACGTATTCAGTCCTACTACTTTTAATTTGTATTGGAATATTATGTATATTCAGCGTAGATGGTGAAATGTGCTCCTGTTTCTGCTGTCCTGATACATCAATCGATTGTGATATAGTTGAACATCCGGTACTTTTAATGCCATTATGTACAAGTGGTATATGTTCCATTAAATGCAAGCAAACATATCCAGTCGATTGTAATAGTACTCTCTCAGAAATTGTGGCTATTTGTGTTTCGGGTGCTTCAATTGTCTGTAGTCGATATACAATGTTTACTACATTTATTCTTGCTTTTTCAACTATGATATACATTGGTTTTTAAACAAGGTTTTGTATTCGAAGTTGAATATGTAAATATGTTTGTAACTGTTCTTTTTTTACCCATCCTAACAATAGACACATATTTAGAAAACTCGTCATGTCATCAGATTTTTTGTTTGTAATTACTAAATCGATTCTACCATCTTAGTTAAAATTAGCTGCTACTAAAGCAATAGGTTGAGTACTCACTTTGTATTTCACCAATGTCTGAAACGTTCCATTCTGATCGTCATACAAAATACTAATGGTGTTTCCACCTTGATTGGAAGTCGTCAAATCCGTGTAATGATCGTTATTAGAATCTATAGAGACAATGGAATACAGATTGGCGTCACTTTTGCACATAATATGAGACTTGGAACGTCCCATTTCCAAATAGTGCACTCACATTTCTTCTGTAATATGTATATGTCAATTACGTCCTATACCGGAGAAAATGTTCTGAACTCATTCATGCTTTCGTCATAAAAGTGAATTAATATGAACATAATCGAACATAGTTCAATCCATTTTCAACGTTGCACTCGATGATTTCTAAAGTCAGCAACATAGAGAAAACTTTGTGTGAAATCAACAGCATACAGCGCGGAATGAACATTATCGATGTCAATGAACTTTGAACTACTAACACTATAGCTGATGTTTTTTGTTTTTCAGTCATCGTTACACCCTCACTCACGTCCTCAGCACATATGCAAAGACGTAAAAAAGAAGACTCAAGCAGTGTAGCTCAGTGGAAGAGCACTGGATTCATAACTCAGAGGTCGATAGATCAAAACTATCCACTGCTATCGTTTTTTTTTCTTCTTTCGTTATTGACTAACATTGCATCAGAATACTTAATAAGAAATACAAACAAACACTTTCGTAATAATGCATTAGTCGATTAATGACATGGTTGTCAAATTTGCCCGTTCTGTACTCACTTTTTTTGTATTTGCTTCAACCTTGACTAGGATAATAAAGTCGTGTGACAAAGCTCTTTATATCGATTAGGAGAAAATGGCAACATGAAGGATTATCATCAGATTGAATATGCGTACTAAAGTAGCTGATTTAATATTTTTTTTCTCGAAGAATCATGAAGTAAGTTTCAATTTTATTCTTTCCTACTTTATTAATCGTGGTAAGGGCTTTTTAAGATATTTTTACGAATTGTTTGAATGTAATTGTTGATGAAAATGTGTATTTTTCTTTTTCATTCTACAAATACACAATGACATGTTTGCATTATTTGAAATGTGTGCGATAACAACAATACCTGGTATCGTTGCAGTAAGATAAAATAGTGAAGTTTTGTAAATATGTGTTTTTCTGGTCTACCTTGCTTTGTCTTATCAATAAATATATACTTGTTTCAATAATATATTATGTAAAAACATTTCGAGAATTAAAGTGTCTATTCGATGGTGTTCTTTCACATTCTGTTCATATCAAATCTGCTACTTGTTGCTAGTAAGCAAGTAGTCATTTCCAATGTTCTTCCTCGATTGGACACAAATGGATCCTACGTCGATGCACACGATGGTTGTTTGGTTAAATTCGATAACACCTACTTTTTGTACGGCACAGTTTATGGTAAATGTCATCAGTCCACAACAATTTGCGATGCTGTGTGTGGTTATTTGAACAATACGTTCGCTTTATATACTTCAACGGATCTTGTCAATTGGACATTCATCAGCAATAACGTGGTGCCTGAAGTGACCAAAGATAATAATCACATTAATTACTGGATGCCAAACGTCGGTTATAACACTCGTACAAAGCAATACGTAATGATCTACTGGTCAAGTAGATACGGCTTTCAAAATTCCATTGTTGCTCTTGCTGTTTCTTCAACACCGTTTGGACCGTTCGTGAATGTCGCACCGTTGAAAATGCAAGGTGGAAAAGTCATTAGTAGTACTACTGGATTATTTGTCGACGATGACAATACAGCTTATGTTCGATACAATACTCGTGATTCCTCGTTGCGACATGTGATAGAAAAGCTTTCGCCAGATTGGATGACAAGCACCGGCCAGTTTTCGATTATCTTTCAAAAGCAAGATTATCCTTGGTATGAAGGTGGAGGTGTTTTCAAACGAAAAGGAGTCTATTACACGATGATCAACACCGATTGTTGTTTCTGCCAATGGGGAGCAGATGCGCGTACATTCGCTACCACTGATGTTCTCGGTAATTGGACTTATATTGGTCAATTAAATTACTGTGCTGATGGAAAAGCTCCACCCGACCATGTCGACAGTATGTCCATAAATCCGTGTTCGCTTCCCGATCCGTACGGTACGAATTTTACCATTCCAGCTCAACAGTTCAACGTAGCCACATTACCGATATCATCTCAAGAAACTCTCTACATGTACTACGGCGAAAGATTTCGTTCGAGCGCAGATGGTATCAAAGGTCACGATTTTCAAGCTTGGATACCAATCGAATTCACCAATGATGATATTCCAAAACCAATGAAGTTCTATGCTAATTTTACTATTAATATTCAAGAGGAACTTATGTAAATTTAGTCTTTTAGCATTGATTTTATTTTGATTGAATATAATAACAGACCTTCAACAATAAGTAAAAGAAAATGCACAAGAAATTTCAATTAGTTAAGAGAATTTAATCTTATAATTGAATGTATCTAAAATTAGAAAGTTAAATTAGATAGCTTTTTAATGACATATATAAGTCTACGTAAAAAAGTATTCACAATTCATATCTAAACATGTGTGATTCTACGGCTGCATTGCTGAGCACGATCGCTCCGCTAGTGACTATTTATTTGGGTTTTCCCGTGCTTTTTCTTGGTTTTGTTGGCAATCTCTTGAGTTTACTTGTATTTCTTAGTCTCGAGACCTTCCGACAAAGTTCATGTGCATTCTATTTAACAATGGCGTCTTTTATCAATACATTTCATTTATTTACTGGTTTATTAACTTTCATCGCAATCAATGGAATTGGAGACAGTTGGTTGAATGCTTCGTTAATTTATTGTAAATTTCGCCAATATTTTGCTCAAGTATGTATAATGATGTCTATGTCGTGCATGTGTTTGGCGACAATTGATCAGTTCTTGGCAACACAGTCGAATGTTCGTTGGTATCGATTCAACAATGTCAAATTGGCTCGATACATCTTCTTGAGCCTACTTTTATGTTTGGTGTTTCTATTGATTCCTTATTTAATATACTACAACCATATTATATCAGTCAGCACGGGAAAAATCGTTTGTGCTATCACAAATGCCATCTTTTCGAAATATAGTGATTATGCTCAATCACTCTTTGTCTTAATTATTATACCAATGTCCATTATGACTGTATTTGGATTGTTAGCGTATCGAAATGTTCAAAATATATCGTATAGGACAATACCATTAGTTCGACGAGAGTTAGACAAACAACTAACATCGATGGTTCTTGTTCAAGTGTTCTACAATATTCCTGTCATGACACCAATGTTAATTGCAACCTTTTATAACGGCGTTGTAGGCAGTACACTCAATGCATGTGATAGAATTAAAATGGGCATTACTATAAATTTATGCATTCTTTGGTATTATTTATTTGCAGTCGTAAATATCAGTCAACTTGAAATGTCATTTGTGAATAATAAAAGGAGATTTTCTCATTTTTTAGGGTGCATTCTATATCTATGTAAGTGTATCGAAAAGATTTCGTCAACAATTGATTTATGTTCTGTTTAATATGCTTTGGGAACAATTTCGTCGACGCTGCAAACACAATCTAGTAGAACCACAAAAACAATAAATTTTCATACAAGATCTGAGCTTTAGTATTTTAAAACAAACGCACAGATATTTAGTTTGTCTATTAAAGGATTATAATAAAGAAGACATTTCATTTCAGCTTCGTTCTCATATATAATCATTTGATGTAATCTGACAGTTCTTATTTACCCATAGAAGGTCATCATAGTTTGTTTGTTTGTTTCAAATAAAGTCATAAGGATGAACGAAAAAAAAATCTAAACACTCATCATGATTGAATTGCTTTGTGAGTTTATACAAAAATAGGATAAAATAACTTTAAAAAACGAAAATGTTAGCAATCGAAATTTTAAAATGAATGACCGCCGAAGTCATCGATCAAACCACCATCTAACAAGGTCCACAGCACATAAGGCACATTGTTAAATGTTCAGGTTTGTTGATCAGTTCAGGAAGAGTTGGTTTGGGAACGATTCGTTCTAGTTTATAACTTATGTGAGGGTTAAATCATTCACCTCACGATAGTTACAACATGTTAAACATAGTGTCTGATTTAATTTGTTTGGGGCAAGCAAAATTGATGACGGATATGAGAAGAGCAGCAGCAGCGACGCATATTGAACATAAATATAAATGCTGATCAATTATCGATCATTTCTATAGTAATGATAATACGAAAGGCATTTGTGTTTATTCAAGTTTCACACATGCTTCGTTGATATAGTCTACGGACACGATTGATAAGAGAAATTGTATACTTCCTATGTAAAAAAAAATATCACATAAAAATCAACTAATTCGTGATTATAATCGATTTATGGCAGGGAAAAACCGATTAAAATGCTGAGTTTTCGATTTTTTCGATGTAATTTTCTGATTCTAATCTATTTGTTGCTATAAATCATTGAAAATCGATTCTGTTTCATCGATTATCATCAATTGCATTCCTCAGAGTCTGATCAAATCAATTAATAACTCATTTCATTCACCAGAATCGGTTCTATTCTTAATTAGTTATCATCGAATGTACAAAAAATCTTGTAGAAATCAATAGTATAGCTTATTAACCGTAAGAACTATATACATTAGCAATGTTTGCGATTTGAAAGATAATCCTTAGACAATAGTTTAGATTGCGTAGTAACTGGCATTTTCTCACTTTTGTTATAGTTCTTTTGTTTATTCTTATGTAAAAAACATTGAAGTGAGCAATACGTATATTTTATTGTATGCATAGTATTGCTTGATATTTGGGATCTGTATTAGCATTGGCATGAGCTTCGAAGGTTTCCAATTTCAATAAACAGTGGCCAATTATTTACTAGTAAGCTTGTCTCTTTACCTAAGGATATATTCGATGTAAAAAAAAAACAGGAAACAATAATTTCATGAAATCACTATTTCTTTAAGTTTTAGGTTCACCCAAAAACAAAAATGAACGGTAAATAATTAGAAATCAATTTTCATCTTCATTCACAAACAATGTGGATGTTAAAACAATCGGTAAGAAATAGCTGTCCTTTCGTTACAGATCGATTCAACTGTTCAAATCAATGGGGAATCACAATTAATTTCATAAATTGTTCATAAATCATCACCAACAATAAATCGAGAAGTATATTGAAATCAAAATATGCTGTATACCAACCGTCGACAAAGTTCTCACTCTTTCTTCTCCCACAACGTCTATGACTAATTAAAAGAATGATTATACGATTGTCATAGAGATTACAATGGAAGAAGGAGCTGTATTGAATGCACATGGTTGCAGTAGATTTAAATTGATTTAAAACCAAAGATAATCAACCACCCGCGATTATAGTCGATTCGAAATGAAAAAAAATCGAGTAAAGGTGTATGATTCAAATCGATTCTTAATCGACTATTGAATCAATTATAATTTGATTTTTTAAGATTTTTTTTACATGGGTTATAGCGTATACAAATTTCTTCTATGTCATGTGAAAAAATGAATCGTTTATATGTTTTTCTTAAGTATGTGAATGTTTTATTATTCATCACAAATTTGTAAGATAAAAAAAAATACCCGTAGCAAGACAATGTCATCGACAAAAAAAAACTGTATGTGATTATCATTTCATACCAGCAATTTTACCGAACGCTGCGTTACAAAACAAAACGATCATCGGTATTGTTAACATCGACATCGATGCTAATATTTGTTGGCCGTGTGATGATCCACTTGTGTGGGTGCTATTGCACGATCTTTGAATGTAACTATTCTCTGCAGGACACTGGACAGGATACTTATTTATGCATAATTCTCTATTACATGAGGAACAATCTGCCACATTCACTATTGGCTGATATACAAGCGTGCAATTGAAATTCCATGGGTAAACAAGACAACAGGCGCATCGGCAGTCAAACCCATATGAAAATGATAAGTAAATCGTCAGGAATATACTTGCTATGATGATAGACCTCATTCTATCTAACTCGTCAGTAATGGTATATGAAATGGATCGACGAGAAGAGAAAGAACAAAGATAAACTTTGTAAAGCTGCTTTTATTAGCGATCGATGACTAATAGTTATTTAGTTACTCATAGTCAATTTGCCATTTTATGACTAATCTTTATCATCTGTTGAAGAACAAAAGAAAAACTGGCTGACGAATAATTGAGTGGATGTTATTTCAGCCATTCGTATATTCGTTTTACAGGACGTATTTTTGTATGAAGTGGAATTTATAATTCGATACGCGTTCTTTGTGTTTGCCCTTCTAAATCAAATTAACATCGACAAACGAAATCTTTAGAAGAAATGGTCGATTCAAAATAATGTTGGTTCCATTCATACTTTCACGTGTTTATCTTTGCTCGTCGTACGTTCTTTTCCTGGAATAAGACGAAAAATATTTTATTTTTCCATATTCAAGTGAAGCTAACTGGTTTCAACATACTTCTCTTCAAACAGCAACTAGACGTCAGCAAATAATTGATCCGTTGACAGAAAACTCGTCGAAAAAGTAAACTAGTCAGCATATTCACTGGAAACGACTTGACAAAGTTTAGATAATAAACAACAAGCGTCAGTTTGTCCAAAAACACTTCAAATGCGTGTCTTGAACTATGTCTGTGTTGATTAGATGTCCATAAATAGTAAATTAAGAATCCGCAACGAAAGCATGTCAGTAACATTCCTAACCCAACTTGTACAACCAAAATCGTTATCAAATGACGATCAACTGTACGGGATATGCGCGATTTTCTCTTACTGCATAACATCTCCATTCGATATTTCAGTGTTCGAACGCGTCTTAAAATGATCAACGTGCAACTAAACATGATTCCATATATGAGAAATGGACTGATTGATAAAGTGTATAGCGTCATAAATTTTGTATAAAAACCTTTTCGAGGCACACATTGATATATCATATGGTTCGTCTCTTTTGAATGTAATTCGTAGAAGATGAGGATGTGTGCAGTGGAAAGTAGAGCAAGTAGAAACGTTATGATTGCTACACGCCTAGCAATGTGCATTTTACTCAACTGGCGCCATTTGAACGAATTAGACGTCGATAAACATCGATCTATTGATGCGACCATTAGAAAAGAAGTTGATAAAGTCGGCAGAACGACAACTAAATAGATTCGACATTTGCAAAAAACATTCGATTCAGTCGGTAATCTGTTTGTATAGTGATCCTGCATGATACGTACTGTTCCACCGAATAAAACATACATCATATCGAACACAGTCGAACATAGAAAATAGAATGCACAGGGATTATAACGTAACTGTTTCGAAGTAAATGTCAACAAATTGCAAAGACCGCCGAGTGTTCCGGTGATAATAGTTAAGAATGAAGCATAGAACGTAATATAATTAATAATATCATAGAGAAGTTTTAGATTATTTCCAATCATGATATCTCTAAAATATATATAAATAATGTTTTTCTACACCCCTTTTTTGCCATGCACTTCATGTGTGAAATGCGTGTTTGTTAAAAAAATAAATTATAAAAAAATATTGTCTGAGTGATCCCTGAAATTACAGAACAATAACATGATGATCTTGATATGCGAAGTTGTTCTCGTCGACGATATTTAGAATGAATGCAAAAACTGTGTCAACGCTCATCGAAAGTCATGAATAATGATGTTATATTAGTACTTTTATAGAATCAAATTAGAGCTCGACCAGATTTTCTTACAAGAATGTTGGAGCGACACAAAGGAGAGAGAGAAAAAGCGGAAGAGAACACGTTCTAGCATGATTAAAGTATGTGTTTCTAAGCACGTTCAGACGGTTATGCTCTTCATACTCCTGTTGACTCAAAACATCCTTTAACCGTTGATTTATTATAATCAGTTCTGCATCCTCTCACCATACCGTCTATACTAGAAGTTGCATAGGCGAAGATGAGATTTTTGCCAAGTATCTCATATTCTATCTCTTAGCCATCGGAGACTACATCAGCTATTTAATGAGTGTTTAGTATTAATGATTTCATAGACACAATATTCTCTTTCATTCAGGCACTGTGAGTATGCACACAATGGACAAATCAACAGAGCAAGATTGGTAGTTTTTTGCTGATCTTTGTACGGTAAGTTCTAATGTTCTTAGAGATATAATTGACATTTACTGGAAACACATGAAAATAAAATTAAATGTCGAATGTAGATAGAGATTAACATTAGATTTAATCGGGTGACGAAAAGAGAAAAATATTCTTGATCGAGTCCTCATTTTTGGTAGACTACGGATTGAAAATTCAATATGCGAAAGATCTGTTTCATCATTATTGTTCTCGTACATTGCTCAGCAGAAACTCAAACACTTGATCCAGAAGCAATAGTCAATGTTCGAATTGAAGGGGACGAAAATACTATTTTCGAAGCATTCATCTTATCGAAGGTAAAGACAATCACGACATCATCCGGTGGAACTCATAGATGCGATGGAACCAACAACAATGCGAGTGCAATACCTGTTCCCACTATGACAAGTAGTTTAGACATAGCTGTGAGTCAAGAAGGTTTTACATGGGATGGGTACGGCTTACATTAGCAAATTATGCCAGTAGATCTGATCTTTGTTTTTTGTAGGACATATTCTACACTTTATGACGACTATACAATCGTACGTATTGGAAATACTTCTCGAACTAGTTCGAAATTTTGGAGCACACTTGTCGATTACGAATTTACACAAGTTGGAGGTTGTCAACAAAAAGTGAAACATGGTCAACATCTTCTTTTTGCTTTCGATGGTTTCAATAAAGCACATTTTCTCAAACTGGAAACGTTGAATAGTATCGTTCAAATTGGAGATTCTCTTACAGTGTTAGTTACCGATGGACGAACTGGAGAACCAATTCATAGTGCAACTGTGGGCGGAATGCTAACGAACGCTACGGGACACGCGCAAGTTACATTTAAAAACTTAGGAGCACAGAGACTCAAAGCTGAACGTTCGGATTCGATCCGTTCTAACACGCTTGTGATCATGGTTACTGCGCGTAAATAGATCATTTTTCAATCGAATCAGTTTTTGCGCTGTATACAAAAAGGATTAAGAAGAACTATTTAATAAAATATAATTCCTCGCTATTTCATGCATATATGACATTTGTTATGCAAAGGGTAAAACAGATGCAACTATTTACAATACGACTCTTTCGAAAGCGATAGACAAATATAAGGTAATCTGCGATGATGGATCTTTCATTTCAGAAAGACGAAATGTACAAGAGTAGTCAGTCACTTGACACACTTGTTTCGAAGGATAATTCACAATCAAAATGGTGGCGAAATTCTCAATACCGAACCATCTTCATTTTTCTCACCATAGTCTTAACATTACTCATTGTTATACTATCGCTAATGCTTAAATACATGGTTTTCGTACCGATGAAACCTGAAACTATCGTGACAACAATACCAAACGGTACACATCAGTGGAGTAAGTCTTTTAATGAGATACTTCGCATTGTTGATTTATTTGTTTAGAATGGAGTGCCACTCACAAGAATATGAACGTCGGTCGAAAATTTCATACAGCATCCGTATTGAACAACGGAAAAGTTTTAGTTACCGGTGGTTTTTATCATGATATTCTAAATAGTGTTGAATTGTACGATCCGTCAAAAGATAGTTGGTCATCTGCGGTTTCGATGACTTTTGGACGGTACATGCATACAGCATCTCTTTTGAGTGATGGAACAGTATTGGTCACTGGTGGTAATGACGGTTATACTGGTCAGAATAGCACCGAACTGTACGATCCATCCACAGAAACGTGGACGACAGTGGATAGGATGAATCACGGTCGAATACAACACACGGCATCGGTTTTGAAAAACGGGAAAGTATTGGTTACCGGTGGAAAACATGGAGATGATTATCATAGAAGTGCTGAATTGTATGATTCATCAACAAAAGGTTGGGCAAATGCTGGTTATATGAACGATGCTCGTGTAGAACACACTGCAACGATGTTAAACAATGGAAAAATATTACTAACAGGTGGACATAATCTTCGTGCATTGAATACTGCTGAACTGTATGATCCATCAACAGGAATTTGGACAACTACTGGCAGTATGAATCATGCGCGATATTCTCACACAGCATCTCTTTTGACCAATGGAAAAGTCTTAGTAGCCGGTGGTCTTAATTCCAATGGAGCTTTGGACAGTGCTGAACTATATGATCCTTCAACGGAAATTTGGACGACGACGGCAAATATGAATTACACACGATGGTATGCTACAGCATCAGTATTAGCAAACGGAAATGTAATGATAACTGGAGGAGCNAGCTCAGTGGAAGAGCGCTGGATTCATAACTCAGAGGTCGATAGATCAAAACTATCCACTGCTATCGTTTTTTTTCTTCTTTCGCTATTGACTAACATTGCATCAGAACATCAGAATGTATTGACGACGCGCTTTCGCAATAACATACTGTTGATCAGTACACTTAACTAATTGTAAATGAAATATTATCAAAAGCTCGTGTGATCAGCTCTTTTTTTCCAACACGCAATATGTGATAAGATTACATAGTATAAAAATAGATACGCGTCATTAAAATAATGATTCATTTTCTTCGATAAGTAAAGTACGCTGTTTGACTCGATATTTATTCTGTCGACCGACAAGAGATAACTATTCATATTGTTTGTCTTTAAACATATTCCAAAACTTCGTACACACGAAAGAACAATATAATCCGTATGTGTAAGTGTCTTGTTTCGCCCGTTCCTCATAATGTAATCATCCTTATTATTATTGACGTTGGCATCTTATTCGTCTCCCTCAGCATTATTGGGTATTTCAGCATGCGCTCAGAAGAAAAATATTATAGAGCTACAACATGTAAGATTGAACGTATTCTCGGTTGTTCAAAAACTGTATGCCGCGAATGGATGAGAAGCATGCCGTTAAATGACTGCTTTGGTCTCCAGTTGAACGTTAGTTATGTCGTCACGAGTGAGCATAACAAAACGAGACATGCATCTCTCATTGGGAAAGCTGTGTACAATTCGTGCGACATTGTAGCGCATGCAAGGAATCACTATCTAACAAGAGTAATATTTCAATAACTGATTCCTTGCAATTTCAGTTTGTTTACATTTTTAGTTGAACTCGTCAGATGTTTGTTACTACAATATAAACAATCATAATGAAGTGAAATGGAACAAGTTCAACGTTACTCCCTATTTAGTCATGTTTATTTCCGGTGTTCTTTTAATCTTCATTGCGATATTATATTCAATTATAGTCGCCAGGATATGCCCCGCTGTAGAGTGCGACCAAGAGCTCAGTCCTGAACAAGAGCAGATGCTTAATAACTTTTTTATGTCCTTCTGAACTTCCTCGAACTTCTTATAACTCTGATAGTAGCGTGATCATGTTGTCAAATTGATTAAAAACTGTAGTAGATACACCATGTTGAATATGTTTGTAACTGTTCTTTTTTTACTCATCCTAACAACAGACACGTATTCAGAAAAATCGTCATGTCATCAGATTTTTTGTTTGTAACTACTAAATCGATTTTACCATCTTTATTGAAATCAGCTGCTACTAAAGCATTTGGCCAAACATGAGTCATATACGTTCGTTGAAAGAGAATACTTGTAGTTCCACTGCCAAATAATATCACAATATTGCTGGACCCTTAGTTGACAGCGGCGATGTTGATTTTACTGTCACGATTGAAATCACCTGCTAACAAAGCAGTAGGTTGAGTGTCCACTTTGTATTTCACCAATGTCTGAAACGTTCCACTCTGATCGCCATGCAAAATACTAATGGTGTTTTCACCCTGATTGAAAGTAACCAAATCCATGTGATGATTGCTGTTAAAGTCTGTCGAGACAATCGAATTCGGATTGACACTAACGTTCCATTCCCATTTCCAAATAGTACACTCACACTTTTTCCGTAGTAGTTGCTACAAAAATAGTACGATTACCTTTTAGTCGAGATGAACAAGAATTAAATCAGTTAAATAAGATTATACAACATTTAGTTGAATTACAAAAATTACAACGACAACAAGAAGAATTAAGAAAATTATTATATGAACAACATCCCAAAGATGCACAAGAACTATCACAATCAATTCTTACGATATTAAAAACTGATGTTATCTTGATGATAATCCAAAACTGAACAAAAAATACACTTTATCTCATCAAGGTTTGTAAATTCATTTCTCTTGCTATGCTATTTTGATGTCAATCAAAGCTATTTTTTTCTATGCAAGAGTAAATAATAATTACATACCAAAGTAAAACTGCTCTATTCAACTCATGTGAAATCAGATGTTACTTGAGTGTATGTATTGCACTTTGCAAAAAATTATAAAGATAATAACCAATGAACGAATATATACGATCGCAATATCTGTTTTTAAGTGATGAATATCAATTTAAACGATGCAGATGAGGGTGAGATGGCCAAACATCTAGCCACATCCTGAAAATATCAATGAAATATAACAGATCACATAATTAGACATGATTGTGTATACGAAAATAGTTGTAAACTCTTTAAATGTTTAATAAATCTTAATATCTTCCCAAGTACATCTGTAAATGACTTATCTGATATTTAATAAACTTCACAAAAATCTTCTCAAATATCTTTTTTTGGACTCATAAAGGGGTTTATTATACATTTCTTGCACAAATCTTTTTAGAGTTTCGTATCATTCAATTTTTTACAATCTAATTCAACTTTGATAAATACTCATATAATTTGAAGATTTCGGATATCACATATTACCTTGAGAACGATCAATCTTTTTATCGCACGTATGTGGTCACCTTTGTAACTTTTCGCGTCTACACTCCATACAGAGAAAAGATTCATAAGGATTTATTTGCTGTAGATTAAGGACAATCTTATTTGAAAACTCATTTCAAAAGAACCAATAGAGTCGAATATTTAAGCTCTATCGAGTGATAAAAATATTGAGCTAGAAATGCGTAAAGAAATGAAAAATAGAATAAAACTGATCGACTAATCTTGAGTAGAAGCTTGGTGNAGCTCAGTGGAAGAGCGCTGGATTCATAACTCAGAGGTCGATAGATCAAAACTATCCACTGCTATCGTTTTTTTTCTTCTTTCGCTATTGACTAACATTGCATCAGAACATCAGAATGTATCGACGACGTGCTTTCGCAATAACATACTGTTGATCAGTGCACCTAACTGATTGTACATGAAATATTGTCAAAAGCTCGTGTGATCAACTCTTTTTTCCAACACGCAATATGTGATAAGATTACATAGTATAAAAATAGATAGGCGTCATTAAGATAATGATTTATTTTCTTCGATAAGTAAAGTACGCTGTTTGACTCGATATTTATTCTGTCGACCGACAGGAGATAACTACTCATATTGTTTGCCTTTAAACATATTTCAAAACTTCGTACACACGAAAAAACAACATAATCCGCATGTGTAAGTGTCTTGTTTCGCTTCTTCTTCATGAAATAATCATCCTTATTATTATTGGCGTTGGCGTCTTATTCGTCTCCGTCAGCATTATTGGGTATTCCAACATGCGCTCAGAAGAAAAACATTATAGAGCCGCAACATGTAAGGTTGAACGTATTCTTGTTTGTTCAAAAACTGTATGCCGCGAATGGACGAAAAGCATGCCGTTAAATGACTGCTTTGGTCTCCAGTTGAACGTTAGCTATGTCGTCGCGAGTGAGCATAACAAAACGAGACATACGTCTCTCATTGGGAAAGCTGTGTACAATTCGTGCGACATTGTAGCGCATGAAAGGAATCACTATCTAACAAGAGTAATATTTCAATTACTGATTCCTTACAATTCCAGTTTGTTTATATTTCTAGCTGAACTCGTCAGGTGTTTGTTACTACAATATAAACAATCATAATGAAGTGAAATGGGACGAGTTCAACGTTACTCCCTATTTAGACATATTTATTCGCGGTGTTCTTTTAATCTTCATTGGGATATTATATTTAATTATAGTCGCCAAGACATGCCCCGCTGTAGAGTCTGGCCAAGAGCTCAGCCCTGAACGAGAGCAGATGCTTGATAGCTTTTTTATGTCCTTCTGAACTTCCTCGAACTTTTTATAGCTCTTGATAGTAGCGTGATCATGTTGTCAAATTGATTGAAAAATGTAGTAGATACACCATCTATTCATATTTTCAAAATGCATCACAAAGCAATTGAGATACATAGCCATTAAAGTATACCTATCAACTGCTTATTTAAAATAGAGATGATTCTAATATTTGATTCTTGGTGGGTGTCTATCTGGACTTAAATCTGTACTTCTTGCCGATGACTTAATTGAAGATGTGTGCGGCTTTTGAAAAACCGTATGCATGCTTCGACAACGACTTAAATACGATCTATATAAATCAGTTCCCATTGTATTGTGCGTTGCCTATTTTAGAAATAAATAGTAATGCGTGTAAAATTAGGCAAATGAATGATAACAGCATATACATACATGACTACATAGTCGAGAACGATTATTTGCGTCCTGACAATGAATCGAAATATTCTTTAACTAGTTTTACTCGCACTGGTTATTTATTCAGTAGCAAATAGAGAAGAGAATCATACTTCTACATTTATGGGTGTTAAATATGATGCTCAAGGATAAAAACTGAATGTGACGATGTCCCAAACAGTTCCACTCTACTCTACTCCAATCTATTTGAATTTATCTATGTGCGATGCACCAATCCAGAATATCAATTCGATTGATTGCTATCTCGCATTTGGAGCATCTTTTCGCTTCACAGCTGATCTTCATTCAAACGGCGACACTACGGATACGAAGGATGCGATGGTCTGTGCTGCCAACAGTGTTCTGAACATATATTAGATTACCTATTATAAAATCAATCAAGAAAAATGTCAATGAAACCGCGTGCGGTCTCATGATCTTTCTATAATCAACAATGTTCCACCTTCTTGTCAATGGTTCGTTCGTACTTCTGAATATGATATTACGATAGCTTGCCTTCATGCTTAAGACAATCTTTCAAATACTTCAATAAAACTTCTACAATATCAATGAGAGAGAGAGAGAGAGAAAGATTCTTAACGATCTTACCGTACCAAACTATCTGATAAAAATGTCATAAATCATCGAGATCTTAAGTGAAATAAACCCATCATCGAAATAATAGCATATCTATTCAACAAGAAAACATAAGTGTATACAGACAGATTTTTGACTAGTATACTACGCTTTTCTTACATACCGAGAAAATGCAATTAGCCAATTCAATCCTTGTGCTTTTACTTTCCATTGGGATATTATGTATATCAAGCGTAGCTGGTGAAAAATGTTCCTGTTTCTGCTGTCCTGATACATCAATCGATTGTGATATTGTTGAACATCCGGTACTTTTTGTCCCATCATGTACAAGTGGTATATGTTCCACTAAATGCAAGCAAACATATCCGGTCGATTGTAATAGTACACAATCCGAAATCGTGGCTATTTGTGTTTCGAGCGCTTCAATTGTCTTTAATCGATATACAATGTTGACCACATTTATTCTTGCTTTTTCAACTATGATATACACTGTTTTTTAAACAAGGCTTTTTATTCGAAGTTGAATATGTGAATATGTTTGTAACTGTTCTTTTTTTTGCTCATCCTAACAATAGACACGTATTCAGAAAAATCGTCATGCCATCAGATTTTTCGTTTGTAGCTACTAAATCGGTTTTACCATCTTTATTGAAATCACCTACTAACAACGCAGTAGGTTGAGTGCCTACTCTATACTTTGCCAATGTCTGTAAGTAGTACGCTCACATTTCTTCCGTAATACGTATATGTCAATCACATTCTATACCGGAAAAAATGTTCTGAACATTGGACTACTGACACTACCTGATGAATTCTATTTTTCGATCATCGCTATACCCTTACCCACACCCTCATTACTCGATAAATGGCGTAGTTGTCAAATTTGTCCGTTCTGTACTCACTTTTTTGTATTTGCTTCAACCTTGATTAGGATAAAGCCAACTGACAAAACTCTTTAAATCAACTAGGAAAAAATGCCAACGCAAAGGATTATCCGGCTTGTCCAAGCGTAACGTTGTGACATTTTGACACACGATTTCCCCAATATCTCAAAAACTATAAACGCTAGAGAGTTCGTTCAAACGTCATTCGATGTAGCTTGGCATACTCTATGTTCACTATAAAAATGAATGATTTCCATCAATCACTCGATTTTCCAGGAAGATTCTTAGGTCGCGTAACGGTGTGACACAAAAGGACCCTCAACCTCGAGCGCCCATGATTAATCCTTGATTTCCTGCGAAACTTAAAATACAAACGTAGATTGGTAATAACCAGTTTTATAGAGCTTTTTACGCGCTACACGATGGTGAAAAGAAAATTCTCCCATCTTCTTTTATGAGGTAATAAATGCCAAAATACAAACGTAACGGTGTGACATTTTTCGTAACGGTGTGACACAGTTTTTTATCAGTCATTTTTGGGGCACTTAACATAATCAGATTGACTTGATTTTTTTATGAGTGAGTCCTTATGAGTAACAAACGGTTCTGTAAAAAATTCAGACCGATCCACAGAAGTGGGAACTCAGAACCGGACCAGAAAGTTGGAAACTATTTACAAGAGTATAGAGTGCTCCTAGCTACCAAAATGGAAACCAAGTAACTCATTTTGTAGAGAATGAAATTCTGCATCGAATGGTTTGTCTTAACGCGTTTTCTGAAAAACTTTTTCCATTAAAAAAACTCAAAATACGATTTTCAGAAAAAGAAAAACGTGATTTTAGAAGAGAAAATCTGATTATTTTTAAAAACGGATGTCAGATTCGTAACCAGCGTTAAAAACTGCGTCTGACAGCCTATTCAAATCTGTTCAACTCGAAAAAAAAAATTTTCGAAACTTGATCAGCGAAGTGTCACTTTACGTGGACAAGCCGTATCATCAAATTATCTATGCGTACTAAAGTAGCTGAGTCAATGTTGTTTTTCTTGAAGAAAGATGAGTCATTAACAAAAAGTCTCGTGAAGCAAGTTTCAGTTCTATTTTTTTCCAACTTCATTAATCGTGGTAAAGGCTCTTTGAGATGCGTGCGACAACAACGATACCTGGTATCGTTGCAGTAAGATAACATAGTGCAGTTTCGTATATATGAATCTTTTTTTGCCTACCTTGCTTTATGTCTTATCAATAAACATATTGTGTATAACATTTCGAGAATTAAAGCGTCTACTTGATGGTATTCTTTCACGTTCTTTTCGTATCAAATCTGCTAGTTGTTGCCAGTAAGCAAGTAGTCATTTCCAATGTTCTTCCTCGGTTGGACACAAATGGATCCTACGTCGATGCACACGATGGTTGTTTGGTTAAATTTGATAACACCTACTTTTTGTATGGCACAGTTTATGGTAAATGTCATCAGTCCACGACAATTTGCGATGCTGTGTGTGGTTATTTGAACAACACGTTCGCTTTATATACTTCAACAGATCTTGTCAATTGGACATTCATCAGCAATAACGTGGTGCCTGAAGTGACTAAAGATAATAATCACATTAATTACTGGATGCCAAACGTCGGCTATAACACCCGTGCAAAGCAATACGTAATGATCTACTGGTCAAGTAGATACGGCTTTCAAAATTCCATCGTTGCTCTTGCTGTTTCTTCAACGCCGTTTGGGCCGTTCGTGAATGTCGCACCGTTGGAAATGCAAGGTGGAAAAGTCATTAGTAGTACTACTGGATTATTTGTCGACGATGACAATACAGCTTATGTTCGATACAACACTCGTGATTCGCCGTTGCGACATGTGATAGAAAAACTTTCGCCAGATTGGATGACAAGCACCGGTCAGTTTTCGATTATCTTTCAAAAGCAAGATTATCCTTGGTTTGAAGGTGGAGGCGTTTTCAAACGAAAAGGAGTCTATTACACAATGCTATCCACCGATTGCTGTTTCTGCCAATGGGGAGCAGATGCACGAACGTTTACTAGCACCGATGTTCTTGGTAATTGGACTTATATTGGTCAATTAAATTACTGTGCTGACGGAAAAGCTCCACCCGACCATGTTGACGGTATGACTGTGAATCCGTGTTCGATTTCCGATCCCTACGGTACAAATTTTACCATTCCAGCTCAACAGTTCAATGTAGCCACGTTATCGATATCATCTCAAGAAACTCTCTACATGTACTACGGTGAAAGATTTCGTTCGAGCGCAGATGGTATCAAAGGTCACGATTTTCAAGCTTGGATACCAATCGAATTCACGGATAATGATATTCCAAAACCAATGAAGTTCTATGCTAATTTTACTATTAATATTCAAGAGGAACATATGTAAATTTAGTCTTTTAGTATTGATTTTATTTTGATTGAATATGCTAACAGACCTTGAACAGCAACTAAAAGAAAAAGCACCGGAAATTGCAATTAGCTAAGCGAATTTAATCTTATAATTCAATGTATCTAAAATTAGAAAGTTAGATTAGACAGCTTTTTAATGACATATATAAATCTACGTAGAAAAGTATTCACAATTCACATCAAAACTTCAGATTTGATCTCCCATATAAAAATGTGTGATTCTACAGCTGCATTGTTGAGCATGATTGCTCCGCTAGTGACTATTTATTTGGGTTTTCCCATGCTTTTTCTTGGTTTTGTTGGCAATCTCTTGACTTTACTTGTATTTCTCAGTCTTGAGACCTTTCGACAAAGTTCATGTGCATTCTATTTAACAATGGCGTCTTTTATCAATACATTTCATTTATTTACTGGTTTATTAACTTTCATCGTAATCAATGGAATTGGAGACAGTTGGTTGAATGCTTCGTTAATTTATTGTAAATTTCGCCAATATTTTACTCAGGTATGTATAATGACGTCTATGTCGTGCATGTGTTTGGCGACAATTGATCAGTTCTTGGCAACACAGTCGAATGTTCGTTGGTACCGATTCAACAATGTCAAATTGGCTCGATATATCTTCTTGGGTCTACTTTTATGTTTAGTGTTTCTATTGGTTCCTTATTTAATATTCTACAACCATATTATATCAGCCAGTACGGGAAAAGTCGTTTGTGCTATCACAAATGCCATCTTTTCGAAATATAATGATTTTGCTCAATCACTCTTTGTCTTAATTATTATACCAATGTTCATTATGACTGTATTTGGATTGTTAGCGTATCGAAATGTTCAAAATATATCTTATAGGACAATACCATTAGTTCGACGAGAGTTAGAAAAACAACTAACATCGATGGTTCTTGTTCAAGTGTTCTACAATGTACCTGTCATGACACCAATGTTAATTGCAACCTTTTATAACGGCGTTGCAGGCAGTACACTCAACGCATGTGATAGAATTAAAATGGGTATTACTATAAATTTATGCATTCTTTGGTATTATTTATTTGCAGTCGTAAATATCAGTCAACTTGAAATGTCAATTGAGAAAATTAAAAGGAGATTTTCTAATTTTTTAGGGTGCATTCTATATCTATATAAGTGTATCGAAAAGATTTCGCCAACAATTGATTTATGTTCTGTTTAATATGCTTTGGGAACAATTTCGTCGACGTTTCAAACACAATCTAGTAGAGCCACAAAAACAATAAATTTTTATACAAGGCCTCAGCTTTAGTATTTTAAAACAAACGCGCAGATATTCAGCTTGTCTATTAAAGTATTATAATAAAGAAGACATTTCATTTCAGCTTTATTCTAATATATAATCATTTGATGTAATTTGACAGTTCTTATTTACCCATAGAAGGTCATCATAGTTTGTTTGTTTCAAATAAAGTCATAAAAATGAACGAAAAAATTAGCAGTTCAAATGTCAAAATGAATAAACGACGAAGTCATTGATTAAACCATTATTCAACAGGTTTCACACGTGCTTCTTTGATATAGTCTGAGGACACGTGGTTGATAAGAGAAATTGTATACTTATAGCTTATATAAATTAGTTCTGCGTCATGTCAAAAAATGAATCGTTTATATGTTTTTGTTAAGTACGTGAATGTTTTATTATTTATCACAAATGTGTAAGATAAAAAAGAATATCCATAGCAAGACAATGTCATAGACAAAAAACTATGTCTGTGATTATCATTTCATACCAGTAATTTTACCGAACGCTGCGTTACAAAACAAAACGATCATCGGTATTGCTAACATCGACATCGATGCTAATATTTGTTGGCCGTGCGATGATCCACTTGTGTGGGTGCTATTGCACGATCTTTGAATGTAACTATTCTCATCAGGACACTGGACAGGATACTTATTTATGCACAATTGTCTATTACATAAGGAACAATCTGTCACATCCACTATTGGTTGATCTACTAGCGTGCAATTGAAATTCCATGGTTGAACAAGACAACAGGCGCATCGACAGTCAAACCCATATGAAAATGATAAGTAAATCGTCAGAAATATACTTGCTATGATGATAGACTTCATTTTATCTAACTCGTCAGTAATTGTGTATGAAATGGATCGACGAGAAGAGAAAGAGCAAAGACAAACTTTGCAAAGCCGCTTTTATTAGAGATCGATGACTAATAGTTATTTAGTTACTCATAGACAATTTGTCTTTTTATGACTAATCTTTATCATCTATTGAAGAACAAAAGAAAAACTGGCTGACGAATAATTGAGTGGATGTTATTTCAGCCATTCGTACTCGTTTTATAGGACATATTTTTGTGAGGTGGAATTTATAATTCGATACGCGCTCTTTGTGTTTGTCCTTCGTAATCAAATTACCATCGACAAACGAAATCTTTAGAAGAAATGGCCGATTCAAAAAAATGTTGGTTCCATTCATACTTTCTCGTGTTTATCTTTGCTCCTCGTACGTTCTTTTCCTGCAATAAGACGAAAAATATCTTATTTTTCCATATTCAAGCGAAACTAACTAGTTTCAACATACTTATCTTCAAACGGCAACTAGACGTCAGTAAATAGTGGATTCGTTGACAGAAAACTCGTCGGAAAAGTAGACTGGTCAGCATATTCACTGGAAACGACTTGGCAAAGTTTAGATAATAAACAACAAGCGTCAGTTTGTCCAAAAACACTTCAAATGCGTGCCTTGAACTATGTCTGTGTTGATTAGATGTCCATAAATAGTAAATTAAAAATCCGCAACGAAAGCATGTCAGTAACATTCCTAATCCAACTTGTACAACCAGAATCGTTATCAAATGGTGATCGACTACACGAGATATGCGCGAATTTCTCTTACTGCATAACATCTTCATTCGATATCCCAGTGTTCGAACGCGTCTTAAAGTGATCAACGTGCAACTAAACATGATTCCGTATATGAGAAATGGACTGATTGATAAACTGTATAGCGTCATAAATTTTGTATAAAAACCTTCCCGAGGCAAACATTGATATATCATATGATCCGTCTCTTTCGAATGTAATTCGTAGAGGATGAGGATGTGCGCAGTGGAAAGTAGAGCAAGTAAAAACGTTACAATTGCTACACGCCAAGCAATGTGCATTTTACTCAACTGGCGCCATTCGGACGAATTAGACGTCGATAAACATCGATCTATTGATGCGACCATTAGAAAAGAAGTTGATAGAGTCGGCAGAGCGACAACTAAATAGATTCGACATTTACAAAAAACATTCGACTCAGTCGGTAATCTGTTTGTATAGTGATCCTGCATGATACGTACTGTTCCACCAAATAAAACATACATCATATCGAACACAGTCGAACATAGAAAATAGAATGCACAGGGGTTATAACGTAACTGTTTCGAAGTAAATGTCAGCAAATTGCAAAGACCGCCGAGTGTTCCGATGATAATAGTTAAGAATGAAGCATAGAACGTAATCCAATTAATAATATCATAGAGAATTTCCGGATTATTTCCAATCATGATATCTCTAAAACATATATAAATGACGATTTTCTACACCCTTTTTTGTCATGCACTTCGTGTGCAAAATGCGCGTTTGATCAAAACAAATTATAAAAATCATCGTCTGAGTGATTCCTGAAATTACAGAACAATAACATGATGGTCTTGATATACGAAGTTGTTCTCGTCGACGATATCTAGAATGAATGCAACAAATGTGTCCACGCTCATCGAAAGTCATGAATAATGATATTCTGTTGGCACTTTTATAGAATCCAATTAGAGCTCAACCGGATTTTCTTACAAAAATGTTGGAACGACGCAAAGTGGAGGGAGAAAGAGAAAGAGAGAATAAGCGGAAGAGAACACGTTCTGGCATGATTAAAGTATGTGTTTATAAGCATGTTCAGACGATTATGTTCTTCATGCTCTTGTTGACTCAAGACATAATTTAACGGTGGATTTATTATAATCAGTTCTGCATCCTTTCATCCATACCGTCTATACTAAAGCTGTGTAGGCGAAGATGAGATTTTGCCAGGTATCTCATATTCTATTTCTTAGCCAACGGAGACTACATCAGCTATTTAACGAGTGTTTACTATTAATGATCTCATAGAAACCATATTCTCTTTCATTCAGACACCGTGAGTATGCACACAACGGACAAACCAACAGAGCAAGATCGATAGTTTTTTGCTGATCTTTGTACGGTAAGTTCAAATGTCCTGAGAGATATAATTGACATTTACTGGAAACACATGAAAACAAAACTAAATGCCGAATGTAGATAAAGAGATTAACATTAGATTTAATCGGGTGACGAAAAGAGAAAAATACTCTTGATCGAGTCGTCATTTTTGGTAGACTACGGATTGAAAATTCAATATGCGAAAGATCTGTTTCATCATTATTGTTCTCGTGCACTGCTCAGCAGAAACTCAAACAGTTGACCCAGAAGCAATAGTCAATGTTCGAATTGAAGGGGACGAAAATACTATTTTCGAAGCATTTATCTTATCGACGGTAAAGACAATCACAACATCGTCTGGTGGAACTCATAGATGCGATGGAACCAACAACAATGCGAGTGCAATACCTGTTCCCACTATGACAAGTAGTTTAGACATAGCTGGGAGTCAAGAAGGTTTTACATGGGATGGGTACGGCTTACATTAGCAAAGTATACCAGTAGAACGGATCTTTGTTTTTTGTAGGACATATTCTACACTGTATGACGACTACACAATCGTACGTATTGGAAATACTTCTCAAACTAGTTCGAAATTTTGGAGTACATTTGTCGATTACGAATTTACACAAGTTGGAGGTTGTCAACAAAAAGTGAAACATGGTCAACATCTTCTTTTTGCTTTCGATGGCTACAATAAAGCACATTTTCTCAAACTGGAGACGTCGAACAGTATCATTCAAATTGGAGATTCTCTTACAGTGTTGGTTACCGATGGACGAACTGGAGAGCCAATTCATAGTGCAACTGTGGGCGGGATGCTAACGAACGCTACGGGACACGCGCAAGTTACATTTAAAAATTTAGGAGCACAGAGACTCAAAGCTGAACGTCCGGATTCGATCCGTTCTAACACGCTTGTGATCACGGTTACTGCGTAAATAGATCATTTTTCAATCGAATCAGTTTTTGCGCTACATACAAAAAGGATTAAGAAGAACTATTTAATAAAATATAATTCCTCACTATTTCATGCATATATGACATTTGTTATGCAAAGGGTAAAACAGATGCAACTATTTACAATACGACTCTTTCGAAAGCAATAGACAAATATAAGGTAATCTGCGATTATGGATCTTTCATTTCAGAAAGACGAAATGTACAAGAGTAGTCAGTCACTTGACACACTTGTTTCGAAGGATAATTCGCAATCAAAATGGTGGCGAAATTCTCAATATCGGACCATCTTCATTTTTCTCACCATCATCTTAGCATTACTCATTATTATACTATCGCTAATGCTTAAATACATGGTTTTCGCACCGATGAAACCTGAAACTATCGTGACAACAATACCAGACGGTACACATCAGTGGAGTAAGTCTTTTAATGAGATACTTCGCATTGTTGATTTATTTGTTTAGAATGGAGTGCCACTCACAAGAATATGAACGTCGGTCGAAAATTCCATACAGCATCCGTATTGAAGAATGGAAAAGTTTTAGTTATCGGTGGTTTTTATCATGATATTCTGAATAGTGTTGAATTGTACGATCCGTTAAAAGACAGTTGGTCATCTGCGATTTCGATGACTTATGGACGGTACATGCATACAGCATCTCTTTTGACTGATGGAACAGTATTGGTCATTGGCGGTAATGACGGTTATACTGGTCAGAATAGCACCGAACTGTACGATCCATCCACAGAAACGTGGACGACAGTGGACAGCATGAATCACGGTCGAATAAAGCACACGGCATCGGTTTTGAAAAACGGGAAAGTATTAGTTACCGGTGGAAAACACGGAGATGATTATCATAGAAGTGCTGAATTGTATGATTCATCAACAAAAGGTTGGACAAGTGCTGGTTATATGAGCGATGCTCGTGTAGAACACACTGCAACGATGTTAAACAATGGAAAAATATTACTAACGGGTGGACATAATCTTCGTGCATTGAATACTGCTGAACTGTATGATCCATCGACAGGAATTTGGACAACTACTGGCAGCATGAATCATGCGCGATATTCTCACACAGCATCTCTTTTGACCAATGGAAAAGTCTTAGTAGCCGGTGGTCTTAATTCCAATGGAGCTTTGGACAGTGCTGAACTATATGATCCTTCAACGGAAATCTGGACGACGACGGCAAATATGAATTACACACGATGGTATGCTACAGCATCGGTATTAGCAAACGGGAATGTAATGGTAACTGGAGGAGCCAATGATCACGTATTGAACACTGTGGAACTATATGATCCTTCAGTGCAGACTTGGACGACTGTTCACAACATGAACGGTGCACGACATTTGCATACAGCGTCCGTGCTAAAAAACGATATGGTGATAGTAATTGGTGGACGAAATTCTGATATAACTTTGAATACTGCTGAGTTTTATTCATTAGTTTAAACCAGTATTATGAATGACCCTTTGAAGAAAGTGGGTGAAACATTAGCCGTGCATATTAGTGTGTTTTAGTCCTCAAGTTTTTCATGTATAACTGCCACATCAACATCCATAGATTCTTCTTTCTTTTTAGTTATCTACACTTTTCACAATCGCCCCACTATTCTTGTCGCGTGGACTATGAAAATAAATACTGATATGCCGACTTCTTGATAATACGGACGAATCCGGAGGGAACGTTTCGTTTTTGTTCGCCAGCAGAGTTTGAGAATGAAAGAATGAGAATATTATATAGTGACGAAAAATCGAAAGTTGGCGGTGACAATTATTCGTAGTTGTATGAGAAGAAAACTGGCAAACATAAATCATCACTGTTGAGCTTTATTTCAGTGTAAGTGTAAGAAGTCTTTCTAGTATATTATCTTAATAATTCAAACAAATTACAAATTACCAACAAAAAAATGTCTCACAAATAAAGTTGAAAAGAAAAGAAAACATAGTTTTGTTCCTTGTAATGCGTTGCCATCACATTTACCTTCATTAATATGGTCTTGCTTTGATGTATCGCATGACAAATACTGTTTTGAGCAACGTATTTCACAATCAATGTCAGTACAAAAAGTATTATTTTCATAGTAAATAATTCCTATGAGTTTCGGTGTGCATCTTGTATATCGAGGATCATAACAACAGTTGCAAAGACATTTTCTCGATTTTGCTGTAAGCTGCTGCGTTTTGAACGCTGCATTTGGTTCACTATCAATTTGCGTTATCCAAAGGAAACAGATCAATAGAATAGCTGTTGAAACCTTCATTTTGATTTTCGTTCGTTGTGTACTTGCAGATAGATTTGGTGCGAACCTTAGTATTTATAGAGGGTAGGAGTTTCGTTTTATCATTATTCTTATCAAAACTATCTTACTGTAGTCATTGTCATTGACGTCAATCGTGGACGGCAAAGATTATGTTTATACTGCTTTAGTTCGATCGATCATTGATGTGTCTATTCCATTTTCGAAATGAAAAAAAGAAGATTTCCAACGTAAAAATTGTTTTTTACTACCGCTCTTAAGTTGTATACTTAAAGGTATGACATTATTTTTATTTCTTGATCACGCACTTAGAAGTTACTCCATACACATATTGAAATAACATCAAAGAGTGAAATAATTCCAGCAGCATTTCATCTGACTCATAGTTGGAAAAATAGCAGTATTTTAGAGGGATTGAATTTTGTTGGTATTTTCCACAATGTGCATCGCACTATTTATATTGCGATATTCAGATCGGATTTTAATAAAAATTTCCAAAAGGTGAATAGCATGGCTCTAGAAATACATCAACAAGAACAAATCCAAGTGAGTATGATAGGCGACACAGCAGTCGTGGCAGTGGCACAGCGAAGCACCATCGAAATGGGTATGCCTCGAAGGGCCTCGAAATTGGCATTTATTCGAAATACGTATCCAGCTCATTACAACCATGTTGTACGTAATATGAATTCGCTCAATCATCAGACAAATACAAAGGCGAAGCATTCGATGCGCGGCGGACATTTTCTGCTCTATCGTTATATCATATTGCTTGCCATTATATTATGTTTAGTCTTCGGTGTTATCAGCATTTATGTCAAAGGATGTGCATCAGTCCCGTTCATTCTTACAGTGGTTTACATCGCCATTAGTATCTATAATATTGTTATTTATATAAAAAATCGACCACTTCTCAATCCTCTTTTGGCGATACCAGTACCAAGCGACATTCTACCTGAATTCATGAATGAGTTTTATACTGTGCCTATTAATGCTACTGTTCTCACTGGAGCAATTGCGGCTTTCGTAAATCCAGCTGTGATCGCAGCAGCCGTTAGGAAAGATAATGTTCAACTGTGTGAAATACAAATCATGTTATACGATGATCTTTACCTACGTCATTGTCGATTTCCGTGGGAAATTATCGTTCATTTGCTCATATTCATTGTCTTATTCTTCTTGGCAATTGGTTTTGTCAGTGCTAAAGCGTCGTCTTGAACCACATATAAATACAAATTTTATTACTCGAAGAACTATTCTGAACGCTCCTCACTAAATATCTCAGTTAATTAGGCGTGAATGCGCAAAACAATGTGTACCATGTATTTCACAATACGCTGGTGTCGAGCGAGACAGAATGACTCATGCTTATATGTGTACATTTTTCAATTTTTTCATTCCATTGTTGTCTGCTTTTGTCACATTGCTGGTTTTTTTCCCTTTTTTCTTCCCTGCCTACATAAATTGCGCGTATTTCGACCGTAAAACAGCCATTTGTTCACTTTTTTTCCCATTATTTAATAACTATCAGGTTTGGAATACAACTAGAGGAAGACTTTATTCAGATATCGATTATGTATTCTTATCCCTAAGTTGTTGTCTAGTTAGCAATTTGCTATCGATTAGTCACCTCACTCGTGCCAGATATAGATTGAATAGATGAATATTTTATCTCCAATCAGAATCAAAGTTGTATATAATCATTATATTATTAATAGTGGAATAAACATTAGTTTTGCAAAATTGTTTGAATATAGGATGAAGTATTCCTAGATTTTTCAGTATATTAACATATTGTAGAAAAATTGCTTTTATTAATCGAGTGTTTTAAATTATCAGTATTCAATAGAGTCTCTAGATATATAGAAACTTATTTACTAGTTTGACAGTTGTCAGCCTTATACGCGCATGCATACAATTATACTACACTCCCCATGGATTTGCACCAATGCACATTGATCTCTTTTTTTTGTCTTATTTTAGTAAACAAGGTTTCACCACCTTTTACCGGCGGTTTCAAAACAGCATAGTACCAGTAGAACGGTGCTTACACAAACTTGCCTGACACGAATCAAAAGATTATTTGTACGTCACTAGCATCATAGACACATGGCTGACGATAAAGAATTGATGTCACGCGTAGAAGAAATTCAAACTCTAGCTCAAACCAATGAAGATATGATGAAGCAAATCGATAATATGGGATCAAGAGTAGTTAACCTTACGACCTACGTCATAAGGTGCAACTACGGTATATTTACGGTTAAAGAAGTTCAGGAAGCTCAAAACGCAAATCAGATTGTCAACAACTGGCGTGAAAATATCCAGCTAACTGAAATTGAAGATATATTCAATGACAAAATTTCTTATACTTGTTCTTCGTACGGGCAACTAAAAACAGTCAATTCGGCTATGGCTCGAGTCGTTAAAAAATATAAATTGTTTGGAAGTAGTAGAACAGCTCTGGGCGAAATTTACAAATTCGCGAAGAACTTTCGTGTAATAAAAGCAGTATTAGAGAGAATAATTGCATTACTTAACAATGGTGGCGGTGGTCGTATGGATAAGATACGAGAACGGTTGGACAATCTTAACAATGAAATGAAAGCACTTCGTACTACATATACAAATATTCAATTTTCTTAGAATGGAGTGCCCCACTCTAGCCGAGTATCGCAAGCGAACATACAATTTTTATTTGAATCAGCCATTTTTTATACAAGAAAATCATGAAATAAATAATTTCACTTCCTTTAGGTTACCTTATCATACGAAATATCGATTGCACGTTTTTTTCCTCATTTTGTTTTTACCTACCTCATTACATCCCTGATTTATTGCTTTTTTTCACCAATCTCTGCGTAAGAATCAATCAAACGAATAGTCATGCCTTCGATCACTATTTAAATATGAAATAGCAATTGCCTATTTTCATTTACAAAATGTCTTTCAAGTATGTTGTTTTCGATAATACTTTCCATTTGGAATGAATCTGATCTTCTTTTATAGTTCATATTACAATTGGAATTCGTATCAACATGTTATTGATGCATCTAAACGCCCGAGAGCAGTGACGATAAATGAGCAAAATCCTGAAATCGTCTTGAAAAAGATAGATCAATGGTTGTCTCAACACTATCCTGGTTTTCAAATCAATCACGTCGAAATAGTCAAACCGGATCGTCGAGTATATGCTCGGGCTAGTTTTCGTACAGCAGATCGTCAGGAAAAAACTGTTCTCTTCGATGTCACCGCTGCAGCACAGAGTTATATGAATACAATGATGCGAATGTTTTCTCCTGGAACAGTCGTTCGTCTATGGCCAGGAGCAGGCTCAAGAGCAACACGATATGAACTTCTTATCTAACGTCAGCCGATGACGAACTAGTTTTTCTTCTTCGAATCAAAATAAAATGAATACGCATGAGCGTGCAAAAAATTTTAAATCTCAAAAGATACTGTGTATAAAAATTGTCCAGGACAGCTTTACCTGTTGTTTCCATGTTCAAATTCTACATCTGTGATGTGGAATCAAATATTAAATGGCTCGAGAAAGTTTGATTAGCTCGATATAATAAAGAGCAATTCCAGTAACTTCAACAGAACTGTAATTGGAAAAGCATCTAAACACCGATGAAGAAAGAGACAAAGGAATTCTTTCGAGTATGACCTATTTAAAACATGTTTAACGCCATTATATAGGTCACCAAAGATAAGTTAATCTGTAAACGGTAGACTTTGAATAATTTTTTTCCACATGCATATTATGTTTATGTTCAACGTATATCATCTCGAGAATGTGGCTAAGATTGCATTTACAAATAGGCGATACCTAGTTTTTCCTAGTCAATTTATTTCATTAATGACTAAAAGGAGAACGAATCAATACAAAATAAGCGAAATGTTTTCTTCGAGTGTCTATTTGTTTCACGAAATCGATAGTCTTCTTCTTATTTAATTGGCATACTATCCATAGGTATTTAATCGTCCGTCGATAGACTATATATTTCCGGTGTGACTTGAGCCCCGTGATCCACATCATTGCCACCAATAACCATCACGTCTCCATTGGCTAGCACCGTCGCTGTGTGACTTTGTCGTTTGTAATGCATACTGTTCGTACTTGTCCATTTTCCTGTCGCGGGATCATACAGCTCCGCATTATTTGAAGAGGCGCCAGTGTCATCTTGTCCACCAGAAACTAAGACTTTTCCATTGTTCAATAAAGATGCAGCATGCCCAAATCGTCCTCGAACCATGGCACCAGTAATTGTCCATGTTTCAGTCGATGGATCAAACAGTTCGGTGGTGTTTAAAACATCATCATTATCATCTATTCCACCAACGGCTAACACTTTACCGTTCGTCAGTAATGTGAGAGTGTGAAGATATCGCTTGTATTTCATACTGGCCACAGCTTTCCACGTACCTGTCGATGAATCATATAGTTCTGCGTTGTCTATGGTATTAAATGGAAGGTCATGTCCACCGGTTACTAAAACGTTGCCATTTTTCAGCGCAGCTGCCGCATGCCATTTGCGTTCATATTGCAAATTTGTAGTCTGTGTCCATGATTCCATTTTTGGATCATATACTTCAGCAGTGTTCGGTTGATCATCGGATCCACCAACAACTAGAACATTTCCATTTCGTAATAAGGTTGCCGTGTGAAAGCACCGTTGAACATTCATCTGATTGGTAGGTATCCAGAATCCTGTTGATGCTTCGTACAATTCACACTGACTCATGAGGCCTTCGACATTATTCAAAGGTGCTGGTGTACCAGCATATCCTCCAGCAATTAGGACTTTGCCATTTTTCAAAGTAGTTGATGTATGAAACCATCGACAATCAGTCATGTCAAATGTCTTCGTCCAATTTTTAGTTGTCGGATCGTATAGTTCTCCCGTGGAGCAAACATCATCACCTATTCCACCACTGACTAACACCTTTCCATCTGGTGATAAACTTGCTGCTTGATACATGCGCGGATTACTTAATTGACCAGTCTCAGTCCATTCTAAAGGCAAACGAAAAAAAAAACAGCTTGCCGATGTTCGCCAGCGACCAATCACTGATCTTACTCGATTGTTTAATTGCTGTCCTTGATCTAAAACCAACAGGAGTTGCACTTCCGAGATTTGTCGATATAACAACGAGTAATGTCGACAACACCAGCAAGAGAGTGTCTAAAGATTATTCGCAACGCACTATTATGAGAAATATCCAAAAAGGAGTTATTTACTGCGTATTGATTTACTGTGCATCTTGTGTTTTACAAAGGTGAACTGAAATAAAGAAAAAAAAAGGAATGAGTTCCTTCGCGTTTGACCTATTTGATACTTATTTAACGCGGTTATATGGGTCAAAAAAGGCATCAGTACTCTTTACAGTAGACCTCCAATATTTAAATATGAAACGTTATCTCTCTATGCAGTGTATATAGAAAACCTAAGTAATATCATTCTCGTTCTTTTGTCAAAATATAAAATAAAGATAAAATATAATTCATATTTACTCTCAAATGGATTCAAAATAACTCATGTATAGAAGGCCATTGATGGCGAGAATGCAGGGGGTAAGAAGGAGAAAAACAAATATCCCTATTAAAATTAAAGTAATGCTACGTAAATACAACAAGATAGTTCACTGATACTTTCTAAATTTATATTTACAATTGAAATAAAAGTTGGAGAAAACGAATTTGTCCATTGTTTATAACCAAACTGGAAGAACGAACGTTTGGTTTCTCAGGCTTTTAGAAAATAATGATCAAAACGGTGAATAAATTTCTTTTCATTCGATCATAATTTTTAATGAGTGAACAATACACTCGTTCAGAAACACCAACCAGCTGATGTATTTCTTTATGGTATGTTTTTTCTCTCTAATATTATCAGTGCCAAATGCCGCCGTTAAAATCTGTCGAAATGCATTTTTCATACCTTTATTTTCTTGTATTTATATGTGGAATGTCTTCTTGCACCTGGATGCATCTATTCAGTCATGCATTCGGGAATGCGCTGCTGAACAGGACTGCTAAGGGAATGTAACAGTAAATGTTTATTTGTGATCGGAAAAATCGTGTTAGAATTGTTTTTATTTATAACTAACTATCAGATGCTCATCTACTGTAATAATCACCTACGAAGGTATGTATATCACATTCCATAGTAGAAAAGCAATATTATTCAATGGATTTTAGAAACCACTCTTCCAACAACAGCTGCTGATTTGGATAAAACAAATAAGATTAATATCGAGTTTCTCTTTATCATTTATTAGTAATGAATAAGAATTTAGTGAGAAAGGACGATGGGGAGAAACTGGTTCTTACGTGGGTGGAACAGACAATGGCTATCTCGCGGAGTAGGATCAGAGCAGCTCAATTACTCAAATAATCTACAATGCCAATTACATTTACGTTCTGTTTAACATTGGCTCTGCTTCAAGGTAACAATTTAATGAAGCAAATGTCGTCCCAGCGCCCTTTTTGTATTTCACCGATCGTGACAAGTGCTACCTCTTTGGATACAAATCAAACTTTACGTTCATGTGGTAATTTATCAGCATAAATTATCTGGTCGATCGTTACAAAAATCAAAATGACAATGCTGTCGAATCGCCAACATTTTTAGATCACGTCTGCATTGATGCTCAACAATACTCGTTTTCTGCATGTTCACATTAAGATGACATTTGGAACAGCGCTTATGTAGATAAAATAGCCCTAATCGCACATCGTTTAATTCAACTGATTGCAATCCAATGTTTTATTCAAGGTTTTCAGTTATTTCAATCCGACGTAAATGCCTGCATCTCCTCATTGCATGACTGTATTACCACTATTCTGTGATCGAATGAATTTCTCAAAGATATAAAAACAAGCAACCAAGTGCGAGCGACGTTTGAGTTCAAGAAAAATATCATAAGCCGTTTTGACAGAAAGGTAAGACACGATCTTTTCACTGGTAAAAATAATTATTCACTCCAATGCTCATCTCGAATAACATTCTATTCACTTTTATCGACGAAGCATAACAATCTGCGTCTAATAAGCGTGTTAACTATACCATCACACCAAATGTTTAATTCACACGAACACGAACGGAACTACTGCTAAACGACTACATTCCTATCTAGAAGAGCGAAGTTCACGAAAACGTTAATAAAGAGATAAACAGAGAAACGGGAAATTCAACTGAAAGAAAAAAATACAATTAAACACCAATTCCATGACTTCATCAAAAACCAATATAACAATTCCTGATATGAAAGATCTGGCTGAGACAATTTGTTAATTTCCGCTATAAATTGACATGTTGACAGCGGTTTTTACACTTAAGACGAACCTGAAAGTACTTTCTCTTTGCTGAGCCTTCTGTGGGTTTTCAATATGTGCAATTCTACTATTGCAGTCTTCGATTCTGTTACTCAACAAACGATTATTTACTTTGGTTTCTCCCTTTTTATTCTTGGTCTCATTGGCAATCTGTTGACTCTCCTTGTATTCCTCAGTCTCGAAACATTCAGACAAAACTCCTGTGCATTCTACCTCACAATCATGTCTTTTATCAACACGTTTCACTTATTCACTGGTTTGTTAACTTTCATCATGATCAATGGTTTTAAAATCAACTGGACCGATGCATCAGTGGCCTATTGCAAATTTCGTGCATTCTATATTCAGACATGTGCAATGATATCTTTGTCATGCATGTGCTTGGCGACAGTCGATCAGTTCTTGGCAACGCAGTCTAATCGTCGCTGGCATCGATTCAATAGCATCAAAGTAGCTAGGTCGGTTGTTACAGGTATAGCTATATGTGTAACTGCATATTGTATTCCTTTCCTCGTATATCGTGGTCATACGACATCAAGCAGCACAGGTCAAGCGATTTGTGACATTACAAATAATGTCTTTGCAAGTTATCGTATTTTTCATAACTCTTTCCTCGCGGGTATTATTCCATTGCTCATTATGAGTATATTTGGTCTGTTAGCATATCGAAACGTTCAGCAAATAGCCTATCGGACAATACCATTAGTCCGACGTGAATTAGACAAACAGTTAACATCAATGGTCCTTATTCAAATTTTCTACAACGTTCTTGCTATCACACCGTCATTAACCGTAGGCCTTTATTATTTGATCTTAGACAAAACGCTCGATGCATGCAGTAAAACAATATTAAACATTCTCTTAAATCTGTTAGCCGTTATCTATTATTTTTACTATGTGGTGAGTACGAGCCGAAATTTACCGAAAATCAAAATATAATCTCATATATTTCAGGGTTCATTCTATATCTACGTATGTGTATCGAAAAGATTCCGTCATCAACTGATCTACGTATTATTTACAGTGCATGCGAATCGTTTTCGCCAACACAACAATCGAATCAAACCCGTAGCACAGTGACTCCACCTCCTCTCAACGCTCCGTGTACCCATGTAACTCTGAGTCAGTATAAACGCAAATGAGTCGTTTCACTCCACATGTTATTATCAAAAAGCTCCTATCATAGAAGTACTTTGTGCGTGGTATATTTCGTCTTTAGTTCGTGAATAAATGCATATTTCATCTGAGAGAGGTTTTGTCTTTATATTCAACGGTGTCGAAATTTCTGTAGAAATGCGTTTGTTAACAAGAAAACTATCGCTTTTTGTTATAGTAATAATGATAGTGCGAATGAACTGGGGATGAATGCATTCAGTTATCTCATAGCCGTGTTTCTATGTTTACGAAAGAGAGTTTCATGATGAGAGGACTGAACCGCTTTCCTATGAATTCAAGTCAAAAGCTTCTCACGGCTGCAAATTTACGAGATTTTCTTGCATTACTGAGATAACTCAGCTCTGAAGCTGGGGAACTATTGCAAATATCGAATAACGAACGAACCAACCAGATGGTTGATTCCGGTTATAAACAATGAAGGAAAATGGTTTCACTAGCGTTTTGTAATACATACTCGGCGAAGTCGTCGTTTTCACGGTAGTTAGTAATTAGTACTAGCATGTATATAAGTCTATCCTGAGATATTAAGTACACAAGGTTAAATATGCTGATTTTTACCGCCATTTCTTGGTGAAAGGCCTGCATGGCTAGTTAGGTCTTGGTCATTTGAAGTTTGACGATTATTGATAGTTCTTATAAAGCGTGGCTAAGCTTTGAATATAATAATCATTCGTCTGTTTGACGCGTATTTTTCCGTAATTTTTTGAAATCTTATGATTACAGACAGTTCTCAATTTTTGAGTCATGCGAGATTAAATTTCGTATTACAGTCCAACGATTCCTCTAAGATAGACGTGGGTAGCTTCAAATGAAAGACAACCAGTCATGCATCAAACCGGTAAAGATAATGAGGGTGTCGTCCTACTGTTCCTTGAGAACAAATGGAAAGTCTATTTTTAAAACCTCATTGTCAGACAAAATGTCACGCGAGATTGTTATGCATACAAACATATCATGCACAAGATTAAAATAAATAATTTGAACATCAGACAATGCCGTATGAAATGAGATTTCAATACTCATATGGAGCGACTAGGGTTTGAATTGAACAAATGCGAAGAGTAGCAAGAAGCTATTATAATCAAATGGGATGCTTTGAAATTTCCCGTGTATTTTCAACTTATGAGTGTATCTACGCAAGAATCAAATCTAATGCAATATGAACCACATTCTCAGACTCATTTTTTCTAGATAAATTATGGTTGCACCTAAAACACAGATTAGGTATTTATTCTTCCATAAACATATGGGAAAAACTTGAGTCGGATAAAGCCCTATACTTCCTGAAAAACTCTTGTATCTCGGTTATTTTAACAGTAACTGTCGGACAAGTTTGTGCGTATTCTCTTTTTACATACCACGCAATATTCGCTGCACTGAAATTCGGAAACTTTTTTTTCATCAATTTTTTAGTCCAACGGTACAATAAACTTGCAATTCGCTCATACACTATAAGACGAGCATGCGTTCAAAGATCGAATGGTACAAAGAGTTTCTATCTGATCTGATATAAAACATTAAGATTTTAGCTGGCGAAAAGGACGTTGTTGATCAACACCAGCATGAAAATCTAACTTGAGTTTTCTGCATCAGAAATATTTGTATGTTAAATCGTGTATGTTGAGACATTTGATGAATTTTGTTTTATTCAATTCATTACAGACAGAAAAGCTTTAGTGAGATGAATTAAAAAAACCTTATTCAATGTGCATCTATATTTATCTTTTCGACATGGTGCAAAAAAAAGAGAACACACTGTTTCTTAAAATGAATTCTGCTCAAATAAAGTGCGTTTCTGCTCTCATTTATAATACGATTATTATGGAAATCACAAGACACGAGGATTATTTTGCACATGACTTCATGTAATCGTCTTAGAGTTCAGTATATATAATACAGCTGCTCTAAAGCATTTATCATCAGCGATCACGAATGCTACATATGGCGACTATTCAGAACAGTTCTAGTTATTCTATCACATCGTCCTCAATGACAGCTGTGAATACCCCTTTCCTTGTATTCTTATACCGTTATGGATTGGGTCTAATAATTCTTTTGGGTTTCTTTGGCAATCTCGCTAGCACCATGCCATTTTCACTAGCAGCAGTACGTGCTACCTCAACTGGTTGTTTGTTCTTAGTTTTGGCAGTATTAGATACTGTGTTTCTGTTGGCATCGACTTTCGACTTTGTGGAAGTTGGATTGGTTCAAGGACCCATATTCCTCAATGCTTATGATGTTGTATGTCGACTTCGTTCGTTTCTCAAAGGCTTTGCTTCATTCTGTGCAGCATGGATCTTGTTGATCATCGCCATAGACCGTTGGATACGAGTACGGTACTCACTTATGGCGAATAAATGGTGCACCCATCGAAATATAGCTCTAGCCATTTTGTCTTCTGTGACCATCGCTACTGCACTGCATAGTCATATGCTAAGTCCTCAATTGTTTGGTAGATTCATGCCTGGTGTTGCAACATCTGCATGCGGATCCGTAAGTCCTATTGGTTCATACGCGAATTTTTACACTTTTCAGTGGCCATTTATTCAAGTGAGACAAGAAAGCAAAAATTTGAAAGTGATAATTCTGTTCTCTACATTTTAGGTAATCTTTGGCTGTCTAATACCTCTTTCTATTATGCTTTTGGGTAGTTTCGATATTTATCAAAACCTGCAGAAGAATAAATCTCGTATCCAGCCGAAGTTTGCACGTCAAGAACGTTTGAACCGACAAATGTTAATCATGATGGCAGTAAATGTTCTAACCTTCTTTGCTACCACACCACCAGTCAATGTTCGTCGAATTATTAGTGCATATCAAATGTCGTTTGCAAGTGAAAGTAATCTTCAGAGGATTGTGAATGAAACGGGTGGTCTTACGGTGTTATTAACAATGAATCATGCAGTAAGTTGCGTTGAAAGGATACCTAGAATCAGTTGATCTGATTACCAACAACTTTATACATGATATGAGTTGGATTGAGAAAACAGAACTTTGCTCTTTTGTATTTTATTAAATAGGTCAACTTCTATATTCATTATCTGACGTCAAAATCATTTCGTAATGAGTTTCTTCACTGTCTCAGAGTACTTCTTCGACTTCCTCAACACCTAGCGAACAACAACGTGATCGAAATCCAGATTACTCAAGTGAGATCAAAACTCTGTACCATTTCCCTCACAGGAATGCGTCGTAATCAACTTCAGACATGAGTTGGACATTAGTAGAGAAAGCCTTTTCTTATAAATGTTGTGTATTGTACGAAATAAAAGGAATCTATCGCAGAGAAGTCATCGCACTAGAGCGCATAGTTTGGTTGGAAACAGTGCTCTGTCCGAGAGATGAAGTCATAAGTTTAACTAAGAAAGACGGCGAGTTTCCAATCGAACAAAAGCCTTTTTCTTAATATTAAAAAATGAGAGTTAAGAAAATGTATGAGACAACTACGATGCACAATGACATTCAAAATTTGAGCAAGATGCTTTTTGTTTGCATATTCTTACACTGTTTGATGGAGATCGTTGGCGTCTACAAAACTGCAGATAACAAAACAACTCAAATCATACTTGTAAAATCTTGAACTTAGGTCCAAAGAGCGTGGCTTTTATATTAAAAAAAAAGGTAATTGTTTTTCTAAAAAAAACGCTTTCTTGTTTTTAATTATTTTTATCTCCGCTGACGTTTCCAAATCAGCGCGATTGGGTCAGCATGTTTAAAGCTCATCCGATTAGAATGTTCATAAATACTCATTGTAAAAATATCAATTAAAAGTATTTTAGTCTAGTCGAAATATAAGTTTTCTGTACAAAGACTATAGCAGAACGCAAAAATAACGAGTTCATTTCGAGCAGATCGATTCATTCTACTTCCAAATGTAACTTGATAGATTTTATAAATCGTAGTGAGTCTATTTTCATGTACTCAATATTTCATTGTTGACGTCAAACATTTCATCTTCAAATTTGTATATCGACTTCG